GTGAACCCTAGGCTGTTGAAGTGGAATGTGCAAACTTAACCACTACGCTACTGGGCCAGCCCCTCAAATTTTTTTTTTTTTTAAGGAAGATTGGCCCTGGGCTAACATCTGCTGTCAACCCTCCTCTTTTTGCTGAGGAAGACTGGCCCTGAGCTAACATCCATGCCCATCTTCCTCTACTTTATACGTGGGATGCCTACCACAGCATGGCTTGCCATGCAGTGCCATGTCCACACCCAGGATCCGAACTGGCAAACACCGGGCCGTTGAAGCGGAATATGCAAACTTAACCACTGTGCCACCGGGCCAGCCCCCAACCTTTTTTTTAACTTTGGTCAATCTAGGCAGGGCAGAAGTCCTACTGTGTCCATTCCTACTTGATAGAGAAATAGAAATTAGGTATAATAAAGATTTGCAGAGGAATAAAATAGTAATCAAAATGGTAATATGGCAGCAGTTATATAAAAACAAAAGGATCAACAAGTAAAACCAAACATTCCTTAATACAAGAGCAGCAACTCAAAATCACTCAGGATGATCCTGATGATGCCCTAATCACAGAGAGTCTTTCCTGGAAATTGCTTATTCCAATCATTTGCCTGTATGAGGACACAGGGAAGCCTGTGCAACATTGCCAAAGGCTGCGTGGTACGCCAACTTCTTAGAGTACTGCATTTGAGTCCTCAGTAAACTCCAGTTATCTGGTAATTTTAGATTACAAACGCCAGGGTTTCCAATGCTTAGATGCTCAGTTAATAGGTCATTAGTAAGTACCACTCAATGATAAGTAATAGTAGCATGATCTTTGAAGATGAACATTTTTGCATGAGTTTGCAGCCTCTCCCAGAGGACCCTTTTGGTCCGTTGCTTTTTTTTAAAAAATTATTTTATTGAGGTCATATGGTTTATAACATTGTGTAAACTTCAGGTGTACGTTATTATATATCAGTTTCTGTATAGACTGCATCATGTTTACCACCGATAGTCTAGTTTTTATCCATCATCATACATATGTGGCCCTTTACCCTTTTGCCCTCCCCCAACCCCTTTCCCCTCCAGTAACCACGAATCTGTTCTCCTTATCCATGTGTTTATCTTCCACATATAAGTGAAATCATATTGTATTTGTCTTTCTCTGTCTGGCTTATTTTCTTAGCATAATATGCTCAAGGTCCACCCATGTTGTCACAAATGGAACGATTTTGTCTTTTTTATGGCTGAGTAGTATTCCACCGTGTGTGTGTGTGTGTGTGTGTGTGTGTGTGTGTGTGTGTGTATCACATCTTCTTTATCCATTCAGCTATTGATGGGCACTTGGGTTGCTTCCACATTTTGGCTATTGTGAATAATACTGTGATATAGGGATACATAAATCTCTTTGAATTGTTGATTTCATGTTCTTTGGATAAATATCCAGTAGTGGGATATGGTATTTCTGGATCATATGGTGTTTCTATCTTTAACTTTTTGAGGAATCTCCATACTGTTTTCCATAATGGCTGCAGCAGTCTGCATTCCCATCAGCAATGTGTGAGGGTTATCTTTTCTCCACATCCTCTCCAACATTTGTTATTTCTTGTCTTGTTAATTATAGCCATTCTGAAGGGTGTAAGGTGAAATATTGTAGTTTTGATTTGCTTTTCCCTAATAATTGGTGATGGTGAACATCTTTTCACGTTCCTGTTGGCCATCTGTATATCTTCTTTAGAAAAATATCTGTTCACATCCTCACCCATTCTTTGATCAGGATTGTTTTTTTGTTGTTGAGTTGTATGTGTTCTTTACATATTTTGGAAATTAATCCCTCGTGAGATATATGATTTGCAAATATTTTCTCCCAGTTGATGGCTGTCTTTTCGTTTTGTTCATGGCTTCCTTTGCTTTACAGAAGATTTTCAGTCAGATGTAGTCCCATTTGCTTATTTTTAATTTTGTTTCCCTTGCCAGAGTAGACATGGTATTTGAAAAGATACTGCTAAGAGTGATGTCAAAGAGTGTACTGCCTATATTTTCTACTAGGAGTTTTATGGTTTCAGGTCTTAGCTTCAAGTCTTTAATCCATTTTGAGTTAATTTTTGTGTATGGTGTAAGAAAATGGTTTACTTTCATTCTTTTGCATGTGGCTGTCCAGTTTTCCCAACACCATTTATTGAAGAGACTTTCCTTTCTCCATTGTATGTTCTTGGCTCCTTTGTCGAAAATTAGCTGTCTGTAGATGTGTGGTTTTATTTCTGGGCCTTCAATTCTGTTCCATTGATCTGAGTGTCTGCTTTTGTGCCAGTACCATGCCGTTTATATATAAAAATATAGCTTTGTAGTATATTTTTAAGTCAGGGATTGTGATGCCTGCAGCTTTGTTCTTTTTTCTCAGGATTGCTTTGGCTACTCGGGGTCTTTTGTTGTTCCATATAAATTTTAGGATTCTTTGTTCTATTTCCGTGAAGAATGTCATTGGGATTCTAATTGGGATTGCATTGAATCTGTGGATTGCTTCAGGCAACATGGACATTTTAACTAAGTTTATTCTTCCAATCCATGAGCATGGAATATCTTTCCATTTCTGTATGTCATCATTTATTTCTTTCAATAACATCTTATAGTTTTCTTTGTATAGGTCTCTCACCTCCTTTGCTAAATTTATGCCTAGATTTTTTTTTTTTTTTTGAGGAAGATTAGCCCTCAGCTAACATCTGCTGCCAATCCTCCTCTTTTTGCTGAGGAAGACTGGCCCTGAGCTAACATCCATGCCCGTCTTCCTCTACTTTATATGTGGGATGCCTGCCACAGCATGGCTTGCCAAGTGGTGCCATGTCTGCACCCGGGATCCGAACCGGCAAACCCCAGGCTGCTGAAGCGGAACGTGCAAACCCAACCACTGCGCAACTGGGCCGGCCCCACTCCTAGATATTTTATTCTTTTTCTTGCCACTGTAAATGGGATTGTATGCTTGACTTTTCTTTCGGCTAGTTTGTTATTAGTGCATAGAAATGCAACTTATGGGGCTGGCCCCATGGCTGAGTGGTTAAGTTCTCACGCTCTGCTTTGGTGGCCAAGGGTTTTGCTGGTTCAAATCCTGGGTGCGGACATGGCACTGCTCATTAAGCCATGCTGAGGCGGCATCCCACATGCCACAACTAGAAGGACCCACAACTAAAAATACACAACTATGTACCAGGGGGCTTTGGGAGAAAAAGGAAAAATAAAATCTTTTTTTTTTTTTTTTGAGGAAGATTAGCCCTCAGCTAACATCTGCTGCCAATCCTCCTCTTTTTGCTGAGGAAGACTGGCCCTGAGCTAACATCCATGCCCGTCTTCCTCTACTTTATATGTGGGATGCCTGCCACAGCATGGCTTGCCAAGTGGTGCCATGTCTGCACCCAGGATCTGAACCAGTGAATCCTGGGCCGCCAAAGCGGAACATGTGCGCTTAACTGTTGCGCCACCAGGCCGGCCCCAGGAAAAATAAAAATCTTAAAAAAAAAGAAAAAAGAAACAAAAGAAGTGCAACTTATTTTTATATGTTGATTTTGTACCCTGCAACTTTGCTGTAGTTGTTGATTATTTCTAATAGTTTTCTGGTGGATTCTTTAGGGTTTTCTATATCTAGAATCATGTCATCCACAAACAGTGAGAGTTTTACTCCTTCCTTTCCAATTTGGATCCTTTTTATTTCTTTTTCTTGCCTGATTGCACTAGCCAACACTTCCAGTACTATGTTGAATAAGAGTGGTGAGAGTGGGCACCCTTGTCTTGTTCCTGTTCTCGGAGGGATGGCTTTCAATTTTTCACCATTGAGTATGATGTTGGCTGTGGGCCTGTCATATATGGCCTTTATTATATTGAAGTACTTTCCTTCTATACCTATTTTATTGAGAGGTTTTTTTTTTTTTTTATCATAAATGGATGTTGGATCTTGTCAAATGCTTTCTCTGCATCTATTGAGACAATCCTGTGATTTTTTGTTTTGTATTATTATTTTTAAAAATTTTTCCTTCTTCTCTCCAAAGCCCCCCAGTACATAGCTGTATATTTTTTAGTAGTGGGTCCTTCTAGTTATGGAATGTGGGACACCACCTCAGCATGGCCTGATGAGCAGTGCCATGTCCACAGCCAGGATCTGAACTGGCAAAACCCTGGCTGCAGAAGCAGAGTGTGCAAACTGGGCCAGCCCGATCCTGTGTTTTTTATTCCTCATTTTGTGAATGTGCTGTATCACATTGATTGATTTGCAGATGTTGAACCATCCTGCATCCCTGGAATAAATCCCATTTGATTCTGGCGTATGATTCTTTTAATGTATTGTTGTATTCGATTTGCTAACATTTTGTTGAGGATTTTTCCATCTATGTTCATCAGTGATATTGGCCTTTTTTGTGTTGTCCTTGTCTGGCTTTGGTATCAGGGTGATGCTGGCCTCATAGAATGAGTTAGGAAGCTTCCAGTCTTCTTCAAGCTTCAGAATAGTTTGATAAGGATAGGTGTTAAATCTTCTTTGAATGTTTGGTAGAATTCACCAGAGACGCTATCTAATCCTGGACTTTTGTATTTGGGAGGTTTTTGATTACTGGTTCAATCTCTTTATTTGTGATTGGTCTGTTCAGATTGTCAGGTTCCTGGGTTGTCTTGGGGTGCTGGTTGCACAGGTGCCAGGGGTGCTGGGCGCATGGGTGTTGGTGTCACTGGCAGGAGGCCTGGGGACCCCAGGATTTGTATACATCCCTCGCTGCTGGTGGAGCTGGTGTCGGGTCGCGAGGTCACCTTCTGTGGTTCCTGCTGTTTCCGGAAGCAGATTCCACCTTCCACCACCCTTTTTAGGGGGCTGGGGGGCTGGGAGGAGGCTGCTCTTTTGCTCCAGCCGGCTGGGTGTGCGGCCGGCTCTGCGGCCGGCTCTGCGGCCGGCGGGCGGGGTATCTCCCCGCGGGGCGCCGGGGTCGCCGGGAGCTGCGGCCGCGGGCGGCGCTCGCACGTAGGCGCTCGCGGGCGGGCTCGGCCGCTGGGCAGACGTTCGCGCCGCCGCCCCGCCTCCGCTGCCTTCGCGCCGCGGCCGAGGGAGGCTGGCCGGCCTGGGTCGCTGCCGGGAGTGGGGCCGCTGCCCCAGTTCCGCTGCTCCCCTCGGGCCCGGTCTGCCCACCTTCAGCTGTATAGCCGCATGGGCATCCTGTTGTGCTGTGTAGGGAATCCTCTGCTGGTTAATAGACGTCCCTTTAGTTGTCACTTAGAGGGGAGAGACCAAGGGAACGACTCGCTCCGCCATGATGCTGACGTCACTCCGTGGTCTGTTGCTTTACGCAGTTAAATCAGACGGATGGATGGTTAGAAGGGGCGAGGAAGACGGGCAGCTGAAATGTAAGAATAATGATGTCCACCAGGCTCTCTCGCTGTTGTCACGATGTGTTTCCCCGCCACTGCTTCAACGCCCTTGAGGCGGATGAAGGATGAGAGAAATAGAAACTTCCTTAGAATCTGATTTACCCTCCTTTCCATTCCTCTTGGTCCTTTCAGGCACATCTTTATGATCTCATTCAGCACCCCACCCCCACCGCCTGATTCATTCTTACTGTCTCGTCGGACCCCTAGTTTCAGGGGTCTCTCATACCCACCCCTTTCAAGACAACGCCCCTGCTCACTGTGAATAATTCCTTAAAGATAAATAATAGCTACTGTTTGAGGGCTTGCTATGCATTAGCCCTTTACATATACACATTATTTCCGGAAACCTCACACAACCTTGCAAGGTAAGGAATATTCTCCCCTTTTTATAGATGAGAAAACAAGACTTTCTGAAGTTGAATACTTGCTCAAGGCCACAAACTGGAAAGTGATAGAAGCAGGACTCAGACCCTGGACCATCTGGCTTCAAAGCCACAGCCGCTTTCCGCTGCACAGCACTGCGCTTCATTCAGCACGTGGCTGAGCGGGGACCCCGCCCCTGGCCCTTGGAGCCGACTCCGAGCTGAATGAATGATCCTTCACTCGCCACAGCTGCCTCGCTGGGCTGTTCCTGCCTCAAAACAAAGCTCCCGTGACGGCCTCTGCCTCCTCTTCGCAACCAGCTCCTTCACTTATGACAGATTTAGGGCTTTGCTTTCTTTTAAACCTTGGCACTTCCTTTTCTTTATTGATTTAAGAAATTATTTTAAAAAAATCAACTCTAGCACATTATTTAAAAATTCAAACAAAACTGAAGCTTAAAAATAGAAGTGAATGTCTCTCTACTACATCTGCTGGCTCCAACCCTACTCTCCTAATGTAACTACTATTAACTGTTCAGTGAATATTTTTTCAGACTTTTCTATATGTGTATAAATGTGTGTGTGTGTTTAGGAAGTTTTCCTGACTTCTCAGAATTCTATAATCTGTATGTCTTTATTCTAAATCATTGTCCATTCCAAATTGTAAGCTGCAAAAGGGTAAGATAAATGTATTTTAAATTAATCTACACAGCATCTGACCAAAGAAACACCTATTCTTGATGGATTTATAGGAGCACCTGAGTTGGAGAAAGGGGTGGAAGGCAGGACCCTTCTAGAAAGACCCTGAGGTCACCAAGAGGGAGGAGCACGTGAGCTACAGGGAGGAGAGCGTGCTGGCCGCCGATAAGCTCACAAGCAACTGGCCTGACCTGCCAGGGTGTGCACACACTCCCCGGGCTGTGAAGTCACTCAAGTGTGAGTTGTCTGGTGCCCGAGGGGAGGGGAGAACAGGGGAGTGGGGAGGCAGGAGGGCGGAATGTGGGCTGGGCCAAGTTTAGAATTACAAATGCAGCGGAGGAGTTGGAATCACACTTTAAATAGCCAGCACCTTCCCCTTCCCCCTTAGATAATCCTTCTCCCCCCGACTGGACCTCTGGCAGCAACTGCACAAAGGTTGGTAACATTCTTCTCTTCTTTTTCTGTTTCCGAGACTCAGACTATAGGTTGGTGGGATCCGTAGGACTTAAAACCAAAGGGTTTTTTTTTATCCTTCCCTAGAAAATGCTCCTGCCATTTCTGTGTGCATATGCAAAGACTATATGCTGTTTTCTCAACTTTCTGAAACTTCAGTGGCTTTTGACTTAAGGGACAATGTGATTTGGAGAAAGAGAACCCTAGGCAGAGAGGAAAGATGTTTGGGTTTAATTCTAAGAAAAGGAAGACTTTCTTCTCTGTGAAATGAGACAATATTGAGACTTGAAAGAACTTAAAAATTTTGACAGGATTAAAAGAAATAAAAATACAAGTGCCTGTTATCCTACCAAGTGCTTTCATATATATAAAACATCATTTGCTATATAATATCTAAGTATATGGAATAAGTAGTAAGTATATATAATAAGTCATATCTAAGTATATGTGTACATTTAAGTATAATGATAGGATAGCTAAGTATATTCTATCATTCTCACTTTTACAGATGAGCAAACTAAGGCTCAGAGTAATTAACTTCCCTGAGGTCAGGCAGTGGTGTGGCCACAGCTGAGGTTTGAACCCTGGCCTGTCTGACTCTACAGCTCAAGTCCTTTCTTCTGCACGATGCCACATTTGAGATGGTACCCTAATGAGGCTAGGGGACCCAGGATAGGGCTACTGTTTCTTCTAGGGTCTGAGAGGATGAAGAAGTGAAGGGAGACGGTGTTCCATCATTGGAAGACATCCTTCAGATGCTAAAGGGAGGCCCAGAAGCGGCACAAGCGTTAGACAATCTTCTCAAAAGGACCGAGGAAACTTCTTGGGACCAGCTGCTTGGGTTTCTCCTTCTTAGCCCACAAACAATCTTTGGAGCCCATTCCCTAATTTATTAAGTAAGCAAAAGTGACTAGTGTTCTCTGACTTTCTCTGACTTTCTGGATCCCTTGGGTAGCTCAGCTGGGGAGGCAGAGCCACAAGAGAGTCTCTGGCCAGATGGGGCTCCCTCTGAGAAAGTTCTGTTAACATGAACTTTTTTTGAGGTATAGAAAAAGTCCTTCTACCCACTTCTCCAGAAAAAGGGCCACTGTAAAAAGTCAGGGAGGAGGCATTAGAAGATGCTTATATTAGGCATGCTGATAAATCTCGGCAGCCGAGGGAATCAAGAGAGGGAGTTAAAAGAGCGGGGACAGAGGGGATTCAAGTCCTGGCTGTGCTGTTTACTAGCTCTGCGGCAGCAGATCTATTATTTAACCTCTCTGAGCTGCAGCTTCCTTATTTACAAAGTGGAAATTCGTCACCAAAAGGAAAAGAGCCCATACTTCACCTTTTTCTTATCCTGATTTCGGAGAGAGATGAAGGGAGTAGCTGGACTCATCTTGTTCAGAGACCCTGGGCTCACTCACCCTCTCATTCCTTTGGAATACTTTTTTAAAAACTAGCTTTTATTTTCATATTACAAAATAAAACGACATGCTCTTTGACAAAAATGTAGGAAATATAGATAAGGAAAATATTCCCATAATCCAACTACCGAGAGAAACATTTTGGCACATAGCCTAATCTTTCAATGCATGCAAATACTTTATGAAATGTTTTTCAAGCATAATCATATTGTATGTGCTATTTTATAGCTATTTTCACTTCACATATTATGAACACTTTTTCATTTCATTACACTTTCTTCTGCTATACAATTTTTAATGATTATATAGTATTTGTATGTGCCAAATTTGTTAACCTATTTACCGTTTCTGAACATCTATGTACTTTCTCATTTTTTGCTGTTATAAACACTGAACATCCTCAATGCCAAATCTGTACCCACAGTCACAATTATTTCCTTAGAGTAAATGCCTGCAAGGAAAATTGGTGGCTCTGAGCATGTATAAAAATCCCACCCTTTCACCTGTCCCAAGCATAGAGAATGGGGAAAACTGAAGCACGTGCTACTACAGACAAGGATAGTTGTAGGATGGCAGGGAGAACTTAGACAACCCAGGGGCTATGTGAATTCTTCCACTGCTACAAGCCCCAACCCAGGAGAACCTGCTTGATGGAAGCAGTGTCTGTATGTCAGTGTCAGTGCTTTCTTCCTGAAACAGGAAAGGAACCTTTATTCTCAGCAGCTGTTATCCACCTTTACCAATAAAAGACGTTAAGGAGGACATGGGTCTATAGACAAGGGAGTAGGAATTCATCTCTTCCAGTGTATTTATTCCCTTGGGAATTTGCTGGTGAAGAAAGGGGGAAGGCTTTCCTTCCAGGGTTCTAACAGTAACAGAGCGCCCTGCTTGTTTTCCAGGTGGGATGGATAGCAGGGTCTCAGGCACAACCAGTAATGGAGAGACAAAACCAGTGTACCCAGTTGTGGAAAAGGCGGAGGATGGCAACCTGGAACGGGGGCAGTGGAACAACAAGATGGAGTTTGTGCTGTCAGTGGCCGGGGAGATCATTGGCCTAGGCAACGTCTGGAGGTTTCCCTATCTCTGCTACAAAAATGGGGGAGGTGAGAGCCATTGCGCCACCCCAGCCACCCCTGCAAGGAGGACATCTCCATCTCCTCACCTTCTGCCCCTCCAGAGAGTCCCATAGACACACAGAATACTGGAATTGGAAAGACCCTTAGAAGTCATTAAGGACATTGCATGAGACTGAGACCTAGACAGCTCATCTGACTTCTCCAGGGGGTTTTCTATTGTAGGGTGGCATCATAGAAATATGAATATAGCCTTGGAACCAGATGGATCACAGTTTGGATTCTGGCTTTGCTACTGATTCTCTGTGTAATCTTGGGCAAGTTAGTTAAGCCCTCAGAGCCTCAATTGCTGCTCCTGTAAATTGAGATAGTAATGCCTACCCTTCAAGGTTGTTGTAAGGATTAGAGATAGTGTATGTAAAGTGCTTAAATGGTAGATGTTGAAGATGATGTTGATACCAAACTGTCCTGTCGTCTTGAGACCCCTAAGCCATGGCTTTGTGTCTTCCCCCTCCTCTGCTGGCACCATGACATTCCCTAAGCCGTTCATTACCCGACTCCCACCAGTGTCATAACCTTTGATACTAGTGGCTCTTCCTTTGAAAATTTTCCACTGAAAATACGTGTGGGGAGCATTGACTCTAACTCTTTACTAGGTCTTTACTGGCTTCTCAACCCTCCATTCTAGGCCCCTGGGGTAACTGCTACCCCCACAGCAGTGGTGGTAATTTTCCTACAACTAACTCCCCTTCAAGGAATCCCAGATCTTTGTGGGAAGCCCCAGAGGGACTTCCCAGATCCTAAAGTGTTTTGGCTGGGCAGGTTAGGAAGATCTCCTTGTTGGTGGGTAAAGCTTATAGAGGTTGGGGCTCCTAGGTGTGGTTTTGAAGTGAGGCTGCAGTCTAAGTGGGAAGAAAGGGGAATGCAGAGGTAGGTCATGGGGGAAAATTCTGAGTGGAGTGGTAATTTCACGGTCACAAATGTTGGAGGGCACCCTAGTGCAACCCCTATCCTTTCGCAGGTGAGCAGGAGCCTCCACATGCATTAAGCTCAGTCTCACAATAGTTTTGGAAAGAGAAAGCACATGACACAGAGTGGAGGTGGGTGGACAGAGAGATGCTCTGAGCCATGGAGTCTTATTCTCAGTATTGCAGCATTTAGGGATTGGCCTTGGAGTTGGAAATTATGTTTTTCCAGAGGGGTGGGAATGGGCTGATATGTCCTTTCTCACCAGGAATTTCTGGCCAGCAGCCTGAAATCACAGGACTTTGCTCAGTCTGCACTGTGAGGGAAAGAAGGAGGTCTTCCCACTTTGAAACTAGCTCTGGACACCCCACATGCTTGTTTAGGAGTTTAGGCCTGAAATCTCGCCCTTCAAAGCACTGGGTGAAGGGATGGGGCTGGTCCAGGGAGGAGAAGGAGTCTGGGGCCTAAGCTGGGCATTGGGACCCTGTATCTGGAACCTAGTAACCAGCTTAGCTTCTCACGTGGCAGAAAGATTAAGAGATGAGCCGCTTTCCCCAAGCCTCTCTGGAATTGGGTAAAGGTTGGTGTAGGAATTAGCAGGAAAGGCACAAAGAGGTGGGAGAGAGTGATTTCCAGGTCTACTTCAAACCTACTGGGCTGAAGAAAGGGAAGTAAAAGGGAGCAGTGACAGGAGCAGGGGGACCGTGGGACTTACTCTGTTGAGGTGAGGCTGTCTGGCCATATTTGGGTCTGAGCTCTGCCTCAGGGCGCTGTGGTAAATTGGTGCAGGCATGGAAATGTGTGACTATGTCTGGGTGGAAATGCAGGCCCGGGAAGAAAAGAGCATCTGTGGCCCTTGTTTTTTCACATGGGTGCTTGTAGGGGAAGCTGGAGGCAGGAGGGTGGATGCTGTGGCTTCTTCCTCCCTGGATAGAGCCTGCCTACCAGCACTGCTGATCCCAGTTGATAGTGGAGACATTTTTAGGGGTCCTGGATCCTGTCAAGTTCTCTTTATTTAGTCCGTACACCACCACCCATAATCTCCTCCTTGATCAAGCTCAGGGCCTTAGAATGCCTCTTCTCTTTTCCTTGATGGACAACAGCAGCTGGAGGGAAGTGTTTCTGAGGGGCTCTGGAGCTGGAGGCTAATGCCCAGGTTTGCTCTGAAGGGCATGTCATCCAGGGCCACTGGGTGAATTAATGGAAACGTTCCTTTGCCAAGGTAAGGGGGACTAACCAAAGATACGTATGGTCATTAGAGGAACCTAGACATACCTATTTTTCTGTTTTTTGGTGTTCCCAGTGGTTTAAGCCTTCTGTCGACATTTAACTCCCCTCGCCTCCCAAGGAAAACAAGCTCCTACAGAGAATGGGCCCTAACACTTCATCTTGTCATCTGTCTCTTTGTCAAAGAAGAGACCGAAGCATCTTTATGATAGGATCCTTTGCTGCTAATGTGGGGAAGGAGGGTGAGGACAATGGAGACCAGTTAGATTGGTTTGACCCTTTTCCTCCCTGGCTAGTCATTTTATTTAAACCCGTGTTTCTCAGATTGGGGCTTGGACTCCTCGGGGATGAGAGAAATACTCTGAGCGAGTTCTGGAGAACGATGCTGGGCTGCTCTGGGTGTACAATGCTCAGGTCACGTATGCTGTCAGCCTGCTCATGGGCCCTCTCTCTAGCTTCATAGCTTTGAATAGCCACTTTTGTGCTTGGGGTGAGGTGGGGTTGGGATAAGCTGGGACTTTATTATTGTTAATATTTGTTCAACGGCAAGGTCAGAGATGAAAAAGTCCCCAAAGTGTAATTTTAGTTTCAAACTAAAGTTACAAGTGATGTCTTCTTTGGTTCCTTCCAGCTTTTACATTTGGCAGATCTAGTTTAAAGTGAGTTCCAGTGCAGGGAAAGGGCTGAGGCAAGAATATGACGGAAGAACAGGCAACAGTTGAACATTATAGTTGAAAACCAGAGAAGCTGAGAAGGTGGTGCAAAGAAGCCCATTCAAAATCAGGTGCAACTGGTAGGCTTTTTAGGGAGATGGATGGGAGGGACGCGGCCTCAATCATCTCCTAGGTAAATACCCTCCCTGCTGTCCAGGACCTGTGGCCAGTCCACCACAAGCACCTTCCTCATCCTGATGGCTTTCTAGAGTGTCCAGTCTCAGTCAGTGGCCCCAGCATGGGGCCAACCAAGTCCTGCCCCTGACTGTGTCATTCAACAACAACTACATACTGAGGGCCTACCATGTGCCAGAAATTATCGTAAGTGGTTGGGATACACCTATAAACGAAACAGACCAGTTCCCTGTCCTCTTGGGACTTACATTCTAAAAAAGAGAGACAGCCAATAAACAATAAATATAGTAAATAGGAAAATTATATAATGTATCAGAAGCTAATAAGTGCTATGGAAGAAAACCGAGTAGAGGTGGGTAAAGGGGATCAAGAGTGAGAGGAGGGCCGTCACGTTGAGAACATTTGAGCAAAGCCTTGCCAGGAGTGAGGATGCTGACCAAGTAGACAATGGGGGTGAAAGTGCTCCAGGCAGACGAAACAAAAAGCTTAATGGTCCTAAAGCAAGAGGCTGACTGGCTTCTTAGCCGAGCTGCCAGGAGGGCAGTAAGTGGAAGGTGAGGTGAGAGAAGTAAATAGGGTGGCAGTGGCAGATCATGTGGGTCCTGGTCAGCTACGGGAAGACTTTGGCTTTTACTCTAGTGATGAGGGGAGTCACAGCAGGGTTTTGAGAAGGAGTGGCATGATCTTAGATTCTAAAATAATCTCTATGGCTTCTATGTTGAGAACTGACAGTAGAGGAGTAAGGGCAGAGGAGACCAGCTACAAGGCTAAAAATCTCAGAGTCATCCTTGATTCGCTTCTTTCTGTCATAACTGTTGGCTCTACCCACATACCCAGATCCTGGGTCCTGTAGAACATGGGCCTTCGGCTGGACCCTCTCCAGCTGCCTGGACCCTGACTGCCAATGGAATGAATTCCTCCACACCCAGAATATCTCGGACTGGAGACCCCACGTGAAATATGCAGAATCTGACACTTCTCATCACCTCCACTGCTACCACTTGGTCTAAGCAATCCAAGGATTTTAGCCTGAGCAGGTAGTAGGAAGGAGTTGCTGTTTGTTGAGATGTGAAAGTCTATGAGAGGTGCAGGTTTTAGGAGGAAAATAAGGAGCTGAGTTTTGGGAATGTTGAGTTGAGACATCTATCAGATATCCAAGTAGAGCTGTCAGCTAGGCAGTCGTGTGTGTGAGTCCAGAGTTTGTGAGAGAGATCTGGACTGGAGATATAAGCTTGAAAGTCATTGGATTTTGATGGTATAAGAAAAGAGATCAAGGAGCTTAAAACATCTGGGAGAGGGGCCGGCCCGGTGGCGCAGTGGTTAAGTGCACGCGTTCTGCTTCGGCGGCCCGGGATTCCCCGGTTTGGATCCGGGTGCAGACGTGGCACCGCTTGGCAAGCCATGCTGTGGTAGGCGTCCCACATATAAAGTAGAGGAAGATGTGTATGGGTGTTAGCTCAGGGCCAGTCTTCCTCAGCAAAAAGAGGAGGATTGGCAGCAGTCAGCTCAGGGTTAATCTTCCTCAAAAAAAAAAAGAAAAAAGATCTGGGAGAAGGGGAGGAACCAGCAAAATAGACAGAGGGAGAGAAACCAGTAAAGTAGGATGAAAACCAAGAGAATGGGGTATTTGGAAGGCAAGTAAAGCAATGGTATCAGGGAGGAGGGAGAGATAACTACATCAACTGCTGCTGAAAGGTTAAGAAAGACGAGGAATGAGAATTGATCGTTGGGTTTAGCAGCATTGGTGACATTGTAAGAGCAGTTGCAGTAGCGTGCTGGGGCAAAGACTGGTTGCAATAAGTTTAAGATAATGCAGGAGGGAAAGATTGGAAATAGGGAAATATATATGGGCAAAACTCAGGAGTGGATGAAATTCATCTCTTCTTTCTGTATTCTCCCTCTGGAGTGGAAATAAGCAACGTGAGTGCTGCATGGTAGTATAGTGCCCAGTGTGTCCAGCGATGTTGGGGATAGGTCTCATGACTGGTGAAGTTGCTAAAGAAGCTGCACATTTGAACTCTTTCCCCAGCTCTCCACCCTCAACTCCCAGGAGGGAGAGCAAACCTGGTCTTTCTCCAGGGCCTGTCCAGCTAAAGCGCTAGCTGTGGGGATGAGGAGACTGGGTAAGCTGAGAGGCATGATGCAGGAGAAGGTGGTAGGAGAGGGTTTCGGCAATAGGATGCAACTCTGCCAGGAGGGAATTTAAGTGAGTTGCCTGCCAGTCTCAGCCCAGACAAAACAGATCATCTGCCAATCATTTTATACTTCATTTCTAAATCGGTTGTTGAAAACTGGGGGCGGAGGTCACCTATGCTGAGAATCTTTGGTTTCTGCCAGTCTTAGAACAGCAGCTAGAGACCGCCTTGTGTGACCACCGATGCTCCTTTCTTCCCTGTCCTGTCCAAGCCCTCCTCCCTTCTGATCTTCAGTCTCCAAACACCCAGATCCTGGTGCTTCAGAACACGGGCTTCCAGATGACACCCCTCCAGCTCCTTGGAACCTGGCTGCTGACAGACTGAGTTCCTCAACACCCAGAATACCTGGGACTGGAGACTCCATGAGTGTAGCACAGCTGGACCTCTCAGAAATAGGGATCTTAGAGGGGAAGGACTGTGGGGGAAGGGCAGCAACACAGTAAAACTCAGCTCCAGACTGTAGGGAGAGAGCGCATAGACACCAATGTAAAGGGGAGAAATGGCACCTGGCATCACGGAAGACTCTTCCCCTTGATGCTATTTGTAGGTGCTAAAGAACAAAGAGAAACGAGGAGCGCTTTTCTTCGTATGAGAGTAATACTTATTTTAGTAGCGCGTGACCATTTGTTACTGTTTTTGGTTAATTACTCAGTGCCCAGTATTGGTCAGATTAGTGTTGATTAGAGCATATAACTGTTCATGTATGCTCACTGCTGTGTTGCTCATGTGGACTATCATTAGTTTGTGTCTTAAAAAATGTCACCTGGAACATTACAGGTGACATTACACAGTGTGCTCCTTTTAAGAAGAGTGGCCAGCAGAATGATTCCTTCTAGGATGGGCATGTGGTCTCTCCCATTCTGTAGGGAAAAATGCCGGGACATTTTAGAATTGTGGGGAAGAGACTAACGTGGGGCATACGCGGGAGCAGGTAACTGTGAACTCCATCCTTCATCTCCAGGACTAACTCCATTTTTCAGTGGTGGCGCCTGGGGCTTGGGTGGGAAAAGAGGCAGACTGCCCTATAGGACTCCCCAGTCTGCACCTGGGTCCTTGGGTTCCATTCTGCCCCTCACAACTTCCCCACTTTTAGGCCAGTGGCCCTGCCTGGTGGATGTGGACCTTGTCCCTTGTGGCATGCTGCCCAGGTGCTCAAAGAGGGAGAGAAGGAGGGGAACAGAGCTGACCATAGGACCCAGTGCTGTTAAACATTGGCTTGGTTTGTTGGGAAAGAGCAAGGAGCATACAGATGTGGAGGAGAGGCTTGACCTAGGCGGAAAACTCAGTTCGCTCTCTATCCTGTCTCTCTCTTTTATCCTCTCTTCTCTCTTTCTTTTCTCTCTCTCTCTCCGTTACTGCAATGTTTCCAACCCTCATCAGTGACTGTTCACATAAGCTATGGGGCTCTCTCTTCCCTAATTTTCCACTCCTGCCCAAAAAGTCTTGGATTGACTTATGTACTTATTAGCCTGCATTGTTTACGATCTTTATTTCTTTCTCCTTGAGGTAATCAAGTGTTTCCCTCAGTGCCTGAATTATGGATGTGTGGACTACATGCCAGAGGTTTGGAAGGTGAAGAACTAGAGAACTCTAGACCCCATTAACTTTTGCTTGAAACAGTTTTTTTTTTTTTTTGAGGAAGATTAACCCTGAGCTGACATCTGCCGCCAATCCTCCTTTTTACTGAGGAAGACTGGCCCTGAGCTCACATCCGTGCCCATCTTCCTCTACTTTACATGTGGGATGCCTACCACAGCATGGCTTGCCAAGTGGTGCCATGTCCACACCCGGGATCCAAACTGGTGAACCCCAGGCCGCCAAAGTGGAATGTGTACACTTAACCGCTGTGCCACCGGGTGGCCCGTGAAACAGTTTTATTAAGATATAATTGACTTACAGGGGCTGGCCCCGTGGCCGAGTGGTTAAGTTTGCACGCTCCGCTGCAGGCGGCCCAGTGTTTCGTTAGTTCGAATCCTGGGCGCGGACATGGCACTGCTCATCAGACCACGCTGAGGCAGCGTCCCACATGCCACAACTAGAAGAACCCACAACGAAGAATACACAACTATGTACCGGGGGGCTTTGGGGATAAAAAGAAAAAATAAAATCTTTAAAAAAAAAAAAAAAGATATAATTGACGTACAATAAATTGCACATATTTAAAGTGTACAATTTAGTAAATTTTGACATATCTATACACCCTTGAAACCATTGCCTCAAGATAATGAACATATCTGTCACTTCACAAAATTTCCTCCTGTTCCTTTATTCCAACTCTGACCTCTGCTACCCCATCCCAATGCAACCACAGACCTGTTTTTTTGAAATATATATATATTACAGCTTTATTGGTATGTTATTGATATATAATATAAGTTTAAGGTGTACAATGTGATGATTTAATACACTCACATATTGTGAAATGATTACCACAATAAGGTTAGTTAACACTTCTGTTCCCTCACATAATTACCATTTTGTGTGTGTGTGGTGATAACATTTAAGATCTACTCTCTTAACTTTCAAGTGTATAGTACAGTATAATTCACTATAGTCACCAAGCTGTACATTAGATCCCCAGAACTTACTCATCTTAATGGCTGGAAGTTTATAGCCTTTGACCAGTATCTCCCCATTTCTCCCACCCCCTAGCCTCTGACAACCACCGTCCTACTCTCTATTTCCATGAGTTTGGCTTTTTTAGAGTCTACATGTAAGTGAGATCATATAGTATTTCTCTTTCTCTGACTTATTTTACTTAGAATAATGCCCTTGAGGTCTTTCTCTGTTGTCTCAAAAGGCAGAATTTCCTTCTTTTTTTTTATGACAAAATAGTATTTCATTGTGTGTATGTGTGTGTATATATATCTCTATACACGTGTATATGTATATCTATACATGTGCATCTATCTATCTATATATATGCCCCCACATTTTCTTTATCCATGCACCTGTTGACCAATGCTTAGGTTATTTTCTGTCGCTGCACATTAGTTTGCATTTCTTAGAATTTTATATAAATGGAATCTTGCTGTATGTACTTTATCTGGATTCTTTCGCTCAGCATAATTATTTTGAGATTTTTTGAGTATCAGTAGTTCGTTCCTTGTTATTACTGAGTAGTGTTCCCTTATGTGGGTATACTACAATTGGTTTATCTGTTCTCTTGTTGATGGACATTTGGATTGCTTCCAGGTTTTAGCTGTTACAGATAAAACCACTGAGAACATCTGGACACAAGTCTTTGTATAAATACATGCTTTCATTTCCCTTGAGTAGATACTAGGAGTGGAATGACTGGTTTACATCGTAGGTGCGCTTTTAGCTTTTTAAGAAACCGCCAAACACTTTTCCAAAATGGTTGCACCATTTTACATTCCTGCCAGCAGTGGATGCAAGTGCCAGTTTTTCCACATCCTCACCAATACTTGGTCAGTCTTTTTAATTTTAACTTCTCAAATTGGTGTGTAATATTATCTCATTGTCATTTTAATTTGTATTTCCCTAATGACTAATGATGTTGAGCATCTTTTCATGTGCTTATTTGCAACCCATATATCTTCTTTGGTGAAAACCTGTTCAAATTTTTTGACCATTTAAAAAAATGGGTTGTTTGTTTTCTTACACTGAATTTTGAGAGTTCTTTATAAATTCTGAGTACAAGTCTTTTATCAAATATGCATTTTGCAAATATTTTTTCTCATTCTGTCTTATATTTTTCCTTTTCTTTACTTTTTTTTTTTTTTAAGATTGGCACCTGGGCTAACAACTGTTGCCAATCTTTTTTTTTCTGCTTTATTTCCCAACCCCCCCCCCCCCCCCCCCAGGTGCATAGTTGTATATCTTAGTTGCAGGTCCTTCTAGTTGTGGGATGTGGGACGCCGCCTCAACGTGGCCTGACGAGCGGTGCCATGTCCAGGATCCGAACCCTGGGCCACCGCAGCGGAGCGCACAAACTTAACCACTCGGCCACGGAGCCGGCCTATATTTTTCATTTTCTTAGCAGAGTTCTTTTGAAGAGCAGCAGTTTTAAATTTTGATAAAGTCCAGTTTATCAATTTATTCTTTTATGGATCATGCTTTTGGTGTCACATGAAAGAAATCTTTGCTTAACTGAAGGTCTCATACATTTCCCTCCAGAAGTTTTGTAGTTTTAGGTTTTACATTTAGGTCTGTGATCCATTTTGGGTTAATTTTTATATATAATGAAGGTATTAATTGAAGTGCATTTTTTCGTGTATATGGATATCCAGTTGTTCCAGCATAATTTTTTGAAAAAACTATCTTTTCTCCAATGAATTACCTTTATACCTTTGTTGAAAATCAGTCGTCCATAAATGTGTGGGCCTGTTGCTGGACTCTGTTCTGTTCTATTGTTCTATTTGTTTGTTTTGACACCAAAACCACACTGTCTTAATTACTGTAGCTTTATAATAATATAAAAATAAGGTGGGGTTAAGCCTACAATTTAGTTCTTTTTCAAAGTTGTTTGGCTCTTTTAGGTCGTTTGCATTTTCATATGTATTTTAGAATCAGTTTGTCAATTTCTACTAAAAAGTCTGGAATTTTGACTGGGATTGCTGTGAATATGTAGATCAATTTGGGAAGAATTGACTCTTAGTAACATTGAGCCTTCTGACCCATGAACGTGATACCCCTCACCGTTTATTTAGTCTTCTTTAATTTCTCTCAGCAATGTTTTGCAGTTGTGGGTGTGCATATCTTTCATCAGATTTATTCCTAAGTACTTGATGTTTTTTGATGCTATTATGAATGGTACTATTTCTTACATTGTAATTTATGATTGTTGCTACCGTATGGAAATAAAATTGGTTTTTGTGTGCTGGTCTGGTATCCTGCAATCTTACTAAACTAACTTATTGGTCTCCTGGCTCTTTGGTACATTCCAAAGGGTTTTCTTTTCTTTTCTTTTTAGAAACTTTATTGAGGCATTATTGACATACAAAAAGCTGTAAATTTTTAATGTATACAACTTGATGAGTTTGGAGGTAAATATACACTTGTGAAACCATTACCTCAATCCATGCCATAAACATGTCTCTCACCTCCAAAAGTTTCCTTCTGCCCTCTTTTTTATTTTAATTTTTTGGTGATAAGAACACTTAGTGTAAGATTTTCCTTAGAAAATTTTAAAGAAAACAATACGATATTATTAACTATAGGCACTGTGGTGTACAGTAGATCCCTAGGACTTACTCTTTTTGCATAACTGAAACTGTGTGCACTTTGACCAACAGCTTCCCATTTCCCTTCCTCAGCCCCTGGGAACCACTATTCTACTCTCTGCTTCTATGAGTTTGACTATCTTAGATTCCAAAGAATTTTCTATGGAGACTACCATGTCATTTGTGAATAAGGCAGTTTTATTTCTTATTTTCCAATCTGAATAACTTTTAATTCCTTTTCTTACCTTATTGCCTTGGTTAGAATCAATATTGATAGGAAAACTTTTGAATAGAAGTGGTAAGAATAGACACCCTTGTCTTGATCTTGATCTTGATCTTAGGGGTTAAAAAGCCTTTTACCACTAAGTATGATGTTATCTATACGTTTTTTGTAGATTCACTTTATCAGGTTGAAGAATTTTCCTTCTATTCATCATTTGCTGAGAGTTTTTATCAGAAATGCTGTTAGATTTGGTTGAATACTTTTTCTGCATTTATCGAAATGATCATATGGTCCTTCTTTTTAAATTTATTAATGTAATAAATTACATTGATTGAGTTTTTGAATGTTAAAACAACCTTGTCTTCCTGGATAACCCCCACTACACATTGTATTATCTTTTTTATATATTGTTGGATTTGATTTGCTTACATTTTGTTTAGAAATTTTGCATCTATGTTCATGAAACATATTGGTCTGTAGTTTTCTTTTCTTGTAGTGTCTCTGTCTGCCTTTGTTATTAGAGTAATGCTGGCTTTATAGAATGAGTTGGGAAGGCTTCCTTCCTCTTAAATTTTCTGGAAGAGTTTGTGTAGAATTGGTGTTATTTCTTCCTTAAATGTTTGGGCAATTCACCAGGAAAGTCATTGGGCCCTGGAGTTTTCTTTGTGAGAAGGTTTTTAAACAATAACAAAAAATTTCTTTAATAGAAAAAGGACTGTTCAGGTTATCTGTTTCTTCTTGAGTGAGCTTTGGTAGTTTGTATTTTTCAAGGAAATTGTCTATTTTACCTAAATTGTTGCATTTATTGACATAAAGTTGTTCATATATTTTCCTATTATCCTTTTACTATCTATAGAATCTGTACTGATGATACCGCCCTCATTTGTCATACAAGTAATTTGTATCTCCTAGAGGTTTATCACTTTTATTGATTATCTCAAAGAACCAGCTTTGGTTTCATTGATTTTCTCTATTGTTTTCCTATTTTCCATTTCATTGATTCCCATCTGATTTTTAAAATTTCCTTTGACTTACTTTGGGTCTAATTTATTTTTATTTTATTCATTCTTAAGGTAGAAGCTGAAATTATTGATTTGAGACTTTCCTTCTTTTATAATAATAGGTGTTTGTTGCTAAAAATCTCCCCCTAAGTATTACTTTAGCAGTATCCTACAGATCTTGATAAATTGTGTTTTCATTTGATTCAATTCAAAATACTTTTTAATTTCCCTTTTGATTACTTCTTTGACACATGGGTTATTTAGAAGTGTTACCTAATTTCTAAATATTTAAGGCTTTTCCAAGGTCATTTCTTTTCTTTTTTTTTTTTTTAAAGATTGGCACCTGGGCTAACAACTGTTGCCAATCTTTTTTTTTTCTTTCTGCTCTATCTCCCCAACCCCCCCACTGTACACAGTTGTATATCTTAGTTGCAGGTCCTTCTAGTTGTGGGATGTGGGACGCTGCCTCAACGTGGCCTGACGAGCGGCGCCGTGTCCGTGCCCAGGATCCGAACCCTGGGCCACCGCAGCGGAGCGCTCCAACTTAACCACTCGGCCACGGAGCCAGCCCCTCCAAGGTCATTTCTTTTGTTGATTCCTAATTTAGTCAAAGAACATACTTTGTATGACTTGAATTTTTTGAAACTTAATGAGATTTGTTTTGTGGCCCAGAATACGTCTATCTTGGCAAATATTTGTTGTGTAGTTGAAAAAATTTGCTCTATTTCTCTCTGCAGTTCTGTCATTTTTGCTTCATATTTTGAGGCTCTTATTAGGTGCACATGCATTTAGGCTTATTATGTCCTCTTGATGAATCAACCCCTTTATCATTATGAAATGACCTTCTTTACCTCTGGTAATGTTTTTTGCTCTGAAATCTACAGTGTGTTATGTTAGGATAAACATTCCGACTTTCTTTTGATTAGGATTAGCATGGCATATCTTTTCCCATCCTTTTACTTTTAACCTATTCCTGTCTTGATATTTAAAGTGCATTTCTTTTAATCAACATATAGCTGAGTCTTGCTAGTTTTTTTTAAACCAATCTGACCACCTCTACCTTTTATTTGGGATAGTTAGCCTACTTACATTTCAGGCAGTTATCCGTATGATGAAGTTTAAGTCTGTCATCTTACTATTTGTTTTCTATTTGTCCCATCAGTTCCTTGTTCCCCTTTTCCTCTCCTTCTGCCTTTTTTTAGATTAATGGGATATTTTTTATTATTCCATTGTTGGCTTTCTTCTTTGTTGGCTTATTAGCCCTAACTCTTTGTTGTATTAGTTTCGAGATTGTTTTCAGTTTTGTGGCATACATCTTTAACTTAGCATAATTTGCCTTCAAGTGACATTGTATCACTTTACATAAAAGAACCTTACAATAATACACTTCCATTTCTCTCCTCCCAACTTTTGTGCTCTTGTTGTCATACATTTTATTTCTTCATTTATTATAAACTCCGTATTATATTGTTATTTTGTGTGTTTGTTATTGAGTTCATAATAGTTTACATCAATGTGAGATTTCAGTTGTACATTATTTCTTGTCTGTCACCACGTAAGTGCTCCCCTTCACCCCCTGTGCCCACCCCCCAGCCCCCTTCCCCTGGTAACCACTGAACTGATTTCTTTGTTCCAGTACTTGTTTATATTCCACATCTGGTGTTTGTCTTTCTCAGTCTGGCTGATTTCGGTTGGCATAATATATTGTTATTATTTTTGTTTAACCAGTCAATTATCTTTCAAAGAGATTTGAATAAGAAAAACTTGTTACATGCTTACCTGTGTATGTAGTTACCATTTTTAACATTGCTCATTCCTTTGTGTGGATTCATATTTCTCTCTGGCATCATCATTCCTCTCTGCCTGATTGATTATGATGTGCCTTGTTCTAGTGTTCATTATGTTTCTTATCTTAGGGCTCATTGAGTTTCTTGGATCTGTGGATTTCTAGTTTTCATCAAATTTGAAAAAAATTTAGCCATTATTCGAATTTTTTTCTGGCCCTTCTCTCTCTTTTATATCCTTCAGGGACTCCACCTACAATTATATCAGGCTGTTTGAAATTGTCCCACAGCTCACTGACACCTGTTGTTGTTTTTTTAGCTCTTTTTTCTCTTTGTGTTTTATTTTGGATAGCTTCAACTTTATGGTTCAAGATCACTGTTCTTTTCTTCTGCTATTAATCTACCGTCAGTCCCATCCAGCGTATCTCACACGTTGTGGTTTTCATCTCTAGAAGTTTGATTTGTGTCTTTTTCAATATCTCCCATGTCGCTGTCTGACTTTTTGAACATATGGAATACAGTTATAATAACTATTTTAATGTCCTCATCTGCTTATTCTAACGTGTAAGTTATGGGTTGGGTTCAATTGATTGATTTGTCTACTCATTATGAGTAATATTTTCCTGCTTCTTTGTTTTCCTGGTAATTTTTGATTGGATGCCATACCTGGCGATTTTTTCCTTATTGGTTGCTGAGTATTTTTGTATTTCTATAAATATTGTTGAGCTTTTTCCTGGGACCAGTGAAGTTATTTGATCCTTTTGGGTTTTACTTTTAAGATTTGTTAGGCAGAACCAGAGTTGTGCTCAATCTGGGGCTAAATATTCCCCACTATGAGGAAACACCTTCTTTTCCCAATGCCCTGTGAATCCTGAGATGATCCAGTCTGGCTGGTGGGAACGGGCACTCTTCTCTGCCCTGTCTGAGCACCCTTACTCTCAATCTTTTTGAATAGCTCTTTCCCTTACTTTGGGTAGTTTCCTCACACACATGTGCTGACCAGTACGCAGTTGAAAGACTCTGCCAGTATTTGGACCTTCCTGTCTGTGTAGTTCTCTCCTTCTGGTGCTCTGTGAACTCCCCTGTATGCTTTGGCAGCAGATAGAGTCCATGGTGGAGAAAACACCAGCATTTCTGGCATTGGTAGACTTGTCTCAGCCAATGATTGTGAAAACAGAAGCAGAAAGGATTACTAAAGGGAAATCTGATTTCAGCCTGCTAAAAGTCCCTATCTAACATTGAGAGCAGTCATTGCCTTGAAAAGAATTACAGTCTGTGGGCTGGGTTAATGCTCCTGGACATCCACGACTCAATGAACGCCTTGCTGTTGCCGCAGCTGTGTGTTATCTAGGCAGTAATTGATGTTCCATGGGGGCGAAGCTGGGTAGGTATAGATTGAAACTTCAGAGTGAAAACAGGGACTGGTTAGGTCCTAGGTAACTTGGTGACTCTTGATCTCTGCTATGGTTCCAGACATCTGGACAGATGTCCCCTGCAGTTTGGCATGTCCCCCACCCCTGGGATTCTGACTGGCAGTACGGGGTGGTAATGGGAGGAGATGAATGTGGACCATGAGGAGGCTAGTGCCAGGTAATGGACAGTCTGTTTCCCACCCACAGGTGCCTTTTTCATCCCCTACCTCATCTTCCTCTTTACCTGTGGCATTCCTGTCTTCCTCTTGGAGACAGCACTGGGCCAGTATACTAGCCAGGGAAGCATCACAGCCTGGAGAAAGATCTGCCCCATCTTTGAGGGTGAGTAGCTCTATCTGATTCAAGGGTATCTGCACTAGTGGTTATAAACGTTGATCAGAATGACTGGGTGGCTTAGCTGCAGTGCTGGTTGAGATAAGGCCCTGTGTCTTTATGTTAACCCCTCCACTGTGAGCTAATCACCCAGTCCATCAGAGAATGGAGGAGAAGATGAGGATGAGGATGGGGCAACGGCTTTAGCTTAAATAAGTAGAGTGCGAAGCTATTTTAGCGATATATTTAAAATATACATATAACAATGATTTTGTAGTTTTCTTTTTTAAAATTTATTTATTTTTTAAAGATTGGTACCTGAGCTAACAACTTTTGCCAAGCTCCTTTTTTGTTTTTCCTTCTTTTTCTCCCCAAAGCTCCCCAGTACACAGCTGTATGTTTTTTAGTTCTGGATCCTTCTAGTTGTGGCGTGTGGGATGCTGCCTCAGCATGGCCTGATGAGGGGTGCCATGTCCACATCCAGGATCCGAACCAGCGAAACCCCGGGCTGCCAAAGTGGAGCACACGAACTTAACCACTCAGCCTCAGGGCCAGCCCTTATGTTTTTTATTGCAGTAACATTGGATTATAACATATAACTTTCAGGTGTACATCGTAATATATTTCAAATTCTGTGTAGATTACATCATGTTCATCACCCAGAGACTAATTACAATCCATGTATTTTTCAAAACATATGTAATCAATTATAAAACATTTTAGAATAGAATTTTAAATGAGAAAAAATATCATTAATAATTCTACCATCTTGACACAATAGCTGTTTAAAATTTAGAATATTTTATTTCAATATTTCTCTATAGGGTTTTCTTTAAGTTTCTATTTTGAAATAATTATATATCCACAGAAAGTTGCAAAAATAGTACAGGGAGGTCACATGTACCTTTCATCCAGTTTTTGCCATGGTAACATCTTACATGAGTATAGAACAATATCAAAACCCGGAAATGACGTTGGTACTCTCCACAGATCTTATTCAGATTTCACCAGTGTGCATGGACACCCATGTGTGTTATGTATAACTCTGTGTAATTTTATCACACCTGTAGATTTGTGTAACTACCATCACAACCAAGATACAGAATTGTTCATCACCACAAAGATCTCTCTCATGCTGCCCCTTTATAGTCACACCAACCCTCCCCTCCCCAACCCTAACCTCTGGCAACCACTAATTTTTTCTCTATCACTATAATTTTGCCATTTTGAGAATGTTATATAAATGAAAGCATTCAATGTAAAACATTTTGAGATTGGCTTTTTCGCTCAGCATGATGCCCTTGAGATCCATCCAGCTTGTTCTCACATCAATAGCTCATTATTTTTTATTGCTGAGTACTATTCCATGGTGTGGTTATACCACAGTTCATTTATTAATTCACCCACTGAAGAATGTTTGGATTGTTTCCAGTTTTGGGGATTTTATTTCATTCATTCATTCTCTCTCTGTAGAGTTTATATATCCACTATATGGAATATATACAGTGTATTTTTCTGTTTTCAGTTAGTATTATTTTCCATTTTCTACACAACAATCATTTAATGATTGCATGAACTTCCGTCAAGTAGATATATCATAATTTACTTAACAGTTCCCTGTTTTGGGCTTCTTGCTTATATTCAATTACTTATAAAATTGCTATATTCTGCTATCGTGTATTTGTTGAGATAGCTTTTCCCCCCTTTTTGGGAATTATTTCTTTAGGATAAATTCCCAGGATTAGGATCATTGCATCAAATGGACAATCAAATTGATGTCTCTTGATCTAGCTTATTATATTCCCCTTGGAAGTGTACTGACTTACATGTCACTAGACATGAGTAAGCATCTTTCCCCCATATCTTAACAACTCTGAGTCATCCATGGTTCCCAAAATTGTCTGCACTTTGGAACCACCCAGGGACCTTCAAAACATCCTGAGGCCTGTACCCCACCCCCAGAGATTGTGATTTAGTTGGTCTGGGGTCTGGTCTGGGCTTTGGAATTTTTAAATATCCCCAGGTAGTTCTAATATGCAGACAAGTTTGGAAATCACTGTTACATCATTTGTAAGAAGTTTCACCAGGGCTGTAGGCGCAGAATGGTACCTCATTATTGTTTCATTTTGCACACCTGCAGTTATTAGGGAGGCTCTATTTGCATTCTCTCCTATGTGAATTGTCTGTTCCTGCTCTTAACATGTTTTTTTATTTCAGAAACCTATCAGACTAATTCCAGGGTATATTGTCTATTGGAATCTTGAAGTTTAGTCTTACACATTTAAAAAGTAACTTTGAATCAGTGAACTTTCAGAACTAATCACGATGGAAGTGCACAGGCAGCTGGGTAGTGCAGCAGAAGCAGGGAGGAAAGTCCTCTCCCGACCTGAGGAGGGCTATTGGTGCTGCCGCACACTCCTGGCTCCTGGAGAGGGAGCAGGGAGCCAAAGCCGAGGCCCCAGCACTTCTTGTTTTAGGGCACAGACAACGTGTGCAAAGCCTCTCCTAAACAGGGATGGGTAGTGTGTTCGGTCCCCGGCCCAGTTCTGTCGTCTCCCTCCGCAGGCATCGGCTACTCCTCCCAGGTGATCGTCGTCCTCCTCAACACCTACTACATCGTCGTTCTGGCCTGGGCCCTCTTCTACCTCTTCAACAGCTTTGCCGTGGACCTGCCCTGGGGAAGCTGCCGCCACGAGTGGAACACGGGTAAGGCCATCTGCAGAGATCCGTTTCCTCCTGTTGCTCTGCTGCGCTAACCAGGAGTGGGATTGTCCCCGTGTCCCGGGCAGCCCAGCACCGGCTTAAACTTGGGACTCACTAGGAATCTGCCAAGTCGATCGTGGAGATCTTATATCAAGGATAAGAGCGAGATTTCACCAGCATCACCTGCAAAATGTCAGAGACTTTTTAAAAGAAAATTCATGTGTTTGGGGCTGTCCCAGGGGCGGAGTGGTTAAGTTTTAGGCCCTCTGCTTCAGTGGCCCAGGGTTCGCGGGTTCAGATCCCAGGACGGACCTACACACCACTCATCAAACCATGCTGTGGGGGCCTCCCACATACAAAATAGAGGAAGACCGGCACAGATGTTAGCTCAGCGACAGTCTTCCTCAAGCAAAGAGAAAAAAAGAGTGAGATTGGCAACAAATGTTAGCTCAGGGCCAATCTTCCTCACATACGCACACAATCGTGTATTCAATTATTCAATACATGTATGAATTCATGTATTATGCAAGTAGAACTGACTTCTTTTTATGTAGTTTAGCCATTTATTTATTTTCATTTGAAATGTGGTTAGTTTGATATATGTGTATATTTTTTGTTCATTTATTTATTTCTCATGTCTTCTTTCTGATGCTCTTTTAGGTCTTTCCAGCTCACAATTCACCTGGATTTAACCAGGGCATAAACTGTTTTGTATGTCAGCAATATAATTTATAACAGCAGTTAATTTTCTCCTGTGTTTATAAGACTATATGCGATTCTCTTATAAGACTGCAAGAGCTACCTATGGCCATGGAACTACTGAGTCTAATGCATTGAAAGTAACAAAAATTAAAAATACCTAGGGTAGTACTCAGGCAAATTTTCCTTCTTGACATTTTTGACATTTCTCCTAGTGAGTCTGATTTTCCTCAGAGCCTAGCATCTTGAATAGTATAGGACATCCTGTCAAGATGAAACAGCACTTTTCTGGGGGTGCTGAAGCTTCAAGGAAAGTGATATGGTTTAGAGACAAGAGCACTCAGCTGGCAGTCAATCATTCAAGGGATATTCATTGAGCTCCTGGTAAACGCCAGGCTCTGTTCTGAGCGCCAGGGAAGTAGTCATGCACGAAAAGGAAGTTCCCAGTGCCCTTGTGCAGTTTCCGTTCTAGCAGCGAGAGAGAGAGAGACAGAGACAGAGAGAGACAGTGAGAGAGAGAGAGACAGAGACAGAGACAGCGAGAGACAGCGAGAGACAGAGAGAGACAGCGAGAGAGAGAGAGCGCGAGAGTGAGCGAGAGAGAGCGTAAGCAAGATGAGGGAGTAAAATGCGTCGTGTTAGAAGAAGTGCTGTGGAGAAAAACAAATCAGGGAGGAGGGACTGGTAATTTTAGGGGTGTACGGGTGTACTTTAAATAGGGTCATCAGGGAGGGTGTTACTGAGAAGAGGCGCTGGAGTAATGCTCTGAAGGCGGAGAGAGAGTGAGCCATTGAGGGTGCAGGGGGCAAACACCAAGTGCAAAGGCCCTGAAGCAGTGCTGTCCTGTAGCATCCAGGGAACGGCAAGGCTGGAGGAGCTAGAAAGGAGTGAAAAAGCAGTGAGAGACAGGGTCACAGGCCATGGGGTAGATTGAATAGGGCCATGGAGGTGATTATAGGGGTTTGGGCTTTTTTCTCCGAGTGGGATAGGAAACCTGTCAGAGAGTTTCAAACCAGGCGTGACATAAAGTGACTTAAATGTTAACAAAATCACTCTGGGCACTGTCTGGAGATTTGGCTAGGGAGGCAAGAGTAGAAACTGGAGGCCAGTTAGGGAGACATGAGATGGTGGTGGCTGCCTCGGGGTGGTGGTAGAGGCTCTAAGGAGAAAGTTCAGGTTCTAGGTATTTTGAAGGTAAAACATACCCAATTTGCTGAATTGGATTCTAGCCCTCACTTAGTCACTTATAAGCTAGGACAGGCCATTTCTAAGAAGATTTACTTTTTCACATGTACAATGGGAAAAACACTATCCATCTTAATATTTCCCAAGACTGTTGTACTAATAAAATGTAAAAAAAGAATGTGAACACTGTTTGTGAAACTCCAAAGTCATATACAGATAATTAAGAGCCATTACTTATTGAGTACTTTACAGACATATTTTCATTTAATCCCCTTCTCAATCCTACAAATGTGCATTCTTTTATTTATTTATTTATTTTTTGCTGAGGAAGATTAGCCCTGAACTAACATCTGTGCCAATCTTCCTCTACTTTATATGTAGGTCACCGCCACAGCATGGCTGATGAGTGGTATAAGTCCATTCCCTGGGATCCAAACCCGCAAACCTGGGCCGCCGAAACAGAGCATGCCTAACTTAACCACTGTGCCCTGGGGCCAGCCCCCAAATGTACATTCTTGTGTACATTTTAGAGATGGGAGAAGTGAGGCTTAAAGAGTCACATGGTGAATAACCAGAAGGTCAGGATTCAAGCCAGAGCCTCCTGACCTTGAACCTCTGCTCTTAGCAACTCTGTCACATCACTTCCCAGGAGGGCATTCTCACTATCCCTCAAAGGCTGTGACTTTCTACAGGACAGTTACCTAGAAATATGTGTGTTTTTTGAACCAGATGACATGCAGAGCATCTTTTCTGATGCTATCTGATCATGCTTTAATAAGAGTATGTACCCAAATGTTTATAAACCCATGTGAGAACGTGTGTGAGAGAGGGTGAGGTGGGTTTGTTGAGGTTATTTTATGTCTGAGGATGTTTTGTATAGACAACTTCCGCCCAGTTCCTTTCAGATACTTTGCTTCCCATTCTCCCCAAATTTCCCTCCACTCTCTCCAGTCATGTCAGGTATTGACTAATGATCCTTCTCTTTCTTCTTACCCTGGGACCCATGGGCAGAACACTGTGTGGAGTTCAAGAAGACCAATGGCTCCCTGAATGTGACCTTTGAGAATTCCACCTCTCCTGTCATCGAGTTCTGGGAGTAAGTGAGGCCGTTTCCCCGCCCCGGTGTGGGCTGTGTGTTTGAAAGAAGGGCCTGGGGATGGGTTCAGGCAGTGATGACTCTCAATGGACACCAAGGGAAGAATTCCCGTCTCCTTCTTTGGTGGCTCTTTCACCTAAGTGGCTTTTTTCTGTTGTGCCTATATTTGTGGTTAATGCAGAACTGGTTTCAGAGATGGGAATTTTGCAACTGTTCTCAGGCTGTGCCTGCCTTTCTTCTCCCATGTGCCCACCCACATGTTAGATAGTGCACATGCATGTGTGTCCACATTCCTAACCTACCCTCCTCACTTCAGCTGCTTATACATTGCCTCTTGTCTGCCCCTCCTCCAAATATTGATATTCATCTAGGGCATGATTCCTCATATTGAAACATCCTAAAACCCTGGTTGAGAAAATATGTGTTTGCACCTTCTTCTCTAGGTTAAATTGGTACTCAGCTTCCCAGAGCAAACTTACCTGGGAACAGTTTCTATTTGCCTCCTTTTATATCTATCCCTATCTCTGGGCAAAGGAGAGCCTCATGGATCTGAGTGAGAAGAGCTGAGAAGCTTCTGGACAAGACCCTGGAGGCATGGTTCCACTGCCCGAGACACGTGGGCTACAAAATTGAGGCTGACAGCAAAAGTGGAGCCCGGCTCAACCTTCTTTCCTCAGGAGGCGGGTCCTGAGGATCTCTGATGGCATCCACCACCTGGGGTCCCTGAACTGGGAGCTGGCCTTGTGCCTCCTGCTTGCCTGGGTCATCTGCTACTTCTGCGTCTGGAAGGGGGTCAAGTCCGCGGGCAAGGTCCGTGTTGGAGAGCTCCTGGCACCTCCCATCCCAGGACTCCCTGCCTCACTGGGGGCTCAGTCACTTAGGAGTGCCCTAAGTTGTAGCCTGGTCAGGGATGGGAGGGAATGACCCAGCAAAGATTTTATGTGACCCCTGTCCTTGATTCTGTGCCTCTCCTAGATTCAAACCCACGTCCTTCTGGTATTTGGGGAATTAAATGGAAGAGTGAGAGAGAGAGAGAAAGGCAGGAAGGACGCTTCCAGAGGAATTCAATCTTGGAAATATACCACATGTGTGGGCACATTGCACACTGACCACAGTTCATGGCTCCCTATTTCATGCAACAGTTCTTTGGAAAAAGAATTCCATTGAGACTATCAATCTCAAAATGATTCTCAACCAACCCAAGAACGTGGGGGACTCTTTGCCTTAGAGTGTATGAGGCATTAGAGGGCATTTTGAGTTCTTCTGGACTCTTGCCCTGAGGCCTCTGACAAGGCTTCCTTCCTAATCTGGCTGCCTGGTTGTGCTAAGCTCGTAAGCTCTGTGAGGACAGAGATCATGTGTTACAGATCTTTTCATACCTGACAACCCTTGCCATAATTCCAAGCACACTTGTTGGGAGAATGCCCAAGTTCATTCAGTCACTCAACAAATATTTACTGGGTATGTGTCAAGGGGAGGGTAAGTGCCTTAAGCTGGAGGGAGGAAGGGGAGGTTGTGGCTTCTGGCAGAGGGGAGACGAAACTGAACAGCTGTGGGGTGAGAGGGAGTGAGCCAAAGAGGAACTCCCTTGACCTCTTCTGTAGGTGGGGAGCTCCTGCCTCCTGCCTCTGCTGCTGAGTCTCCAGCTCCCTCCTTCCTAACTCACAAAGTCTTTGTCTCTCATCTGCCCCTTGGTCAGGTGGTGTACTTCACAGCCACATTCCCTTACCTCATGCTGATGGTCCTGTTAATTCGAGGGGTGACACTGCCTGGGGCAGCCCAAGGGATTCGGTTTTACCTGTACCCAGACCCCACACGTCTGGTGGATCCCCAGGTAAGAAGCCACAGATGAGGGAGATCCCGTGGCTCTGGAGGTGCTTGAGCTACAGGCCTTCCTTGTGCTCAGGTCAGGCATCTGCTCCTGGCCAGACCCTGAGGCCTCTGTGGTGTGTGTGGGTCTCCAGACATCTGTTAGCAGCCGTTTCTTGTCTCCCTCCTTGGTTTACAGCTGCCAGGGAACCCTGCCAGGGGGCCCTGAGGCCCTAGTGGTACTTCTCAGGGGCCGCAATATGTCACTAACAGCCTTTTCTCACAGGCTGGACCCCTTTCCCCACATCCACCCAGCCCATTTTTGCGTTTTTTTCTCTTGGCAATCTCATTTCACACTGAGCTTCCTCTATTTCTTGACCCTCCACCAGCCCCCTCTGGTTCCCTCCGTGTGCCCCCGTGGCCCATTCCTGGGCCCCAGTTCCCCAGCACCTCGCAGCAGGGCTGGGCTGGTGTTGAGTTTCCTGTCAGTTGTCCAGAGGTCACTGCCTCTCCTCTCCCCTCCCCTCCGGCCTGTCCTTCACAGTCCACACTCTGTCTGCTACAGCTAGCTTCTTCATGGCCCTGCGCAGGGAGGGGGTGGTGCTACTTGCTGACTGGAGGGGTTGGTAAAACAGGGCCTGAAATAAGAAGCCACTGCCTCTGATGGGTTTCTTATCTTCTCCTGTTTGGCAGCCATTTTGAAAGCTGGCAAAGCCAGGAGGTGTCGAGGGCCGGAGGGGAGCGTGGGTAAGCTCCACCCCAGAGCCCCTAAAATGTGTTACCCAGCTACATGCTCTGTGCCTCCCTGGCACAGAGGTCGCCCTTCCTGGGAGTGTGTGCACAATGTAGAGACCTGCCCTCAGGGGCTGGAGGAGGCTCTCTGTGTCTATAGAAAGGGCCCTGAGGAAACTTCAGGTGGGCGGCTCTGGGCACAGAGAAGACTAACTATTGGATGGCTTTTCAAACATTTTCAGTAGTAAGGCACCAACACATTCGCTGAAATTGCTGAGAGGGAGCGAGAGAAAAGGGAGTGACACACATTTCCACAGTGCCTGGGACTCAGCGCGCGCACAGAGGCGGTGGCTCCCCCTCGGGCAGAACTCAGGGTGATCCAGATGCTAAATTGTCCTCAAGTCTCCCAGCCACCCCTGGCAGAGTTAGGACTTCTTCCTGAGTTCTGCTGGGGCTGCCGTGGCTCCCAGAAGCCAGGCTACTCCTGCTGAGAAGCTTCCCCACGCAGTCACGTAGCCTTGGTCCTCAGTACTTCTCAGTGATCTTCTGGTGGGCTGCGAGCCTATCCTTCCCCTCTCCCATTTCTTACACATGATAGAGATACGGATGGCTGCTGCATCGTCTCTACAGGGTGCACAGGGGCTGCTGTCAGCCTCTGGAGGCAAACTGGAGAGCCAAGCTGTTGAAGCTAGAAGGACCCCAGAGATTATCCAGTGCAAACTCCTCATTGCACAGATGAGCAACCGAGGTCCAAGGTCACGCAGCAAGTCAGTGGCAGGCCAGATAAAGCGTATTTTTACTTTGTGAATCATAAGCCCCTGGACTTATCTGGAACAAGGGGTTGTGATGGGGAGTAGGTAGCAAGCAGGAGGTTGTGGGGGCAGGAGGCTTGAGGGAAGGCTTTCAAGGCAGGTGTGGAGTTTGGCTTGGATCTCCTATGCGAGAGGGAGCCGTTGTGGTTCTGGAGCAGCAGAGATACGACCCAGTGGCTAAGCTACCAAACCTGCCTTTGGTTGGGGATCAGGCTGGGAAGGAGGGGACACGTTCAGGCAGGGGGACAGGCAGGTAGGCTGGAAGAGAAAAAGAAGAGAAGGGCCCAGTATTTCTGGAACTGATTTATGGCTTCTGTGATCAATGCCTTGTTTGTCCTGATCAGCCGTTTATCGAGTGCTCACTCTGTCCCTGGCATTGTTAAGAGGTTTACATGCGTTATTTCAGCTAATCCTCACAGCAGATCAGCGAGGTTTCCCCACTTTACAGATAGGAAGTTAAGGCCTAGAGAGTTTAAAGAATTTCCTGTCTTCACCCCTGCAGCTGGAATCCAGGTCTGAATGATGACCAATCCCACATACTTTGTGGTCTCTCGAAGGCAAAGTCCCCATCTGCTCATCTTTGTTTTTCTCACAGCTCATTCATTCAGCAAACATTTGTCCAGCATCTATTGTGTGCCAGGCCCCTGCTAGGTGTGGGTTTGTTATATAAACTTCCACAAATATGAAGAAGGGGGACTGGATAGCCTTCAACTCTGAGAGTTAATACGGCTGTAATTCTGGGTCTGCGTTACTGCAGGAACAAAACCTCTTTTTATCTGCTCTCCAGGATTCCATCTTTCTAACCCCAGCCAGCTGTCGGCTGTGCAGGGAGCATACGTCTTCTAAGTCCTCTGAGGCCCTGGTGAGGGAGATGTTTCAAGAGCAAGCTTGGTCCTGAGCTTCCAAGCAGCCTTGTTAGCTGCCTGGTCCTGGTCTCATATTGAAGCAAGGCCTTTGTTGTCAGGAACAGAGCAACACCTGCAGGGTGGGATGCCCCTGCCAGAGCCCTAATTGAGTGTAGTTGGCACTCCCCAGAAAGCGTGATAATTCCAGCTAGCATTTGCCTGGCACTTGAGAAAGGTACAAAATGCCTGCTAGGCAACACAAAGACCAAAGACACCTCTCTCTGCCAAGCCCTCAGTCTGGGAGCAGGGAGCCAGGCCGAGATAATGCTGGGTGTATCTCGCTCCCTGCTCCCCTTCTGCCAGGCGTGCTGTGTGGTGGGCAGGTGGCAGCCTCTCTTGGTGTGCCCCAGGGCTCGTCTCTTTCACGCTGGGACATGGCCCCTGGAAGCTCAGGATTATACTGGTGCCCTGTGTGCTTTATCTGGGAGCTCATTTCTCTCCCTCGTCCTGGCCCTCTGCCTTGTTCTACTGCACTTTGCTAGATGGATAAGGGCAGGGGGTAGGGGGTAGGGGAGCCTCCCTGAGTCCAAAGGGCCCTTGTTGAAGCTTTTAAGTCTCTATGTTAAGCTATTCTAACAAAGGGTTTGTTTAGGGAGGAGGTTGGAACCATTGATTAGAATGAGTCCTTTTATTTTGATATCGTATGTTGAAATCTGTGGGACCTTTCTATCCCTGGAAGGTAAGTTGCTTTTTTAGAATAATAGCAACAACAAACAGCAGCAACAGTGGACATGTTCACTGTGTGCTTATCACTGCCAGGCCCTTTACTGAGCGCACTGACCCCCAGGACTTAGGGCTTAGCCTCTTTTTACAGACAAAGAAACTGAAGCTTAGAAAACTTAAGAAATTTGACCCGAACCAAAAAACCAGCATGTGGGGGAGCTTAGGTTTCATCCCAAGTATTGTTTTGGAGTCTGCTGTCTTAATCACCATGATAGACATTTTCCAAAGAATATGAATTATTTGAGAGTTTTAAGGGCTGCTTTTTATTATTCCAGAATTATTCTCAAAGGTGGGATAGGGAACTAATATTTATTTATTTGTTAGCCATTTTACATACATTATTTTATTTGTTATTATACCCATTTTTCTGATGAGAAAAATGAGGTTCAGAGAGGTTAAGTGACTGTGCCTAAGATCACACAGCTAGTAATTAATGGAGTTGGGAATTGAACCAGTTCAGTTTGACTCCAAAGGCCAGGCTTTTTCCATTACACACTATTGCCTTCCTAAAAATAGTGAATATAATAATCCTTGGGTTTGGACTCAAGGTTGAAAACATATTTCCTGGATCTTCCAGAGGTCTCTCTCTCCCTCTGGCCCCCAAAGACTTCTTCTTTCACCCACACTCCACCAAGTGTTTTTCACGCTTATTTTATTCTGGTCAGTCTTCTGCCCAGTCAGACACACTGGAGCTTTGTTCTAGAAACCAGGGCTCCTGGAATGGTCAGGGAGTGGGTCGCCTGTGGTGGGGAACAGAACAGCTTGCTCTGCTTGTTCTTTCAGCCTCCTCTGACCCCACTCCTTTCCCCGATCCCAGCAGGCTTGTCAGGCAGCAGCTGTGCAGAGAGCTGAGGCTTGCCAAGCTCCCAGTGAGGGGGCTTTAGTCAAAGTCACCGTATCTGACCTTTGCACTCTGAACTCTCGGCCCTCCTGCTGCATTTCCTTCTGTTCTCTTTAACTTCTCCTTCCAACTCAGTCTTAGTCTGTCCCCCTCAGGGTGAGGTGAACTGCCAAGTCACAGATTTTCTTATTTTTTCTTCCCAAGCCCAACTTTGCAAAACTTCGCAACCATAGGATTTGCGCCCCCTGCCTGCATGTGGGCAGCCACAGAATGTCTCTGGGCACTTGGGAGTTTCCCTGTTAACTGTGGGTCACTGCTAGGCACCGGAAGCAAACACCCAAGGCCTGAGGCAGGGCAGGCCCTTGGGCCATATCCTGGATGACCTGCTTGGGAGAGATCACTTGGTCTCATGACCCAGAAGTGCCTGTAAGCCCTGAGGCATAGGCATATGGCATCTTTCCCCAGCCCTTACATCCCTGAGCCTGGGTAAATCCTTTCTGGGTAAGCTCAGAGCCTCTGGCTGCTCTTGAAGCCACTCATAACCTACTGAGTGAGGCAGGAACGAAGCAGAGCAGAGGGACCCTCAGACCAGCGGTCACTGAGTCTTCCTGAGATATCATCCTCATCGTGTCTGTGCGGCAGAGTTTTAGAAAAGGATTTGAAGCATATTGAAGGAGCAAACAGACTCCCCAAGGCATCTCCTCCAACTTTTGTGGCTTCACACTGAATTTTGTCAGCACTCTCCTTCTTATCCTCGGGTCCTTTCTTCGTGCTTACCCTGCCTTTCTCTGGCTTTTGCAATAAATCCTGAAACCCCCTCTCCTTTCCCCGTTATAACTTTCCCTCAAGTTGCGAAGTTTCCCTGGTGTTTCCGTCTTTGCATGCCATTTCCTTGCTAGCCCTGGCTCCTCTGGATCTTCCTCTGTGCTCCTTGCCACTGAGCTCTTTTCCCTGGTGGCAACTCCTGCCCTGGGGATGGGATTCACAGTAAGCAGAAGGGACAGAAAGCTGGAGGCATTCTCCCCTTTTCTTTACCATCTTCCCCGCTCTGTCTGCATTCCTGCAGAAATGGAGCTATAACGAGAAGAGTGAGTGAGTGCCCTGGTGGATCCCCGGTGCCACTTCTCGGAGCCGTAGGGCAGTGATGCCCACATCTGCTGTTCATTAGGATCACCCAGATGCTTGGAAAATACTGCTGATTTCTGGGTTCTCCTTCAGGCCTAGAGAGTCAGTGTCTCAACTGGGGATGCTGGCTGAGGAATCGTGTGGTTCTGATGTAGTCAGCTTGCCAGTGGGTTCCTTGCACCCACTCCAAGCTGAGGAAAATGGGCGCTCTGCTGGGTCTGAGTATGATGAGAGAGCAAGGGAGGCTGAGGGCGGTGGCAGTGGTTAGGGAGGCAGGGAGAGACAGGTAAGGGACTGAAGAGCTTTGCACAGAGAGAAGCTGAGGCTTTGGCGTGTGTGGACGCGGGAGCTTGACATTAGTGAGAGGAAAGCAGCAATCTGTTTGGGGGCTCCTGGGGCAGAGCTAGGCAAAAGATAAGAAATGGGGGCCACAGAAGTGTCAGGACGCTTCCTGGTGATGTCTGCCTCCATAGTTGGGAGTGCTCACGGCCTCTGAAGGCAGGAGGCGCCTGGGGAGAGTCTGTAGCCCCAGGACCCTGCCTCCTACAGATCTGCAGCTTGCCTTGTCCTGTTCGCCTTGATGCTCTTTCTCTTTGGGATGTTATTCTAGCTGTCCAATCTAAATCATAACATGCACAGGCTGGGGCAGCCAGCTGAGATAATAACAGTAACAGCCATGCTCTGTGTTTAGCTGTAGAGCTGTGCTCCCCCAGGAGTCCAGAGCCCGTTACAGATGCATTCTGTTCATCCTCTTGACTTTTCGTGAGCTGGGGATTATTCCTGCTGTTTTTCAGACAGAGGATTTTGAGGCATGAGGGGCAAAGCTACATGCTTGTGACGGCACTGATATTAAGCCCATATCCCCAGGGATCCTGTCCCTGGATTCCTCCCACACTGGCCGTGCTGCCAGGACAGCCTGGGACAGAGGAAAGTGGAGGCAGAACTCAGGGCTTTGTTTCCATTATAAAAATTGGGGGCCAGGCCTAGCTTAGGCCTAGAGCACCCTCTTGCCCTCCCACCCACCTCCACCGTGGGTCCTTTAGTCTTCTTCTGCGAATGCCTAATGCCTATGCCATCCTGGTGGTACCCGAGAAACTCCATCTAGGGGCCCAGGAAGTAGAGCCCATTGGGATGGCCGGGCCACAGGGGTGCCTGCACTGGCTGAGAGCAGGCTTCTCGTCATCCCTAGCCAGCACCTGCTCAGCCATGGGCCCGTGTGCTCCCATGGAGCCCAGATGGTCTTGCTTTCCGGAGGTGCAGCTTTCTTGCCTTTTCCCTGTGTAGGTGTGGATGGACGCGGGCACCCAGATCTTCTTCTCCTTCGCCATCTGTCTAGGGTGCCTGACAGCCCTGGGCAGCTACAACAAGTACCACAACAACTGCTACAGGTGAATGGGAGGTGGGGCCAGAGCCACAAACCACCCATCTCTACTGTCCTTCTAGCCATGCTAGATCAGGGGTGACTGGGAGGGTGCCCCGGCTCATGCATTTGCCTGCTCCATACCCATCTTCACCCAACTTTCTAATGCCCCAGAGCTACCAGTGCTGAAAGGAGCCCACTGCAGCATGGGCAGGGGGATTGCTTCCAAAAGGATGGGATGGTTGTGGTTGGCTGGGAAACCACAGCAGGAGCCCAGCCCCCTGGCTAATTTAGAGGTTAGTGGGCTCAGGAGGGTAGGCAAGCTTGAGAAGCGTTAATAATGTCGTGCAGTGGAGCCTCAGTCTTGCCTCTTTGTACGTTTGCCCAGCGAACATTGAATCCTTACCCATTTTTATTCACCTCTCCCCCATCTCATGTCCCCTCCCAATGGTTCCTTCCGGTCTTACCTGGTTCATATCAGAGAATTTAAGCCAATTTTAATATTAGCAAAAAAAAAATCATATCATGCATTTCAAAATCAAATTTAGGTGACTAAGAATTATTTGGTGCTTGGGATTATCCACACCCATATCCTCTACATTCACATGCCAGACTGAATTGTGTCAGAGTGGTAGTGTCCCAAGACGTGTGGTGGCGGTATTGTGGGGAGGGAGGCTGTGTAGCCTTTTAAATTTTTAGGTTAATATTTTACTTCCTTAGAGCTCCCTTCTTTTAGAACTACCTTGATTTGTCCCAAGTCTGAGCTAATGGAGTAGCAGGGAACCAACCCTTGAAGGCTCACCTTAATTCTGCCAGGCAGCCCCTCTGTGAAGGGCTGGGACAAGTGTCTGCCTGTCTGCCTTGAGGGGCAGTGCTTCCCTGGGGTTTCTGTTGGCTCCAGACAGGAGGCCTGAGGCCCTGGCAGCCCCTTTCTGATCCCGCCTGTTTCCACCTCCCCCTCCCGCCCCGCAGGGACTGCATAGCCCTCTGCTTCCTCAACAGTGGCACCAGCTTTGTGGCTGGGTTTGCCATCTTCTCCATCCTGGGCTTCATGTCTCAGGAGCAGGGGCTGCCGATCTCTGAGGTGGCTGAGTCGGGTGAGTACTGCCGGGGAGGGCCGTGGCAGTGGGTTCCAGGAGCTTCGCTTGACCCTTTGCCACTGGGATCTAGAGTGTTTCTATTGTCACCTACACCATGGGTGAACTGTAGTCTCCTCTCAGTGGGTGCGTCTAGGACTTAAACAGCAATTCCAGCTTCAAAGGGTTAATGGGTATCCAGTGAACATTTTTCTTCCCATCCCTGGCCTCCAGTTCCTTGTCCTGGAGGCAACCAATGCCATCAGATTCATGTTTGTCCTTCCAGAAATAGTTTAGGCATATGTGAGGAAAAAAAACCCCCACACGTATGTATTCATACAGATTCATACATATTACTATTTCTATTCCTTACCCACCTTTTTAAAAAACCAATTGCTAACATCCTACATACACTGTTCTGATCTTGCCTTGTTTGGTTCACTTTAAAATGTAGCTCAGAGATGAGTTTCTATTGGCACATAGAGTGTCCTCCTTTTTTAAGTGACTGCCTTTCTACCATGCAGTGTCATTGTTGCTTTTAAGTAAAATCAAGGACTGATGCCCCGAATGGGTAAGCTAGAAAGTTTTCTCATGCTCTTCTCCTGTTCTTGCAGACCACCCACTTACACTCTGTAACAAGATAATTTTTTATCACAGCATTCACAAGCACACTCCTGTTACGTTACACACAGTGCCAAGCACTGAGCAACTAACATCACTGATTCTTATTAAAAATGATAATTTTTCGCTTTTATTGAGTACTTACTAGATGCCAGGCACTGTGGGAGCATTCTGCCTGTACCAGGCAGTGGAAAGCTGTGAGGCAGCAGTGGCATTACCCTGTCTCATCAATGTGGGAAGCAGGGCTTTGTCCAGGGCACACGGTCCTACCCTTTTCTTCAAAGGAAGCTTCCTGTGGAGGCATCCAGGCACTGGCATTTGAATCTGTTCCTGCTATTTGCTGAGAGGAACATTAATTTATTTGAGAGGATGTATGTCAGTGGTATTCCAAAATGAATGCCAGTTCACTCATTGTAGGGTGACAGAAAAGGCTCCAGGTGCAGAGACGACAAACTGGTGGCCGCAGGCCCAATCTAGTCTTGGAGGTATTTTCTTTGGAACCACCTATTTTGTAGAAACAACACAGTGATTGCCTCAGTGGGGGCATGATGTCCGGGTCTCGTCAGGCCCTGCTTCTTCCTCATTTTACACTGGGTCAACTTCACAGATGGGCACAGCCTGCCTGGCTCCTGAGCTCTGTTTAAGTTTGAAACCTCTGGTTTGGGGCCATAGATCTGGAGAATGAGCCCTGAGGACTTAGGGTGGATATAACCTCTTTCTATTTTCCACAGCCCTTTACACCCACAGACGCTAGGTTTGTTCCTGCCCATGAGAATACAGTGGGGGGTACCTTGGAAATTTGGGGACCAGGGAGAGGTTTTGGTGGCGTATACTGGGTGAGGATGGTGGTGGTGGTAACTTTGGGGTGCAGTTTCCTTTGGCTCCTATGGCTCTGCGGCCCCACACTGGGAAGCCTTGGGCCGGCACATGGTCTGGAGCTGGCCAGGCACTGGGCTGTTCTCCTCTGCTCCTTGCTGCAGGCCCTGGCCTGGCTTTCATCGCTTACCCTCGGGCTGTGGTGATGCTGCCCTTCTCTCCTTTGTGGGCCTTCTGCTTCTTCTTCATGATTGTCCTCCTGGGACTGGATAGCCAGGTATTAAGACGTGGCCACTCAGAGCCTGAGAGACAAGTGTGTGTGGGCTGGGGGAGGGGAGCAGTGAGCATGAGGTTGAGCTTGATGCCCTGAGGGGCCTTAAAACAGTTGGAGACTGGGTGATTGTCAGCAGTTGATGCCCTTCCAGGGACCAAGAGGAGTTTTGAAGGGTGGGTCCAGACCTAACCATGCAAGGGCAGCTCCTGGGACTTGAGACAGGGAGGCTGGCTGAGATAGGGCTGACCCTGGGAGCAAGAAGCCAGAGCTAGTTGATGGACCTTATTTTGGGAGCTCTCTTTCCCTCCAATTCTTTTGCCCTCTCATCCAGTTTGTGTGCGTAGAAAGCCTGGTGACGGCGCTGGTGGACCTGAACCCCGAGATGTTCCGCAAGAAGAACCGGAGGGAGTTCCTCATCCTTGGAGTGTCTGTCTTCTCCTTCCTTGTTGGGCTGGTCATGCTCACAGAGGTGAGGATCTGGGAGGCTTGAAATTGGGGACCACGTGAGGAGGAGGAGCCAGTGGACAACTGTGGCCAGGCGGGTGGAGCAGGCTGCTGTGGTTTCAGGCTGCAGGGCAGGCCCTCCAGGCTTCAGGGCACCGGGACTCCCTCCTTTCCCCGCCACAGGAAGGACAAAGTAGACAAGTCCCTCTTCTGGCCTTTGGGCATTGACCCACCTCCCTTTGGGGACAGGCAAGGGGTAATTTGTCTCCACAGTAAGCTAAGGAGTATGAAAAGAATGGTTAAAAATTCTTGGACTAGGAAAAACTGCCTCTCCAGCAAGATCCCATGATTTCCCCAGCAGCTGAACCAAGTTCCAGGGATGAACTTCAAGGGAAGAAAGGGAGCCCTGGGGGTGGGTGGTATTTTGTGTGATGTCTCAAGGGAGAGGGAAGGAAATGGAACTTGTCAGCTTGATAATACTAATGACAGTCCCTATCCTGATCCTTCGCCAAAAATGTGCACACTGTGATTTGGGCTTCTGGGTCAATCCTGAAATGTTCTCGGGGATAAGCTAACAATAGCTGTGTATTTCATCTATCTTTCTTCCAAAGACAATAATAAAAAATCATTATTGTCTCATGTCTGCCTAGTGCCTTACAGCTCACAAACTGTATTCTGTTTTAATATCTATTTCCTGTGGTCCTTACCAGCTCTGCCCTGTGACCCAAGGGTGTGAGGCTGGCAGGCATGGGGTCAATCTGTCTGTTTCCTCTGGATAAAGTTCTGGTTTTTATCTCTTCCTGGGCAGGGCGGTATGTACGTGTTTCAGGTCTTTGACTACTATGCAGCCAGCGGCATGTCCCTCCTGTTCGTGGCCATCTTTGAGTCCATCTGTGTGGCTTGGGTCTATGGTGAGTAACTTTTCCCCTGGGTCCTAACACCAGTACTCACCTCTACCCCATGGCCGTTAGACAAAAGAGAGACATCCACTGCTCACATCCACCTTTTCCTGGGGCTCCTCCCCTTCTAACTTCAAAAATCTCAAGAATCCTAAATTGCTACCAGTGTAAGGGCCCTCCAGAGGTTGCGACTACACCCAGACCACCCAGGTGGGCCCATATCCTGTCCTATCCACACTTTTTCAGCCTTTAACAACTTTGATAATCAGAATGTTATTGCCTTTGCCTAAGCCAAATTCTGCCCACAGCCTATCAATTCTGGGGAAGAGTTCTCTCTTAGCAACGATTTGAAAAGACAACCATGATATCTTTATTTATTGATCCTTGCCCATCCTGATCTTGGTGGTCCTGGTCCTGATGCTTTCGATGCTAAAGAATGTCCTTTCTCCCCCTTCCTTCCTTCTCTTCATGGTAGGAGCTGGGCGCTTCTATGACAACCTTGAAGACATGATTGGGTACAGGCCATGGCCTCTAATCAAATATTGTTGGGTCTTCCTCACACCAGCTGTGTGCACAGTAAGACAACCTTCAAAGGGTAAAGCCAGATGAAGGGATAGAGAGATGGTGGTGGCAGGAGGGTAGATAGGCGGTTAGCCCTAGAAGGGACTTCTCCATGAGGATTGAAAATTATTTTAGATTTCCATTCATCCTCCTGTTGGATTCTAGGAAATGACAGCAAGATAGATTCTTCCTTTCCATTTCACAGAAGGATAAACTGAGGTCCAGAGCTGTCAGACAGTTTGACCAGCATCACAATGTGAGTCTGATGTCACAGGCAGAACTGAAACCCAAGTGCATGGGGCTGCTCATAATAATATTAGTAATCACAGCGGTAATAATAGCAGCAGGCTTAGAGCACTGACTCTGTGCTGGACACAAAGTGCTTCACACATTTTAACCCATTTAATCCTCACAAGAACCCCATGGAGAAAGAGTTACCATTATATTCATTTTACAGGTGAAACTGAAGGTAAAGAGGTTAGCGATTTACCCAAGCTAGAAAGTCGCAGAGAGCTAGAATTCCAACCTAGGCAGCTCAGCCGCAGAGTCTGAGCCATAAACCACCGTGTGCTGCATCCTCTGGCTTTATCTGTGTCAGTAGTTCCCCTGAGCACCGCTGCATGCAGGATATACATGGGGCCCAGGGGCAAGGAGGCATGACCCCCTCCCTTGAGGGGGGGTCACAGCCCCACCTGATAGTGCAGGAGACTTAAACACCTGAAAGCACCGGCAGGCACATAACTGTCTCCTAATTGAGGGCCAACCATGTGTCGAGGTGCCCAGGGGCATGGGGTCCCCGGAGGGACAGGGTGGGTATCTGGAAAACACCTGTTTGGGGGTGTGGATTTTGGGCAGAATTGGATGGGGATTGGAAGCTGACTGGCCCAGATGAGCCTGAAGGCAATTCCAGGCTGGGAGCGTGACTGATCTCCGCCAGCTCTTCTGGGGGGCGCTGAGGGCACAGGGCCCCTGCTCGCGCAGCCCCTTTCTCTTCTGCTCTCACCCTCAGGCCACCTTCCTCTTCTCCTTGATCAAGTACACCCCACTGACCTACAACAAGAAGTACACCTACCCGTGGTGGGGCCATGCCCTGGGCTGGCTCCTGGCTCTGTCCTCCATGGTCTGCATTCCCACCTGGATCGTCTACAAGCTCAGCACCTCCAAGGGCCCCTTGAGAGAGGTAGGGAGTTAGTTGGGAGAAAAGTAGTCGGAGAGCGTAGGAATCCTAGTGGATGAGGTAGGGTCCCCTTGATGGTAGGCGGCTGCCTGCCAGGGTCCACAGGAGGGCTGGTGAGCCTGGGGTGGGTACTGGGGAGGGACAGGGTGAGTGCTTAGAAGTCTCAGACGGAGACTGGATGCTCCAAGACACAGACGGTGATGATAGGGTTGCACCTGGGGGGCATGTTTGTGTATGGGGCAGGCAGACCTCAGCGATGAGGGAAGCTGGCAGACTTGCCCTCCCTCCACCTCGTGACAGCCACCTCCACTCTCCTTGCAGAGAATTCGCCAGCTTGTGTGCCCAGCTCAAGACGTGCCCAAACAGAACCGAGCAGAACCCTCTTCCCCTACCACGCCCAGGACATCACGGTTCAGACTCACAGAGCTAGAGTCTCACTGCTAGGGGGCAGGCCCTGCGATGGCACCTGTGAGCCTGGCTGTGGGGACAGCTGCGGAGGGAGAGGGAGGAACCAGCCCCGCTGTGCTTCTCTGCCCCTATGTGGTGTAGATAAGACAAAAGGGGGTATTTTGGAATCCACCTTGTGAGCTGGGGCCTCCAACCCCAACTTTCCTGCGCCAGGGCTGGCTGAACAGCTGTGAAATGCCAGTATCAAGAGCTTCCCATTTGAGATGGGCCTTGGGGAGCTGGGTGAGGATGGGGGGAAAGCTCTGTTCGGCTTCTGGGCCCTCTTACCCTTCATTCCATTAAACCCAAGTTCTTCCGACTGACTGCTAGCCGTGCCTCCTGATTTCTGCCCCTCTGCCTTGACCACCTCCTCACTTTAGAGCTGTGGCTTTAGAACCCCCCACGCCCTCCCCAGCTGGCTTTCCCATCATCGAGTTCTCCTTGTGGACCATGAGCAGAGGGCATTGCTGGGGGGAGAAGGGTGACGGGGCCCGGCTGAGACCCTCCGTCAGCAGACACTCCTCCGTCCATGCTTCCCTTAAAGTGCCCTCCTCCTTCACTCTGGAATGAGAAAGGCAGCTGAGGGGAGAATAAGCCGTAGCTGGAGGGAGGAAGGAAAAGAGTGGTCGGGCTGCTTCTTGCCCACGCTTCCCTTGCCGGGCCCTTGCCCGACTCTGCTTACCAAATCTGTGTGTGACTACCCAGGGCCTGGTTCCGGGGTATAAGAGAGGACAGCAGTGACAGGACAACAGACCTGAGGCAGCAGGTACGGGAAGCCCTGGCAGAGCAGGGCACTACCCCAGCACAGCCAGCAGAGGGACCCTGCTTCCTCAGGACCACCTCGTTCTTCAGCCTCTGCTGAAAAGAGTAGGTGCCGGATGCGGTCGCCTCCACGAGGGGTGGGACTGCCATGACCACAGCCCCGCTGTCAGGGCCTGAGCTGCACAGATGAACTCTTGGGGTTAGGCTGCAAAGAGGATTCAGGTGGAAGGCAAAGTGTGTCCTACCTCAGGGTCCGCAGCTGCGGCTCCAGGTGTGTCTCTGCAGCTGTACCTCCGAGCGGGTGTGTGGAGCAGGGCCACACGTATCTGTGTGTGTGTGTCTGTTCAGATGGTTCTTCCGGTGCTGTTCCAGGATAGCATCCGGTGATCCTAAGAGCTGCAGACTAAGGGCACACAGTGTTCCCTGGGTGATTTTCTTAGTTTTTTCACAAGTCAGTGAGTGGGAAAATGCACTGAAATCTTTACTAGTCTTCAGCTTTTGATTTCTTGGTGTTGGGAGAGTTTCTAAAGATTAGTGCTAGTGGCCCTACTGTGTGTTGGCCTTGGCTGCTCCTTCCCGGTCACTGAACAGTTGGGAGTCCCCCATGTGTGCCAGGCTCAATCACAGTCCTAAGATGGGAGAAATAGACCTGCCAAAACTTGAGATACCACCCACATGACATCTGACAGTTTTTCCAGAACACCTACTATGTGGTGCTGTGCTATGCTCATGACACATGAGGAGCAAAAAGATACGACTTCTTAAACGACAGATTGTGGCAAATGCTATGAAAGAAAAGCAAAGTGCTATGAGAGAGAATAATGGGGGTGTGGGAAGGAAGCTGATGACTTAGGTTGGTGGTCTGGAAGGCTGTTCTGAGGGTGTGCTGTCTCTCTCTCTGTCCATCCCTTGGATCCGCCAGACTCTGCGAGGCCCAGGAAGGGGCGTAGGCAGTCTGATAATGGTGACTCACGTTCTATTTAGGAGATTCATTAATGGTGGAATATGGTGTGAAAATAATCCATTAGCATAAGAAGCAGGAGATATGGGTTCTAGTCCTGACCTGCCTCTAACTTGCTGTGTTTCTCTGTGGAAGTTACTTGGAATTCGGGTCTTCATTGTTTTCAGACGGAGATAATACTGCCCACTCCACCCACACACAGGTTTGTTGTAAGGTTCAAATGAGGTAAGGCATGTGAGAGCCCTTTCAGAAATGTGGTGCCAAATGGTGTGAAGACATTGAACCAGTTGGGGTGGATGAAGGAGCTGCTCTAACAAGCCAGGGCTGACAGGCAGACAGGTGAGAGAAGCTGCTGGCCCGGGTCAGTCAGGGAGAGGGAGCAGGGACCCCTGGACTCGGCTTCAGCCAAGGGAGCAAAGAGATGTGGGGGCAGGGCGCTTTCAGTCCCATTGCTTTCTCTGCCTGGAAGGGTGATATGAATCCTGCAGTTCTCAGAGGAAGAAGACACAGGCGCCGGCCCCGTGGCCTAGTGGTTAAGTTCAGTGTGCTCTACTTCAGTGGCCCGGGTTCGGTTCCTGGGCGTGGACCTATACCACTCGTCGGTGGCCATGCTGTGGTGGCAGCCCACATACAAAATAGAGGAAGATTGGCATGGATCTTCCTCAGCAAAAAAAAAAAAAGAAGGCACAAAAGGGAGGGAAGCCCTCTCTTGTCTAGAGGCCACACCTGTTGGAGAAGAAAGGCAGAGGAAGAACGGCTGGCAGAGACAGCCTTGGGGCAAGTGATAGCTGAGTGGAGAGAGCAGGTGACTGGAGAGTTACAGACTACAGCCCATAGAGGTAGGGAAGAAACTGGTTAGGCCCTGAGCCCACCGGGCTGCCTTGGGGCCTCGGATCTCATGCCTGAGACCTTGCACACAAGTACACCTAGGTCTCAGATCCGTACATGCGCACACACACACATAGTCCCTCCTCGTCCTCAGATAAGTGTGCACAAACTCAGAGACGCGGCAGTCTGCCAAGCACACGCCTTTACAGAGGCCTGCAGTCCTGGCTTGGGTCTTACTTACTAGCTATGTGACCTTGGGTAAGTTAACCTCTCTGATCCTCAATTTTCTGCTCTATACAGTGGTAATAATAATACTTACATCACTGTGTTGTTGGCGTCCAGTGGAAGGTGAAGGGAGAGTTGCCTTGGGGACACATTTCAAGCAAACCCACCCTATTTCCCATGACTCCAGTGCCCTCACATTGGGCTGCCAATGGAACAGAAAAGCCCAAGAAGAGTTCTGAGACCTCTTTGCTGTCCCCGGCTTCCCCAGCCCCAGGCATCAGGTTGCATTGGGCCCCAGAAAGAAGGCTACCTGTTTATTAGCTAAGCATGTTTGCTAGGAGGCAGGGGAGAGGTAGCTCAGAAATACCCCTGCATCTTGTGGCCCGAGGGTCCTGCTCAGCAGCACTATTGTCCAAGAAGAGCAGGACCTGAGTCCTCCAAGCCCTAGTCTACATCCCCTGGCTGCGGGAGAGCAACGCCCCCCCAGAAAAGGGAAGACTGGCATCATTTTTCCCTCAAGTTGTATCCATCCATCCATCCATCTGATGAACATTGAGTGCCTCTGAGCCAGCGCTGTAGTAAATGCTAGAGGCAGAAATAAAGAATTGTGAAGTATGACCCCTGCCCTTTAGATGTTCATGGTCTGGGAAACAGTTTGCTGCAGTAGGACAAACATAGATTTTTGGACCCAGGAGGCCCAGGTTCAAATCGCAGCTCCCTCATTTACTAGTGTATGGCCTTAGGATACACTACTTAGCTCTATTCATCCAAATTTTCTCATCTGTAAAATGGGGCTAATAATTCCTACATTTCGAGGCTGTTGTGAGGATTAAGTGAGGTAACATATAAAGCACCTAGCCTGAGTTAGATGCTCAGGAAATAGGTCCCATGCCAGGCCCTCTAAAAGCATGCAGGGGGCTAGAGGATGAGGGTGGTGACAAGGACATTCTCTGGGGTTTAATGGTTTTCACTGAGCAAGATACCTGATTTATTTGACCACAGTTCGTCTGGACTCTGGGCCCTCCCCAGTGTGGACACAGCCCAATCTCAGGCTTTCCAGGTCACTTAGGGATCCCTACATGTTGCAAAGATGGAGGTCTCCGGCCTCCAGGAGTTTGCCAAATGGTCTCAATATCTCTTGGGGACAGGAAGCTGCGGGTATTGGGGTAGACTTGACTAAGGGAGGGTTCAGAGTTAAAGGGAGGGCCAGGTCAAACAAGCCAGCTGTTCTCCTACAAGGTGAAGTTGAGGCAAGAAGACTGCTGGACTGTATGTATCCCCAGGTCCTCACAGAAAGCCTGACACATTGTAGGCACGAAATAAAATTTCTGAATGAACCATCGAGCTAGGACATTCACCCTCTGCCCAGCCTGATTCTCTTCCCTCTCACTCCCCTTCATGGAGAGGCTGTGTCTTCTGTTCTGGAATAGCTGCAGCTAGGTAATCTCATGGACTTTGATGTCCCCTCTGCAGTAAACTCTGTGGTTGACACATGGTGGACCTGACATGGGGGACAGGGCAGACGCAGTAGGGCAGGCCACACCATCCTAGCAGAGCACAGCGTAACTGGAGTGTGATTTCTGGCTGAGACCATGCCCTACTCTCCAGAGTGACCCCAAGCTTGACTGCTGGCTTCACAGAGGCCAAGGGTCTGAGAAGTGAGACTCACTCTGGCTTTCTCCTGATGGGGAACCCCACAGGAGGTGCTGAGAGGAGCCTGAGAGACACTGAGTGGGGGTGCTTGATGGAAAACTACAGACTGAGATTCTCACTTCACACCCAGCCCTTCGGGGAAGTCCTAAAACACGAAGGGGAAGCACATGCAAATGGAAATTTCCCTTTCTCCCCACAACTTCCCCTCCCTCCACAGCCCCTGGGGCTAAAGAAGCATCTCTGTTGTCTTGAAGGAGGCAGTGGCTATTCTGAATGAAGGCTGTGGGCCAGTCCTGTGCCCGGCACGGCACCACGAGGACACACTCAGGAACAGTGATGAGGACCCTGTTCTGGAGACGCTCGCCGGACACTAGTGTGGGACACACACCTTTGCTCAACAAATACCAATTCAACACTGATGAATTGCCCAGCAATGCCAGGCAACCAGACAAGTCCCAGCTATGGGCCTGAGTGCTGAGCGGTCGCTAGAGCATTATTATTGCTACCTGGGACCAGACACTCCACCATCCCAGCCCCCGCTCCCACGGCACCCACAACGAACACCAACAAATCCCTTAAGCACCGATGATATGCTAAGCGATTGACCATACTGTCTTTAGCCCTCTCGGCAACCCTGCAGAGTAGGGATCGGGAGCAGACATTCCCTTTACAGATCGGGAACAGGCTCAGATCCTTGTCTCGCTGATGTGACTGGGAAATGACAGAGGACAGGTCCAGAGCCAGGTCTGCTTGACTGCAAACCTGCGTCCTTTCTAGATTATGCTCCTTGAGGTATGCTCTGGGCACCTTCTCTAGGAAAATCCCGAGGAAAAGGGCAGTGGTTGTGAAATTCAGAGCCTTGCCTTGAAACCACAGAGGGCAGGTACTTAGTGGAAAACTCCAGGGCATGATTCACCCTCCTGCTGTGCCCTCGTCAGCGAGGCCAGCTCCCCTCCTGAGGTGCTCGGTGTCCAGCCTGGGAGGTGGTGGCTCCCGTCCTGCTGCTCTGTCCCCTGCCCTGAACATCCTCATCCCTCTTCCCTCACAAGGAGCTTGTACTGGGAGGGGGCAAGGTGAGAAGGGGGAGGGCGAGGGCCAAGGAGCAAAATGGGGAGAGATGCAGTTAGATGTGTCTCTGAGCCCAAGAGGGTGGTCTTGGGTCAGCGGCCACTGGGCGAGCACTGATCCTGAGGGAGGGGTGAGCAGTGGGAGTGGGGTGGGGGAGGGGGACCGGGAACAGAGGACTTGACTTCCTGAGGTTAGATGTTGTAATCCTGGTTCACAGACTTTTGGCTTCAGTCCCTCCTGCTGCTTGTGGTGTTTCTCTGCTCCTTCACTGCCCAATACATTGGTGCACGCACACACACGCACGCACACACACAGAGTTGCTTTCTGCCTGGGAGTCCCTGGACAATGGCACCAATGACTCAGATGGGATTCTGAGCTGGAACGAACAGGAGAAAGAGTGAAGGTGGAGGACAGTTTCCCTTTCAGGTCCCATCTCTCTTGGCTTTCTCCTAAGCAGCCTCTCTGGGACTGTCCTGGGCATCTGAGCGCGGAGCTGAGTGGATCACAGGAGCCAGGCTCGGGGACTGAGGTGAGCCGGAAGGGGAGGGCTGGATCTGTCCTCGCAGTCTCTGAGAGCTGCCTCAGAGGGGTGGAGGGCTGAGGCCTGCGAGGCAAGACTGTGTCAAGAACTGTGTGTGTCTGTGGAGCAATAAACTGGGACCTGAGGAAAGCCTGATGTTTGGGAATCTTAGGACAGGGGTGTCACCCCAGCTTCTCCCTCACCCTCCACAGCATCTGAGTTGCTCAGGGACAAGCCTGGAAAGCAGGAAAGTCCATAGACGGGGGGCTGGCCACAGGGAGAGGGTGAAAGAGGCGGTGATTACCTGCCTGAAAGGGAGGGGGAAACAGACAGTGCCCAGTGAGGTGGGAAGGAAGAGAGGACGGGAGAAACCTCAGGGCATTCCTGAAGGCCTGTGACCTGCGTTTAGTGATTGCAGGTGAGGGGCTCCAGTCCTCCCTCTACCAGTCGAGCGTGGTGGGCTGGGGGCCAAGCGTCTCCCAGAAGAAGGGAGCTGCCCCTCCTCAGGGGTGGTGGGGCCCAAGGCAGGCAATGAGGGAGCCGACGGAAGGTGCAGGCAGCTGCCAGCTGAGCCCAGCAGCCCATGGGTTGTGAAGGACTGGACAGGAGTCAGGTTTTGGTGCCATGCACACAGGTATGTGTGTGCAAATGGACGTGACGGGAATGGCACCAGTGTGTGTACAGGAATGAGAACTGGTATGTGGGGGTTGGCTGGAGCAGGGGCTGGGCCACTCCTGTGCTGGATTTGGGGGTGCAATGGGACTGAGCTGGGGTCCCAGCAGCATGTGGGAGCAGCACTTCTACACTTGTCTGCTCCTCTGCTAGACCCTGGCGAGGCCTCTGGCCACATGCCCAGTTTCTAAGAGCAAAGTTAATTTTGGACCTTCTCGCCTCTTGAAGATTTCCTCGATGGGCAGCACTGAGCCCAGTGTGGGTGTAGGTATCTTTGCTTCAGGAGGGCATGGACATATGGTGAGGTCCACTCTGTGCCTCCGTACCGTGCCGCAGCTCAGCAAAGCAGGTGGGCACCTGGGGAGGTGATGTTAGGGGCTGAAGAGGTGACCAAGCTGGGGTAGACCGTTGGGAAAGGGAGACATCTCAGAAGTCATTGTGACTGTGGATAACACTGTTGTATGGCTATTCCTAGCAAATGGGCTGGGGCAGCAGGGCACAGACAGGGCCGGTGAGGGTGGCAGGAGGGTGGGGTGTACTGTTTTTTGGCTTTTAAAAGTAACCCCAAAAGGAGAGCTCTGTACAACTTGTACTCCTGGACATTTCTTCCCTGAGTCTAATTGAGTCCCGCTTCCTGCAGTTTGAGCCTGTTTCCCCTTGACTTGCCATGGCTTGGGCCAGCTTTCCTTTTCACATGCTTATGCTTTCATTCTGCCATTCCAGTTTTTCATTCTTATCCATAAATTATCCTCCTCCCAATAGTCTTTTTTTTAAACGTGTCACATCAGTGTCCGTTTATCAGTTCATGTTCTCTTCTCTTTCCTCCCCCATCCCCGATATAACCCAAATCCTGTGCCCAAGCTGGGCTCTAAGATCTGCTTCCCCATCCCATGCTCTCCTCTGGTTTTCCCTTCATTTACTCCTTTTCCCCACCAGGTCTCCCCTCCTCGAACTGCTGAGGACATGTTGGCCCTGAAATAGCAGCCTCTGGTCTGGGAACAGGAAGGCTTGTCTCCTGACTGCCCCCTTGGTGACCCTTGGGCTTGAGCTTGCCCTGAGCTGAGCTCCCCTATGGTTTGGCAAGCAGAGGCAATAATCTCTCCTTGTCTCTTATGGACCTCATTTTTTATCGCCCAGCCTCCTAACACACATGTTGAGCAGAGGTCATTCTGTCTTCCAGGGGTACTTAAAGCCCAGAGCGGAGGTGTGATTTGCCTAAGGTCACCCAGGAAGTTAGAGACTCGGCTCCACCACTTATTGTATTGGTAAGTTTATTCTAACCATTAAAAAATGGTTTTACTGAGCACCTGCTGGGCGTCAGTTCCTGTTCCTTAATCTCTCTGTGCTTCATTTCCTCCCTTATAAAATGGAGTTAATAGTAATACCTACTTCAGAGATTTTTATGAAGGTGAACTTTAACAATGTATATAAAGAGGTGCATGTTTTTAGTACTTTGCTTACTCAAATGCTGACTGTTATTGTTATTATTAGCTAAATCTGGACTGGAACCTGGGTTTCCTGTCTGGTGCTTTTCATCAATGTTTTGAGCTCATTCATTCATTTGTTTGATAACGATTCGGGGGTCGTTCCTCAGGGTGGCGGCCCCAGTTCTGTAGAAGATACACAGTTGGTTTAGGTATCAGGAACTTTTCCCTGGAAACCAGTCTGCCCTGTTCTTCCAACCTGAGGCCCTGGTTCTCAAAGCCCCCCTGGGGCCTGGCCGCTCACTCTGAACCTGGAGCTCTTTTCCCTGCTTCCCCTCCTCCTCCCTTAGATCAGAGGCTGAAGGCCTTTGACTCCACTGGGTACCTCTCTCCTCATCTTCCCTCCTGGGCTGAGCTTACAGTGGAACCTCTGAGGAGCTCCCAGTACCAGAATCTCACCCCGATGTGCTTTCCCATTCCTGGGGTGACCTGCACCCTCCGAGTCACCTTCAAAACTTTCCACAACCTCGAGTGGCTCCTGCTGTGCTTTTCTGACGGACTGGGACTTGGGCTGCTGCCTGGTTAGAAGGACCAACAAATCAACACAGACTCTTCTTTCAATAAAAAGAATCCTTGTGTTTCTCCAGAGCCTCGAAGCAGCGTGGAACAGTGGGTAGCTCCAGGTCGCTTTGATTCCCCAACATTCCTTGGAGGCAAGGGGCAGTGGGGCGCTTCCCCCTGCAGCCTGGGCGCCTCGTCCTGGCAGCTCACTGGAAGCACGGGCGAGGTGGCCTCAGGGTGATTGTGTGTGGGGAGGGAAGGGCAAACAAGAATTCTGGAGGCAGCACCACGATGCTGCAATGAGAGGGACACAGTAAACCTGTGAGTGGCCCACATCATTTTTCTGGAAATCCCGGGACCTTTGGGCTCTTTAGGAGGACAGGGAGTTGGGAAGGGCAACGACCGGTGACGTCAGGCAGCCACTTCTGGGTCTCCCTTGAGGGACCCACTCTGATCTGGAGATTACTACCACCCAAGTAAGGATCACTCTAGTCACCCCTTCTGCCACCAGGCCCCCAGCCTGTTCTCAGACAGAGGGATGGCCTGGAGAAAAAGAACCAGAGTTCCCTTGGAGCCCTACACTTGGCCCTGGCACCAATCCCGGTCTTCATCGGCCTTGTTCAGAGGCCTTGCTTTCTCCTCTCTCCTCCCAATCAGATGCCCAGAGTTAGTTGGCTCCCATGTTTACCCTGGTTGATCGATCACCTTGGCACAGAGATGAGCACACAATTGGCCAGGGGAAGACCATGCGGTCACCTTCACCACACCTGCCCTTGGCCCCCTGTCATCCCTGGCAGTCTTTGATCCCTTCTGGCCTGGAGGCCAGAGCCTGGGCTGGTGCCACTCGCTGGACGCTGAGGAGCGGGGGCAGATGGGCCAGTGGGGTTGGTGGCTGACTATAAAGAGCAAAAGGGACTTGGAATAAAAGACCCCAGGCCTGAGTTTTAATCCCAGCCTACTCCTGAACGGTTTTAGGCAAGTCACTTCATCTGTCAAGGCCTGGGTTTTCCCATCTGTAAAATGGGCAAATAAGATTTGCTCCGTATTTGTTCCTAGAGTCATAAGAGCAAAGTGTAACTTTAGGTGTAAACGTCCCTGAGAGTTTGGGAAGAAAATCAATAGTCCGACAACCTTAAACAATATTCCAACAATATTAACTATTAAAGCAATATTCCAGCAATATAAAAGATTAGGACACGGAGCGCAGAGATGGGGGAGCGTGTGTTGGGGTTGTACAGCTCACTCCTTCTCCTCCCACCAGGCCGTGCCTTCTCACCTTCCTGCCCCACTCCCAGCTCTGTGGACTCCCAACCCATTGCATGGCTATGGAGAGCAAAGTGGCAGTCCACAAGGATGGGCCTCCTGTGGTCTTCTGGGTCCCTGAGGAGGGAGAGAAGCTGGACCAGGAAGGTGGAGACCAGGTGAAGGATCGGGGCCAGTGGACCAACAAGATGGAGTTTGTGCTGTCAGTGGCCGGGGAGATCATTGGGCTGGGCAATGTCTGGAGGTTCCCCTATCTCTGCTACAAAAATGGAGGTGGTGAGTTCACTTGGAGGTAGGCGTGATGGGGAGTGCTGTGCCCTGACAGCCGGGCTGCGCCTGCCTGGACGCCTCCTGGCTGGGCAACGGGTAAAATGGAAGGAGGCTGGAATGGAGTGGGAGGACTTGAGCTTGAGTTCTAGCTCCACCATGAGCCTCAGTGTCCCCCTCTGTGAAATGGGATGACACCCCACAGGGCTACTGTGAAGATTAAATGAGGCAAAGGGCAGGACCGAGGAATCCAAGTTTTTGATAAGCTCCTTCATTACTCTACACAATGTCAGCTGTTGATAGAGGTCATTTATTCATTCAACTAATATTGTGGGCCTACCATGTGCCACGCACTGTTCTAGATGCAAAACAGAACATATTCCTGGTGTGTGATAGTCTAGTGAAGGGTAGAAGATTACGGACAAAACATGTGGTGTGTGAGACGGTGGTGAGCGGAATGGCAAGAAGCAGACCAGGGAAGAGGGCTGGGGAATGCCAGGTCACAGGGTGGGGAGTGGATTGCGAAATAAGGTAACCAGGAAAGGTTTTGTTGAGGAGGTGACATGTGAGCAAAGACTTCAGGTGAAGCACATTCCAAAAAGAGCGAAGGGCAAGTGCAAAGGTCCTGGGGGGAAAGTGCAACTGGCACGTTTGAGGAACAGCAGAGAGGGGGGTGGCAGATGGGGGAAGACTAGGAGAGGAGGTCAGAGAGGTAAGAGGGCTCAGATCTTGTAGGCTCTGCTCCGAGTGAGATTGGAGCCACTGAAGAGTTTTGATCCGAGAAATAATATTATCTTATCTGTGGTTTTTTTAAACTAAAAAACATAATTTTATTACTTTTCAGCACTGGTAGTAAAAATGAGCAGAGCCATGGTGGGGAGGGGCCCAATTCATATTTTTTTTTTTTTTGAGGAAGATTAGCCCCGAGCTAACTACTGCCAATCCCCCTCTTTTTGCTGAGGAAGCCTGGCCCTGAGCTAACATCCATGCCCATCTTCCTCTACTTTATATGTGGGACGCCTACCACAGCATGGCTTGCCAAGCAGTGCTGTGTCTGCACCCAGGATCCAAACCAGTGAACCCCGGGCCGCCGAGAAGCAGAACGTGAGAACTTAACCACTGCGCCACCAGGCCGGCCCCCTGATTCATCTTTTTAAATGTACAATGAAATGCTTTTTAGTATATTCATAGAATTGTGCAACCATCACCACAGTTGATTTAGAACATTCGCATCATTCCCCAAAGAAGCCCTGTACCCATTAGCCGTCGCTCCCCCTTCCCTCTTCCTGCCAGCTCTTGGCAACCACTAATCTGCCTTCTGTGGCCTTGGGTTTACCTACATGAAATATTTCACATAAATGGAATAATTCATTTATGTGCATTTATTTGTGAAAGCCAGATTCATTTTTGCCTTTTGAAAATACCTTTATCTTTTTGTGGAAATGATATGTTGTGAATATTAGAAACATTCTAGAAAGGTAAGAAAAAGAAACATTCCCATTTAAAGATAACCATTGTTTGGAAAATCCTTCTTTTTTTTTTTTGAGGAAGATTAGCCCTGAGCTAACTACTACCAGTCCTCTTCTTTTTGCTGAGGAAGCCTGGCCCTGAGCTAACATCCGTGCCCATCTTCCTCTACTTTATATGTGGGACGCCTACCACAGCATGGCATGCCAAGCGGTGCCATGTCCGCACCTGGCATCCGAACTGGGAAACCCTGGGCCACCGAGAAGCGGAACATGCGAACTTAACCACTGCGCCACCGGGCTGGCCCCAGAAAATCCTTCTAAATGCTATTTATATTTAATTTGACAAACATTTATTAAGCATCTGCCATGTATCTTGCTCTGCGACTTAAAACTTAGAGTTATCATTGCAAGCTGCTTGAAGTGATGACTCCAAAGAAAACAGAAATGGGATTTCCTGGGTGGGTCAGGACTATGGAGCCCAGACTGGGAGTGGGGGACTAGTGCTGGGCTTGAGATTAGGGGAGGCAGGAAGAAGTGGTAGGAGTGGTAGCTTATTTCTTTGTCCTGGGCCACAGTTTCTTGGACATATAGGATGTTAGAGCTTGAGCTAAAGATGACCCAGTCTGAGCTCTCCTCTCACAGGGGAGGATGCGGGAGCTCAGAGAGTTCAGCAACTTGCCCAAGACCACAGAGCTAGTTGGTAGCAGCAGGCCCTGGGAGCCAGGGGCTCCCCCTCCGTAAGCATCTGGCCCCATCATCTAAAAGGAGGGAGAACGAGGGCCCAGGAAACAGGGCTTGGGGTTCTGATGCTCTCCCTGCCTCTGCCCTGCCCAGTGGCTATGGCTGTAGCCTCTGTACTGGCATGGGCTGGGGTGGAGAGACCAGTACCTGTGACAGCATGCAATGACACTGGGCTGAGCCTGGGCCATCTGTGAAATGGCAGGACCAGAGTAGGTGGCATCACATTTACTGTGTCCTCTCTGTGACTTGCGTTCTTACTTTAGCTCTGTCCCAACCTAACTATTGGGAAAGACATGGTGCCATTCCTCTCTCTTCTTCCGTCATCTTTAACATGAGGGGCTACACAAGGTCAGGGGTCCCAATCCGGGGTCCCTGGTCTCTGGGGGTCTAAGGAGGAAGTAATGAAGGTCTAGGAATTAGTTTCCTTATTTCAGACAACTTAACAATGGATTTATGTAGGAACACGACTTCACAGTTTAACCCAAATGTCCATTTTTCACTCTAGGCTAAGATTGTACTAATTCATTGTGGCAATAGGGTTTATCTCAAGCTGACCATAAATAAGCCCTGGTTGGCAGTTAAATATGGTTTTTATTAATACATGCAGATAAATTAATTGTTAGTGACTAAACACAGTTCTATAGAGAAAAATCATTCAAAAGGGATGAAAAATAATAATAATGTAATAATGGTCTAATAACATCTTTGGTTACGAAAAAGCAGGGAGCCACTAAACTAGATTATCCTTAAGATATGGTACCCTCCGAAAGAGAACTTCGTGAAATTCTGAGTTTCCAGACTGTCAGCGTCTCAGGAAGGAGCACTGGGCAGGGGTAGCAAGGCATGCCTTGGAGCCGAGGGAGGGAGGTTAAACAAGCCTCAAGTCGCCCTGCCTCCACAGATCCCTGTGGGGCAGCACCAGGCTGCTTGTGCCCACAGCCTGGGCACACACCAAGAGAATCGTGGGCTGGGTCACCCTCCCAAAGCGAGGGTTCTGAGAAGTTCATTTGAGGGAGGGTGTTTGCAGTGATAGCGTGCTGGAAACCCAGGGAGAAGGCCAAGGATGGAGGCTGCCCTCTGATTGGTCCAGAACCACCCACCGCCCACTGCTCCCAGTGCCCCAGGCCAAGCACTGCCCTTTCAGGGTGGACTCGGCCTGAGTCCTGGGGTCCAGGCCTCCTGAGGGCACCCCAGCTTCCGTGGGGCTGACATCGACATTCCAAGAATAGAACTGAAGCCATCTGCTGTATCAGAGGGACCACCTCCACACAGCCCGTGGGAAGGAGCCTATGGGTCATGTGCCCCCACAAGCTTCCCATAACATGTCCTCTGGGAGAGTCCCCCAGCCACATCTTTTCTCCTGAACACTGTCCCTCAGCCTAGCCCCTGCAACCATCCAAGCCACCGAAGCCAGGGTCAGCGGTGCTGTTGGCCCTAGGTTGACTAACACTCTAGCATTAGTCAGGATGTAAAGGCAATACAGAGTTTAAAAGGACTTCAGGACTTGGTGGAGAGGTACTGGCTTGCTGTGGCTCCCTATATGTTATGTGTATCTTACCACATGCACACACAAAAACATACATAACTTCCTACCCAGCAATTCCTCCCCTGAAAATTTATACTAACGAGCAAATTAGACAAGTGCACAAGGATGTGGGCACAGTCCCCATCCCAGCAGTGTGTAATGAGACAACCATGAAGGCCAGTGACAGTACTGTGACTTAGACTAGGATAGCTGCCTACGGGGGGCGTAGGACTCTACCGCCACCAGCATGATGATGGAGATATGTATTTGACATGAAAAGAGATTCATGATGCATATTTTAAAATGCTTATAAGTAATATATAGTAGGTTCTCATTTTTGCAAAAAAAAAAAAATGTGTGTTAAGAGAATTAGAAGACTATGAAATGCTTTTTCCTTTCTTTCCCTTTGTACTTTCTACTTTTTCTACAAAGTAATATGGATTATTTGAGAGGCATTATAATATAGTGGTTAAGGGCACAGACTCAGGATCAGACCACCTGGGTTTGTGCCTCAGTTTCCTCCCCTCTGCCTCAGCTTTTGAATCGTCAAACTGGCCTCAGTGTTCACATCTGTAAAATGGGGGTGACAACAGTACCTCCCCCATGGGCAGTTGTTTTGTGAGGTTTCTGACATTAGTGAGGCATTTAGATGAGTGCCTTATGCACAGTAAGCACAAAGTATGTGTCAGGGTTATTACTATGCACTAGACAATAATTCCTTCACCCATGGATATGCGTCTGAGGTGAGGCGTGTGCCTTAGTGACTGCAGTGGGCACTGTGGGCTCAGGGCATCTTCACATTCCATTTGCATGTGATTTGCTGGATGTCTTTTAGGCCTGGTCTCCCATTGGGGCCTGTAAGTCAGTACCTGATCCAATGGCACCTGCGAGCCCAGCTCCTGAGGATCTCCCTGAGTGAGGAATGGCCCCCTCTGCTGGGAGCCTGGTTCAGATCAGAGCCTGGTGGAGGGAAAAAACCCTCTGAAAATTGTTAGAGGGAAAATAATTTTTCCAAGGTGTTTTTGTTTGTTTTTCTCTAAAATGTAACAAACAGTAATTTAATAAGCATATCAAAATATACAGAACACATGTTTTTGTTCCAAAAATAATAAGTTGACTACATTTGTGAAACACACTGAGAAAATAAATAGTGCATATATTAGGATTTCCACCTAAATTTCCATTTATTTCCCCTCAAAGGTCTTTCCTCAGCTGAGCAGGGTTCAGACTGGAAAATTTCCGCCTGTCCCTGCTTGCAGACAGGAGGGAACCGTTAGGCTGTGAGGAGGGAGATGAAGGATGGCAGGGCGGGCGCTGGAGCACAGCTCTGGGAGGGGCCCTGGGCTGGAAGCCTCAGCCTCTGCCTCCCTCTCCTCCGCAGGAGCCTTCTTCATCCCCTACTTCATCTTCTTCTTCACCTGCGGCATCCCAGTGTTCTTCTTGGAGGTGGCACTGGGCCAGTATACCAGCCAGGGCAGCGTCACGGCCTGGAGGAAGATCTGTCCCCTTCTCCAGGGTGAGTGTTCTCGGTCCCCCTCCTGCCCTCCTCTCGGGCCAGCATCACGCCTCGCCCCTCCCCTTTTCCTCCCGTTCACTGCCTCCTTCATTCATCCCCTCTCATCCTTGCTAAGTGTTGCAGGAGACAGAGGAAGTATAATCAGGCTTTGTGGGGCCCAAAGCTTATACATCCTGGGGAGGAAGGTGTTCCTCAAGAAAGACAATACAAAATTACAAATGCAAAATTAGGTACAGAGCCTTGGAAAGGGCCCTTGCAAGTGAGGAACCCTGAAGCTTGATCTTTATCAGCTTCATGGAAAATATGTTCCTGAGTATATGGCATGGTCCCAGACATAGCTCCAAAGTATATAATAACAGTGATGATAATGATGATGATGTCTAGCATCTCTTGCGCCCTACTATATGTCACGGCTCATGGAAGCACTTTACGTGCATTTCCTCATCTAATCCTCCAGTAATAACTCTATTAACCTCATTTTGTAGATGAGAAAAAGGAGGCACTCACTAAGGATTTGGACCCGGGTCTCCCTGAGCCGGAAGTCCGCGTTCCTTCCTGTGTTAGGGATTGTGTTAGGGATAGCTCCCGCCCCTCTCTCTAGGGATCTGTTGGCACTAATGTGAGCAGTTTGTGGTGTCCTTCCACCACTCCATCTTTACTGATTGGGCCAGTCCCCTGGAGGCCAGAGGGAAACCCAAGGGGTCTCCTTGTCCCTGAGAGGTTCCTTGCATATTTGAAATGGAGAGAGGGCTCTTCTCCCCCACGTTAGTCCCCAAGGGAGCCCCAGAGACTAGACTATCTGGGGTTGCCACCAAACTTAGTAGGTTGGACAGAGGTGGGCATGGTGGGAAAACGCTGTCTCCTGAGAAGGCTGGAAACCTGACCACTGAGAGTCCAGCGCGTCCCGGCGCAAGGGGTCTGCGGGCGGCTGCGCGCTCTAAACATCCCGCCCGCCGCCGCCCCCCGGGGTCCTCCCGCCCTCAGCAGCCCCAGCCGCCGCCCTCCCGCGGCCTAGCCCGAGGCTGCCGGTCCCCACGCGGGAAAGCCCGCCTGCCTCGGTCGCCCGGCGATAGGAACCATCGGGTGGGCTCGCCGGGCGCAGGGGGTGCTTTGTGGACAGTCAGCACTGATTTTCGGACCAGCCCTCCGACGTCCTACCCGGTGGCTCTCCACCAGTCCTTCGTTTAATAGTTCTTGGGCATCGACTTCCCGGGACGGCCTCGGGGACGCAGGACAAACGGGCGGGTCCTAACCCGGCCGAGTCCCGGCCCCACTCCTCCGGGCTGGCTTTCAGACCCCGGGACCGCCAGCCGCCCTGGCAGCGTGCTGCTTTCAAAATCACCGAGGGAAAGCTCCCACTTTGGTAGGACTGGGGGGCCGGCTGGGGGACAGACTCCGGGCGCTCGGCTGCGGAGCCTGCAGGCGCGGCGGGTCCGGGCGCGGCCTTCGGACAGCCACCGCGGCGCTCGTCCCTGCTGGTGGCTTCTGGGCTTTGCTCCTATTTTGAGACCGATTCTTGCCAAATTTTCCCTTTGTTCTTCCTGCCGCTTTTCATCTCACAAGTAATGCATGATTGTAATAGGAAAAGCTACAAAATACAGATAGACAAAAAGAGAAAAAAACTTTAAAAGGTGAACTGAAACCCTATCACCTGGAGAACCACTTGTTAGCTTTCTGATGACGATCCTTCCAGAGTTTTCTCCGTGAAAAAGAAAAAGCTGTACGTTCAAAAATATGTTATAAAAATGGGAGAGTGAATAGGATAGTGTTGTGTAACCTGCTTTTCTTATTTAAAAATATGCTGTAAATGGCTTCTCATGCCAATAAATGAACCCTGGTGGTTCTTTTTATATAGCGCCCAGTACCCTTCTAGCCACAACTGGCAGCTTCCACGTGACTTTTGTTGGCTAATGCTGATGTCTTGGATTCTCTTGTTGCTCCCACCCCTCCCCTGCTGCGCTCCCGAAGGCATTGGTACGGCATCTGTGGTCATCGAGTCCTATTTGAACATCTACTACATCGTCATCCTTGCCTGGGCTCTCTTCTACCTGTTCAGCTCCTTTACCTCCGAGCTGCCCTGGACCACTTGTACCCATAACTGGAACACAGGTATGTGTCGTTTGAGCCCCTGGAACGGGGCCTCTCCCTAGGGCTGGTCTCGTGGTTGCTGGTGATTGGCAAACAGTAACGGAGCGCATGGTGGGACTTGCCTCAAAGCTAAGCTAAGTGAGCTCTGGCGCCAGTGCTGCCACTGAGCCTTTTGTGGGACTTTAGATCAGCCACTAGGAGAACTGAGAACCCAGTGGGACTGTGAATGTGTCATGCAACTGCAAGGGCTTAGCACCACTCCCTCATCCATTCAGTTAACAAATATCTATCGTGCACCTGCTGTGTGCCAAGCACTGTGCTGGGTGCTAGGAGTCAAGGGTGAACAAGAGCAGCGTGGACCCAGCCCTCGCTGAGCGTACAGCCTGGGGGTAGAAACAAGCAAATTAACAAAACAGTTGCAGATGGTGATGGGCGAAAGACACAGTGCAGTGACTGTATCCTGACGGAGGGAGAAGTGCTGGTTGAGGGCTGAAGCAAGGAGAAAGCCTGCCGTGTGAGTGGCGTCCTAGGCTGGGGAAGGGCAGGCGCGGGGATTCAGTCCGTTTATCTATCGAGTGGAGACAGGCTGGGCGAGTCAGGAGAGTGCTGTCCATACGTGGGGCTGAGTGGATCTGAAGTCTGGATTGTGTCAGAGGTTGGCGGGGTGGCCAGAGGGGCAACCAGAGTCACTGGAACAGGAGTAATGCAGGGTACGTGCGGCGGGGGGCTGGTCCCACGGACCACCCGAGCAGTCAACTCCTGACACTCTGGAAGGTACGGGCTCCAAAGGAAGCTTTGGGACTGGGAATGAGGGGGACTGCCAGGCTGCAAGGCCAGAGGCTCAGGGGACTAGGGTGTGTGGGCACCTCTCCCCGTCTCATCCCTAGCTGATACGCACCCACCTTGTCCCCAACAGAGCATTGCATGGACTTTCTGAACCACTCGGGAGCCAGCACAGAGACCCCCTCTGAGAACTTCACCTCCCCTGTCATGGAATTCTGGGAGTAAGTGCTGGGCCTGGATGCCACGTGCCAGGGGGCCCCAAGCAGAGGAAATCTAAATGTCTGAGGCCTAGGACTTGGGGTGCAAGTTTAAGCGTCCCTGTGCATGCTTTCTAGCACTTACCATCCTCCCATCCTCCCACCCCACACATCGCTGAGAGATGAGGGAACACTCGCATCTACCCACACTGTCCACCTACACCCTTACCCCAAATCTGCCTGTGTCCAGCTAGACTCACACTTTATCCATGTCGACTTGCACTCCCACACATGCCTACCTACACCCTCACATCCCCCTGCACCCCACACACCCACCTACGCTTACACATCTACCCACACATGTCCAGTGGTGTCTGGCAAACAGTCTGAACCAGCTTAGGAGAACTGACTGTGCACATCTCTTCCCAACTTTGTGATCAGTGATGTCATGTTGGTAGCTTGAAATTGGCCAAGGTGGGAGTATTTATACCACAGAAAGTGGCAAAACCTACGCTCACACATCCACTCTCCCACATGACTACTTACATCCTTACATCCACCCATGCCCACGTGTCCACCTTCTTACACACTTACCTAAAACCGACACTTATTCACCAACACTCTCACCTGTCTACCTACACTCTCACACACACACATTTAAATCACCCCCATATGCATCTTTAGATACTAACACACATTCAGCCTGTCCATTTGATACCCATATACTTGCTCATCAACTTGCAAATATAAATATCAACTCTCCATATACTCATTCATACATTCCTCACCACCTTCACTCACTTTCTCTCTCTCCCTCTCTCTCTCTCTCTGTACAACAGAGAAAGCTGGATGAGTTAGAAAGACAAAGATACCTATGGGATTACGTGATTTGGTCTTCTAACAGCCAGGGGCATGCAGACCACAGGTGGGAACGTGGTATGCCACGGGGCAGGTGGAGTGGGATAGGGGTGGGGGAAGCCTGGAATATGAGATCTGTGGAGTCAGCTCTAAAATCAGGAGACTTGATGACAGAGGCAAGTTGTCCTCTCTAGTCCTTCTGCTGGTTATTAATTTTTCCCAATCCATCAGGAGACGAACCCTGGGCATCACCTCGGGCATCCACGACCTGGGGGCCCTGCGCTGGGAGCTGGCCCTGTGCCTCCTGCTTGCCTGGGTCGTCTGCTACTTCTGCATCTGGAAGGGGGTCAAGATCACAGGCAAGGTGAGGTGTTCTGGCTCTTGGTAAGCTCTCTGTGGCCCCCGGAGTCCATAGGGACACTCCCAGGGGTCTCTCTGGAGAACTGAAAGAAAGATTCTTTAAGGGAGAGGCATAGTGAGAACAGGGGAAGTCTGTAGATTTGAGCTCAGTATAAGCCAAGACTTTCTTTTTCAATATGACTTTAAAAGACCTGTTTACGTAAGTAATGTCGAGAGCAAGGTAAGAAACATGGAAGCACTCCGTCGCAGCCATCAGTGCAGAGCACCAGCATGACGGCAGGTTGGATCCGCTCATCCTGGCCACTTCTTGCTGGGCAGCCTTCTGGTTCCTTTTTTATGTATGCATGTGTGTATCAGTGTCTATTAAGTGTGTATATTACACAATTAGGATCATATACTCTTGTGACTTGCTTTTTGTATTTAACAACGCATCAAGACAATGTTTAGTATGGACCAGCAAACAGAGCTGTCTTTGAGGTGGTGAGTCTCCAGTCTTTGGAGGGGTTGTAGCTAAGAACGGACAACAGTGGCTTGTTGTATGCTTAGAGAGAGTTCAGACTTGAGCATTAATTCCAACCCAGAGAATCTGAGACTGATGTTTCATGCTTTGTGAGGCTGGAATAGACAGGATCCCGACTCCTCTCGTTATCCTGTTCCTGCAGCAGCCTCCCTTCCCAGATTGTTGTAAGGGTAATGTGATCGTAATGATGAAAACAGTTAATAGGAATAGAACAGAGAGTGCCACCGCCTCTGGTGAGGGCTGAGCTTGGTCAAGGCAGAATGGGGCCCCCTCTGTGCATCTCCAGATTCCTGAGGTCAGGCCACTGCTGCTTCCCCAGCCTTAAGCCTGGAAAATAGAGTTTAAACTTCCCCACAGAGCACTGAACAAATCTGCTCCTCCTCCCTGTGGCGAAGGGGAATCCCACCCTCGCCAGGGTCCTGGGGAGAACAGCCAGGATAAGGGGTTAAGGGAGACCAGATTCTGGATTTAAAGAGTCTTTGAAATGTTATGGCTGGAAACCTGCGCCCCTGCCTGTCCTTCCTCCTTCCCCCTGGCCCTGCTGGTGTGCATCTCGCACCCTGCCGCGGAGCCTAGACCCACTGGAATGCATCCAGGAAGGTGTGGGAAGTTTCATGCGCTCGCCCCCACTCAGCTGTCTCTAAGAACGTGCTGGACACTGAGCTGGGCATGGCTGTGCTGCCTGGGGAGGGGTGACAGGAGGACCACCGCAACTCCTGTCGCCTCCTGGCTGCTGTGTCCCCACCGGGAGTGACCTTGGCCTGCTTCCCCTCCAGGTGGTGTATTTCACAGCCACCTTTCCCTACCTGATGCTGGTCATCCTGTTGGTCCGCGGCGTCACCCTGCCCGGAGCCTACGAGGGCATCATCTATTACCTGAAGCCAGATTTGTTTCGCCTCAAGGACCCCCAGGTGGGTACGGTGCTGGGGACCATCTCCCCAGACGTCTCCCACCCTAAGTCAGATCTGCACTTCTGAAAATCTTTGATTGGTCTTTTCTTGGTTTAAAGGCAATAGATGTCACTAGAGAAAAATTAGATTATATGGAAGAAAATATGAAAAAGAAACTAAAAATCTTTTGTAATCCCACCACTCAGCTGTAATCTCTGTTAGCATTTTAGTACATTTCCTTCCGACATTTTCTTCTACGTGGTGTGTGTGTGTCTGTGTTTTAACGTAGTTGAGGTAATTATATAGAGACAAATACCTTTTTTTTCACTTTAGTCATATTGTAAGCATTTCCCATATTATTAATTTGTAAATGTCATTTTTAACCTTGCATAATTTTCCTCCATAATCCATTCATTCATTCATTCATTCAACCAAATGTGCTGAGGACCTGTAAGTGCCCAGTCCAGCTCTTGTGCTGGTGATGGGCTGTGTGCCCAGCAGACCAGGACCCGCGCCCTCTGAGTGCTCACACCTGGGGCCAGTGTCGTCATTTACTCAAGTCTCCCTCTGTTCTGGGACATTTAGGTCATGTGTTTTTCTAATTTATGATTGTATATACAGCTGCAATGAACACCTTGCCTTTAAATCAGTGACCACACCTCTGATTATTTCCTGACTGCAGTTAGACATGGGGTCACTAAGGCCAACAGTGCGCACGTTTTAAGGTTCTTGACGTGTACCAGCCTAGAGCGATGGAGGCTCCCACTGCCCATGTCAGGGGGCCCTTCTTTCTGCAGGCCGCAAGAGGTTCAATCATAATTTATTTTCATCTTTGATAACTTGATTGGTCAAAACAGTATCATTTTGTTTTTCACTTAACTTTTTTTAGTACTGTGAGGTTGGACATTTCCCCACGTTTATTGGCCGTTTCTATTTCCTCTTGTCCTCCATAGAGTCCTGGTGGGTTTTTCTTTATATTTGAATGGAGCAGCCCCTTCACCCCACCGGGGCTGCACAGTCTGTTTGTTGAGTGAGTGCAGGTGCCTCTTGGCTCGCCCTGCAGGCAGGCCTGCCAGCTCTGGGCCACAGCCGTGGGGTGTGGACTCCACCTAAGAAATTCAAGTTACGCACTGTGTTTGGTGCTTACTAAGTGCTCACAGAGCCAGATTAAAAGTAGGCCCTGCCTGTGAGCAGACGAGGACTGTTAATGGAGAGCTGGGATGGACACGATTCTCAGGGAACCCCCGAGGGGCCAGGCCAGCTCCGTGGGGGAATGGGTTGGGTCTCTGATCAGCTGGCCCCAGGCCCTGGCAGGCTCCCTCCTGCTCTCCCTGCACCACTGTCTTGGGGTCTCACGTAGGTGTGGATGGACGCCGGCACCCAGATCTTCTTCTCCTTCGCCATCTGCCAGGGGTGCCTGACAGCCCTGGGCAGCTACAACAAGTACCACAACAACTGCTACAGGTAGGGACGGCGGCTGGGGCCTCTGAGGACCCTGCCTACCTGTGGTCCAAGGAGGGTGGGGTCCTGGATGAGACTCAGTCAGGGCGCCCAGGCCTTCCTCCTTTGTTTTCAGGGAGTTACAAGCTGTGTCAGACTGACATCGCAGTTCCTCTCCCAGACTGAATGTCTGTTCTCCTCCCTTTTCTCCCTCCCTTCCCTCTCTCACCTTCTGACACCTCATCTTTGTCTTTTTCTCCTCTCTTTACCCTCTTACTGTTGTTTGATCTGTCCTCCACTATGGATCTTTCTCCCTTTTCCTTCCTGTCTTGCCTGTCTTCACCCCGCCCCGCAGGGACTGCATTGCCCTCTGCTTCCTAAACAGTGCCACCAGCTTTGCAGCCGGGTTTGTGGTCTTCTCCATCCTGGGCTTCATGTCCCAAGAGCAGGGGGTGCCCATTTCTGAAGTGGCTGAGTCAGGTAGGTGCTACTTTGCTGTCTGGGACCTGCGGGGAAGGCGGGTCAGAGCACACAGATCCCTCCTACAGAAAGGCAGTGTTCCAGAAGCTGGGTGGTGGACCTCTTAGCATCTGGGGGCATGCTTGGCACAGGGTGGGGCCTCCATAACTGGGGTGGGGGGAGGGAGAGGGGAATGGATGGGTTACTTGCATGGATGGAGGAAGAGCATGCTCCCCAGCACCTAGGAAGAGCGAAATAATGGGCGGAATCACCCTGACCTCTTGAACAGTCCCAGACACGTACACTCACTCATGCACACCCACACACCGCACCTCCGGACAGGGCTCTTCCCTAGGGCAGCGAGAGCGCACTCCCCTGATTGTGCTGTGTGTGGGCAGGTCCTGGTCTGGCCTTCATCGCATTCCCCAAGGCTGTGACTATGATGCCCTTGTCCCAGCTGTGGTCCTGCCTTTTCTTCATCATGCTCATCTTCCTCGGGCTGGACAGTCAGGTTCGTCACCCCCGTGCAGCCCCTCCCTGACCTGGTGGCCCTCTTGCCAGCTCCTGCATTTCCTTCCCCCAAACCCCTCTCCCCTGACCGTACATTCTGGGCCCCCTCCACTGTCCAGGGCTTATCCTTGCGGTTGGTTGGGTGACCCCCGCCCTGAAACCCTCTTCTGGGAGGGGGCTTCCTGCGTTGTTTCCCCGGGCCTGACCCTTCCCCAAACATGGACACCCCTCCCAAACGTCCCTCCAGTCTCCCTCCAGCTGCCCAGCCCTGCGCCCGAGCCGTGGGGACAGAGCATATCTCCCCCCCAACTCTCACTGCTGGGAGCCTCTTGGAGATGTGCCCAAGGGCAGGGCTGGCCTCACCTCAGGGCACCCCCACTTCTGCCCGTTGCACCCTTCCTTGCACTGCTGTGTGAGGCTGTGCCACAGACGGTCCAAGGGCTGTGGCCCCTCTCACCCCGACTTCCCTCCTGCCCACAGTTTGTCTGTATGGAGTGCCTGGTGACGGCCTTCGTGGACATGTTCCCCAGGCAGCTCCGGAAGAGTGGGCGGCGAGAGCTCCTCATCCTCGCCATCTCTGTCACGTGCTACCTGATAGGGCTCTTCCTGGTCACCGAGGTGAGCAGGGGCGTGCGGCCTGCAGGCTGGGCTCCAGGGTGAGGGAGCCATGGGGGACACCACTGACCCTTCTCAGAGCCCTTACCTCATTTGCTAAATGGGGGTGTTGACACCAGCCCTTCCTCCCTCATAGCATGGTTATAGGCACCACACCGTGGAACATACCTGTATTCGTTAGTTCTCTTTTGGCTTCAGGTAACAGAAACCAAATGCAAGCTGGCTTAAGCAGAAAGGGGAATTTTGGGGTCAGGAAACTGAAAAGTCTAGAGCTATTTTGGTTTCAGGCATGGCTGGATCCAGTTGCTCTAATGACATCGTCATAAATGCTCCTCTCTATCTCCTGGCTCCCCTTTCCTCTAGTAACTTCATTCCTAGCCAGATTTCCCTCTTGATGTTAAAGAAGGCTGGCGCAGCTTCAGACTTCCCTTCTGCCACCCGATCAGCCCCAGAGGAAAGAGAGCGCAGCCAGTGTCTGGCCGTGACTCTTCTGCAGGCCTGGAGCAGGGAGAGGAGCACACCTAGAGTGAGGTAGTGTCAACTTCCAGAAGATGGGGTGCCAGGCAGACAAAACAGTGTGTGTCCCCCCGTTCCCTGTGTCCTTGCAGACGTCTGAGATTGTTGTCCTAATGTTAAAAGAGGGGCCTGAAGGCAGGGCCAGGCAGGGCAAACTCCTTTTAGATGCAAGGAATGACTTCCCATGGGCTGGGCAGGTTGGCACCCCGATGGGTGTTGGCCTCTACCTTTGGGCAGAACGTGGCCCTGTCTCCACTGGCCAAGGCCCAGCTCCCCTTCCTTCTCCGCAGGGCGGGATGTACATCTTCCAGCTGTTTGATTATTACGCTTGCAGTGGCACATGCCTGCTCTTCCTTGCAGTGTTTGAAGTAATCTGCATCGGCTGGGTGTATGGTGAGTGGGGTGGGGGCAGTGGGGAAATGGGGGTGGGGAGGAGGTGCTGCTGGGGCCCAGCTAAGGGCAGATTTGCCCAGGATGAGATGGGGTGTGCTGGTCCCTGTTCCCACAAGTCTTTGTATTGCTGTCTTGGTTCTTTTCACCCGGGGAGTTTATCCACTGCTGGGAACCCGAGAGTTTCTCATCGCGGCAGGTGGAGCTGTGATAATGACAAACCCCATCTCCTTGAATAGTGAGTGTAAATAACAATGCACAGAGAGAGGCCCCCAGGCCCTTCACGGTGGGCATCCTACTCAGAAGGGAGCTTCAGGGCCATTTAGTCTGACCGTCCACAGACTCCTACATTCCCTTTCAAAGCTATCACCAGACTGTGCCTGGACACTTGCATGGACAGGACGCTCATTGCTGTGCTTTTGAGGTGGGCTTTTCCACTGTGGCTGTTATACATTTCTTTCTTGTATTGGTTGAATTCTGCCTTCCACTGACTTCCACCAACAGCCCTGGCCCCCTAACAGAGCTAGCTAAGCGGTGGTGCTGAATGCCGTGGTGCCCACGCCGTTATTGTCCCTGTTATAATAGGGGAGAAACCTTCAGTTACTGAGCCAACACACTACTGTGTGCCAAGCACTGTGCTGGTTGTGTCACTTGCTTTCTCACAATCGGCACAACAGCCCTTTACAGAGGGAAAGTGAGGCTCAGAGAGGTTAGGTCTCTTGCCTAAGCTCACACAGCTAGTGAGGAGCCGTCATCACACCCCAGGTCCGTCTGGCTTCACTGTACCAGGTTAGGGGAACACATCACCACTGTCATGAGGCGTAGGGCAGGGAGGGTAAGTGGGTGCCACATGGGAGGGCCTCAGGACAAGTCATGAGTAGGAAAGTTTTTATTTTTGCTACCGTAAGCCTTCCTATTTGGGGTCCTTTCCTCTTCCTGGAAACGTCTCCTACCTACCCACTCAAGCATGTCCTGTCTTCCTGAGTCCCCTACAGCTTTTCAAAGCTCGTTCTCAGACAGGATCTGATAAATTCAATCACAGTGAGGTATAAATGGCGATAAGCCTTAACATGTCACACCTACCGAGCTAGAATCTGGTTTTTAACTGGGGAGAAATTTAGGAGCCACAGGAATGACTCTTTAATGGTCATTTCACACATCAGGGGTCAGTAGGAAGGTACTTTTCAGTGAGGGGAGGTCAGAGGGCCTTCCAGTGTCTTGACCAATCAGAGGATACAGCAGATGTGGAAACCTAAGGACATTAAACAAAACGGGACAAAACCAGTCAGTGTGCTCACACACATGAACTAGCCCTCTCCCCGTGCTCTACTCGGATGCACACGGGTTCCTGGAACCTGGCCTCTGGACTGGTGTTCGTTCCCATAGCTGTCTGGCCCTGGATTGAGTTTAGCATGCTCTGCTTGAACAGTGGCACCCTGGCTGTTTCGCTGTTTTTGACTTGAAACTGAATTCGTCTCTGCTACACAGATAAACAAGCATTTGTCCCGCTGCTGAGCCCCATTTTAGGCTCCTGCCTCCTCTGTTGTTAGCATGGTGGGGTGTTCATCCCTAGACAGGGACACAAGAGGAAGCACAGGGAGGTCAGGGGACTCTCAAGGGCCCCAGCTTGTTGGCAGCAGCCCCTTCTCTCTCCCCACTCCCTGTGCTGTGGCTGGTGTGCCAGGGCCCCACCTCGTTTATGTGCCCTATCCAGGCTCCCTGCACAGGGTGGGAGGAAGGGCACAAAGCCAGGTCCCAAATCCCCACGAGCTGTTCCCACCTCCTGTCCTCACCCTCTTTCCCCAATGTTCTGGGCAGGAGCCGACCGTTTCTATGACAATGTTGAGGACATGATTGGCTACCGGCCATGGCCCCTGGTGAAGATCTCCTGGCTTTTCCTGACCCCTGGACTTTGCCTGGTATGTGCCCACCCAGCTACCCTGCTCTTCCTTCCTGCCTTCAGCAGACTTGGGGAGATGAGGAACAGGAAGCCTGAGCTCTGGGGCTCTTTCCCTGCCTGTCCAGTCTACCTCGGGAGACTGGTCCATTCCCTCTTCTGTGTTGGTTCCTCTGCCCTCTTTTGTGGGCCATCTCATCCAGCTCTTTGCTTTACCGTCGCTGTCATCTATTCCTGCTCCTGCTCCATGCCTTTCTCATTGCACCTCCATCCATCTGTCTGATTTCTCAGTTGTTGGTCTGTCTGTCTGTCTGTCTGCTTGGGGCTCCTGCATCCCTCCTCCTTCCTTTACATCCACTCCTGTCTCAGTCTTCAACGTGAGTGATGCCTTGGCTCATAATTTGCAATGGCTTTTACTACCCACCTCATAGATGCACCACAGTGTAGTTACCTTGTCCTCTGTCACTGGATAGTTAAGTAGCTGAGGAAAGGGTTTCAGTGCTCTCCATCTCATCTGTTTCTCCCCCTCCCTCTTTCCAGGCCACTTTCCTCTTCTCCTTGAGCAAGTACACACCCCTCAAATACAACAACATCTACGTGTACCCTCTCTGGGGGTACTTCATTGGCTGGTTCCTGGCTCTCTCCTCCATGGTCTGCGTCCCACTCTTCATCATCATCACCCTCCTGAAGACTCAGGGTTCCTTCAAGAAGGTACGGGGCTGGGGGAGGTGACGCATTAAAGGAGGGTGCTGACAGGGTGGACACCCTGGCTGGGGCTGGCTCCGAGTGGGCAGCAGCCCTTCAGTCCAGGGAACCTTAAAGAGAGGGTCTTTGAAGACCAGTCCAGTGGTTTCATTTTCAGAAATGTTCAAAAGTCCTAGATTCCCACACCTTCAGAATCCAACTTCCAGCAGCTCATCTGGGCAGGTTAACCAAGGGCAAACTGTTAAAGGGTAGGGGAAACAAGGAACAGACGAAAACAAATGGGCCCAGACACAGACGTTTATAGAGCCCAGAGTCCTTGATCTCGGGAAACCGATAACCGGTTATCACGGTTCATTGCACAGTCTCCTGGCTTCTTCTCTTCACCCTGGCTGGGGAGCCACAAGCAAAAGGCTCCCGGTTTAGAGTTTGGGACATGCCTTCCTGGAAGGGGATATAGCTTGTGTCCCACAAAGACATTACATCTGTAGAAATCCATCTGGCCTACAAGTAACAGAAAACCCAACCTGCAATAAGCAAATAGACTTATTTTTTTCTTACATGTCAAGAAGACCAGAGACAGAGGTTTCCGGCATTTGGTTCAGCTGCTTAAAGAGGCCCTTAGAGCCAGCCTCTTCCTATCTTTTTGCACTTCCCTCATGAGCATGTTGTCTTTTCATCATCATGCTCATGACCTCATGGTCACGAGAAGGTGGCTGTGATTCCAGTCATCACACTGGCAGTCAAGCCAAGAAGGAGCAGGAGGAGATGGCACCAATAACACCAATAATGACAGTAACAGTAGTGCTACCAAGAATAAGAAAAAAATAGATACTTATTAAGCATATAATAAGAAGAAGAACAAACAAAGACACTTATTGATCACTTACCCTGGGCCAGGCCCTGCTCTCAGAGGTGTGACTGTCATCCTGCTCAGTGTACAGATGAGGCCTGCAGGGCTAAGCGGGTTGCCTAAGACTGCACAGGTCGTCGGTGCAGAGCCGCAACTGAGACCAGGCAGTTCACACGCTTAATCTCCACCTCATTGCCTCTTCTCTCTTCTCAAGATATTCAGTCGTTTATTCACCTGTGTTCGACTGAGCCGCCCCCTGTGCCTGGCTCTGCCGGCCCCTGGGGACACAGACACGAGGACACATGTCTGCCTCTCTCCCCAATACCACCTACTCACCCCCTCTTCTCTCCACAGCGCCTGAGACAGCTCATCGCCCCTGACCCCAGCCTGCCAAAACCCCAGCAACACCTGTATCTGGATGGTGGCGCAGACCAGGCCTGCAGGCCCTCCCCAACGAAGGAGGGGCTGATATCTGGGGAGAAAGAGACCCACTTGTAGGATGTGGCTGGAAGCTGAGTGGCTACTGAGCCAGGAACCTCGGTCAGGGCCACTCAATAACTTCCAATGGACAGCCTTCGCCTCTGTCCCCTACCACAGTCCTGCTGAGAACCTTTCAATGTCCCTGGGGACCCCCAGTGGGACACCAGCCTCCTCTCCTCTCCTCAGCTGCAGCAGCTCTTCCTGACGGGCTAAAGGTGGTCCCCCTGGGACGTGCCATGCTATGAAGCGACTCCCTGTCGGAACACACCATCTTATTATAAAGGAGGGTGGGCTGATTCTAACACATATTGTGAGGGAACTCCCACTGCAGGGATGTTTCCTGTTCGAGCTTACTGTATACCATGACCTGATTCAGAGAGCCCAATGGAACATACCGCGTTGGAAGTGGCAACTGAACACACCACACTGGATTCTGACATTCCATTAAACAGGGTCCTTCATGAGGCTTAGCATTCTGGAGTTCATGGCGAAGGAACTAGAGAAACGGCCAGGAGGCAAACCTTCACATGCCACCATTGTCTTGAGTTTAACTGGAGGTGGTCTCTCAAGGTGTTCCTAGCTCCAGCTTCAGTTCCACACTCTTGCAATGCTGTCATCAACTCATTGGAATGGAAGGGACTTAGACACAATCCCTTGACTTTGCAAATACACAGCACATATGTCTCTATGGGCCTCTGCCCAAAAAAAGACATTGCTAATCCATCACAGGTCCTTTCCCACCTCAATCCTTGTAGATATAGTGCTTCAGGCAGTCCATTTGCCATCCTGCTTTTGTTCAACCCCCTGACTCCATGGATGAGGAAACTGAGGACCAAAGAGACAAAGAGACCTTTTCAAGTTCACACAGCTCCCCAGGCCAGATGTACAACTAAAACCTGGTCACCTTGTTCTCAGGCCAGTGTTCTCCCCGTTACAGCCTCCTGCCTTAGTTAACAAGCACGTATGGATCACCTGCCGCCGTGTGCTAGCCTTCTTTACCGCTCCCCATTTCTGCTCCATTCTGTAGTGCTTGGGTAGGAGGGAGGGGGGTCCCCTCTGTGAAGGCCATGAGCAGTTCTCCCCAGATTGGTGCCCCACCTCGGTATTCTTTCTGCCAGCCCATACTCATCTGACCAGATGTCCTCTGGACCCTTTGTTCTTGCCATGTTCTGTCTCCCTTCCCCCAGCGGAGGCCTTGGCGTCTGCAAAGCCCCCTGGTCTCCCACAGAGACGGGGGTGTGTGTTGAGGGTGCTTCTCTCCCCATGTCCCTACCAAATCACCAGACCCTTCCCTGGCTGGAGAAGGCTTCCTGGAGGAGGAAGGCAGGGCTGGATAAGTTCCACGTTCTTGTGTTCAGAAGGGAAGCCAGGAGAGGGATGGGAGTGGGGTAGGGGGAATGGTGCATAGGTACATGTCTGCCCAGTGGACAGAGTGAAAATCTGGCCAGGGTGAGTTCCATCCTGACAGCCCCAGGCCATCCTCAGAGTATCCATCATCCTTTGCCCAGACATGTAGGCTTCTCAGCTGGTGAGAACAAGTTCGTTGGCACACTGGCCACAAGCAGATGTCCAGACTCCTGGGTTCTGGCAGTCCCGTTCTGCCTTCCTCTGGACCGCTCCGTGCACCTGTGCTCACCCTTCTTAGACTAGTTAGTGGGGAAAGAAGGAGGCACCGGAGAAGGGGATGGAGAGAGGGATGGAGAGAAACTGCCTCAGCCAGATTGCTCTCATTTGTGAGACCAGGGAACCTGTCCGAAGGAGGCGCGGGCCAGGCATGGTGCTCTCTGCTGCCGCCTGGTGGGAGGCAGGAGCAGTGCCGCCTCCGACCTCCCGAGCAGCCTTCACAAGCAGGACAGCGCCCTCCCCCCGCCCTCGCGATGGAGGGACAGGCTGCGCGGCTCTCCTTCCCTTCCCTGGAAGCCAAATGCTTCCCACAGCCTTCTCCCCATTGCCCCGGGGGCTCCCCAAGAGAGTCGGCCAGCTTTGGGGCAGCCCAGCTGGCTGGAGACACGGGCCCAGGCGAGGCAGGCTCTCGGCTCCCCGCCGCCTCCCCCGAGTGCGCCTGCGTGGGGCCTGGCGCTTTCAGCTCGTCGCAGGCGTTTGCGCAGTTCCGCAGGTGGGTGGGGCGCCCGCGCTCTGCGCGCCCTGAGTGCTGAATCTCGCAGTCTCTCTTCCTCTGCGGACACGCATTGCCCTCTCCCGTTGTCCTCCGACCCACGTAGTCCGCCGGGACTCAGCTGCCGCGGCTCCCCCGGCTTCAAACCCACAGCGCGTGGAGGAGGGGCTCGGCTCGGCTCGGGGACTGCGGCGGCGGGCAGCGTGTCTGCGGGCGTTCCTCCCTCCAGCCCCAGCGCTCAGGGTAGAGCCTCTATGGCCCGCGGGTCCAAAGGGATCTGGATGGGGCGGGCTGAGGCTGGAGGAAACAGGGTGTCAGGGAAAGGGACTTCCAGCCAACTCACAGCTCCTGGGAACCCACTCACACTGGGTCCACAACATGGGCAAGGAGCAACAGTTTGACTCTTTAAAGTGCCCAGGTACTAATACAGCTGTGTGTGTGTGGGTGCGCGCGCAAAGAGCAGGGGTGGAGTTAAGCTTGGGATCCATTTTCGTCTCATCTCCTAGACTGTCGGAGTTTCAAACTGGTGGCCAGAGGCCTCGGCTGGCAGCTATGATTTGTTTGGCCAGTGTGATATTTAAAAAAAATTTTTAAGTGAATGACTTTAGGCATTTTCCAGTTTAACACAGGCTCCACCACTCCCTATTACTCACACCTGAACTTTTTACGCATTCATGTTTGAAGGCATTTGAATTCATAAAGCTGTGCTCTGGGGGAAGAACTGAGAACCTTTGGGCAAGAGAGGGAACCAGAACCCTTGCTTGAGCGGGAGGGGGAAACCAAAGGCCAGTGGTCTCAGGAGTCCCAATGTCTCAGAAGGGGGTAGTCGCAGGACGGCCACCAACTCTGTCTTGTTCATGTGTGGACTTCCCATTCTGTAGACCCTCTGATGCTGTTAATCCTGGATCAGTGACCCTCCCACCCAGGCTCTTCCCTTTCCCAAAGAAGGGTGGTGGCTAAGTTTAATTTCAAAGCTAGACCAAGGTGTCAGGCCACAGCAGCCCTCCGTGGCGGAGGGGACTCCAAAGCCAAAAAGAACTCAGTTGGATTTTCTGGTGTTTGGGATCGCTTCTGTAGGCAAAAGCATTTTTATCTTACTGTGGCACTCCTCCACTCTGTGAGGCTAAGCCTGTCCCCCCTTTCTTGGCACCCCAAGCTACCCCTGGGAGTCCCCCCTGCTCCCTAGGCTGGGCTTCCTCAGGCGCTGGCTCTCCAAGGCTGCTGGTGTCTTGGGGTTTGCTGTCCCCAGCCACTCACCTTGGTTCTCCCCTGTGTCCCCTTTGACAAGGCTGGGCCTTGGTGCTGGCCTGGCTTGGACTCTCCCCCTCCTGTCTCATCTGAGAGCCCCTTGCGGGGTCCAAGGTGTGGGTTACGCTTGCAGGAGCTGAGGAGTGGGCTAAGGTATGCTCAGTGCCCTCCACCCCCTGCCCCCAGGCTGGGAGAGTTCTAGGAGCTGAAGAGGGCCTTCAACTCTGCTGAGGTTGGAGCCCCCGCCCCCTGATGAGTGGCCTGACGGTGGGCAAGGTGGTGGTCTGTGTGTGTTAGGTCGGAAGGGCTGTCTTAACTACCGGGGCATCCCACTTCTGCAGCTTCCCAAACCCGGTCTGTGCAGGCCCCCTTAAGACAGGGCCTGGCTCTGGTTTGGGGCCTCTGGGAATCACCTGGGTGCCACCTCCAGCTGACCTTCCAAACCGCCCTCCAAGTCCAGCCCACCCTGCGGCAGACACCTAACTTCTGGTCAGGGTCTGCTGTCTCTGCTGCCCCCACAGACAGGAAGCATCAGCTGGGCCCTTTCGTTCTGTCCCAGTACTGCCCAGGGATGCAGGCTCTGGGTCCTCAGGTCAGAACTCCTCCCACCCTGGTCAGAGAGAGAGAGAATGTAAGCTGCCCAGCCTGTCAGCCTTGTAAGCCCTTGGCTGCTGAGGGGAGGGGACAGGGTTATGGGAATGGATTTGGGGCAGGAGGAGGGAACGGAATCATGTTGGGGCGAGAGGGACAGAGACTAGGAGGCCTGGGGGACTGGGATTCGGGAGGATGGAGCCTGGAGTTTGTGGGGCTAGAGTCGGCTTGCAGGAAAGGCTGGCATCTTGTCCTAGTATAGCCAGGGCACAGGAGGAGCTCCCTGGGTAACCCTTTCTGCCCAACTCCTACCTCCTTTTCCCCTTAGGCCTGTGGTGGCTGGCCTGAAGATGGCCCCCAGGGGTCCTCACCTCCTGTGTTCACACCCTTGGTCCACAGAGTGTGTGTTGGGATGATGGTGAGTGACTTCTGCTGCTGGGTCATCGAAGGCACTGTGGCTCCCACTTTGATCTCTGGGACCACTTGCTCTTGGGGAAGCCACTCGCCGTGCTATGTGGACACTCAAGCGGCCTGGCTGAGAGGCCCACGTGGAGGGAGCTGAGGCCTCTGGCCAGGAGCCATCACCAGCTTGTTAGCCAGGTGAATGAGCCACTGTGGAAGTGGATCCGCCAGCCCTGGTCAAGCCTTTGGATGGCTGCAGGCCTGGCTGACACTGGCTGCAACCTTATGAGGGGCCCTGAATTCCTGACCCGCAGTGAGAGGTAGTACGTTTGTGTTGTTTTAAGCTGCTGAGTTTTGGAGTGATTTGTTAAGCAGCAGTAGGTAACTAATGGGCCCCTTGCTTTCCTGAGTACAAGAGTCGTCCTCTTTGAGGGTCAGATGTGGCCCTCATCAGAGGTGCCCCTCAGCGCTCTGGGAAGGAGACCTCGCTGGTGTTCTTCCTGTCTGAGCCCCTTGCATTTCTCCCACATGCTCACCACTTCTGACCCTTCCAGAGCCCTCCCGGACCCTTCCCCTCGTCTCCCTGCCTCTCTCCCTCCACCCTAGTCCTCATGTGCCCGCTCCCTGATGACCCAGTGTGCGTGGCTGCCCTGCAGGTTTAGCTGCTCAGGGACGTAACAAGGGCCGATTGGATCTGACAGGGATGAAAAGCCTGTTAACCACCCGTCAATACAGAGAGGCCTGGGGAGGACGGCTGAGGACTGATGAGGGCCAAGCCTGGCAGGTCACATGGGGCTGAGACAGGCTAGAGCCCTGGGCCCTGGTGCCGTGCATTCGGGCACTCTGCTTCCTGTCTGACGACTGGCACAGTCAGGACATCTCGCAATGGGTCGGGGAGGCAAGTGCAGAATTGCCAGGTGATGCAGACAGAGAGAGGAGAGCCCTCGATGCCTTGGGTCCATCCACAGAGTCAGTACCCAACCCCACTGCTGTAGCCAGGATTTAGCCAAAACTCCAGACACGATCATTCTGAGGCTTTCTCCGCCCACACCCCCTCACCAACGCCCTGAGGGCAGCTGAGGTGGGATGGGAAGGGCCCTGTCCCTGAGGCCAGAAACCCCACGTTCCACGCCAGTGACGCCGTTGCCAGCAGAGGACAAGGCCTTTCCAGCGAGACTGCTCAGCTGCGCTCAGAGTCCAGCCTGCGGAGGGAGTGAGGGTGGCCACGCTGCCCCTGCCAAGCTGGTCCTGGCGAGTGTGGCTGGAGTCTGGGCGTGTTGCTGAGAGGAGGGTCCCAGGAGGAGATGGGGACAAGGACAGAGTGGCCAGAATAGGCGGGGGGGTGGGGGGAGCATAGGAGGAACGGCTCTTAACCGGCCACAAATTTTTCCTTTGTAGTAATTCTCAGGTTGTTTCCTCTTGATTCTTTAGGGCTTTTCACAGAGATAATCAGACTGTTCGAAATAATGACAGTTTTATTTCCCCGATTATCATTTCTTTCACTTTTCGTCTCGTCTTCCTTCACTGGGTGACTGGAAGTGGTGGTGGTCCTCCGTTCGTCCTCGTGTGGCGGGAGCGCTCACCTTTGCTCTGAAGCGCAGCCTTGAGCTGGGGCTTTGACGGGTGCCCTTTAGAGGACTATGACGCTTGCTTCTGTCCCAAGGTTGCTGGTTTTTTAAAATCAAGAATAAGTCTTGATGGGATATTAACTAGACTTATTGTGGTGATCATTTTGCAATATATACAAATATCAAATCATTATATTGTACACCTGAAACTAATACAATGTTTTATGTCAACTATATCTCAGTAAAAAAAGAGTAACTGTTGCATTTTATTGATTGCTTTTTCTGCATCTATTGAGATGGCCATATTGTTTTTCTCCTTTAATCTGTTCACGTGGTGAATTATATTAACAGATTTTCTAATATTTAACTATCTTTTAAAATTCCTAGTACAAACTAACTTGGTCCTGGTGTATCTTTTTTTATTTCTGTTATTCAATGCTAGATTCAGTTTCTTAATATTTTGTTTAGAATTTTGTATTTATGCTCATAAGCAAGAGTGGCCTGGTGTTTTCATTTGTTACATTGTCCTTGTTTGGTTTATTTTTTGTTTTTAGCTTTACACTAGATTCGTAAAAAGGCATTTGGAGATTTTCTTTCTTTTTGTCTTCTCTGAAAGAGTCAATAAGAGATTGGAACGACCTGTTCTGTCTGTGTGTCAGAGCATTTTGTAAAATCATCTGGCCCGGGGTTGCTTTTTTGGGGAGTAGAGGTGGTGGATAGATTTTTAACCACATACTCAAATTTCTTCAATGTTTATACAGCTCAAGTTTTCTATTTTCTCTTGAGAGAGTTTTAGTAAGATATTTTTTTGGATAGTGTTTATCCTGTGAAGGTTTTCAAACTTATTGCCGTGAAGTTTGTGGTTTATTGATAGTTTATTTGTGGTATTGTCTCTGTTTGGCGCCTCTGCAGTGTTGGTGGCTGTGGCCCTCGAGTTGGTACCTGTGTGATGCTCTTTTTCACCGTCAGTCTTATCAGAGGTTTGTCAATTTTATTAGTCATTTCCTAGAGATAACTTTTGGCTTTGTTAATCCTTTCTGTTGTATATATATTTTATATTTCATTACTTCTGCTTTTGTCTTATTATTGCCTTCCTTCTACTTACTGTGGGATTATTCTCTTGTTCTTTTATTCTTTAACTTCTTAAATAGTCCCCTCATCCGTAGCAGGAAGCAGGTGGACTGACTAACCTGTCTGCTGCCAGGTCCGGCACTGGGGACTCTGTGATTCCTTGTGATGGTGGACAAGGCTCCCCCACGCCTGCCTTCTGCTGCCCCGGGGGGTGGGGAGGCTACTTCCTGGCCCAGATGTCTTGGAAGGAAAGAGGACTGGGGGCTCCTGGGGGGAAGGGGCGGCAGGTCTGTCCAGGGAAGTGGGGAATGTGGGAACACGAGCCGGCTTGCCTGGTGGTCTCCTGCCTTCCTGCGGCTGGTTCCCACAGTTTTTCCAGAGCCTGCCTTGAGGTTCCTTAGGGTCATGGGAGCAGGAAGCACTGAGGTGCTAGGGCCTGGCTCCTGCGGTGACGGCGCCTGGTTCCCCAGGGAAACAAGCCACCCAGACCTGCAGGGGGATGGGAGGAGGGGATGAGGAAAGAGTTTCAGTTCCTCATCCTCCAGCTCTTTCAGAGTGGAATTTTCCGGGTAGGACCAGTTCTGACTCCCAGCCAGGGCATGGGGCCTGTCCTTGGCCTGGCTGCCTTCCTGGGAAGCAAAGGCGGCAGACAAGAACTCAGCCTGTGACTCCAGGCCACTGGGCTCTGGCTGGGCCTCACCGTCTCCTGGAGGGCACACCTCGCCCTGCCTGTGAAGGGTCTCTCCCAAGACCAGCAGGGCCAGGTAGCAGCCTCTCCAGGCCATGCTTTGCTCTTGGATAGAGAGCTCTTCTGAATGCCTTCTTCCCTGGCACTCGCTATCTGCATCTGTGACCCCAGCCGGCTGCTACCTTGTCAGAGGAGAGGGAGTTGGTGAGAGGCAAGTAGAGCAAGTGAGGGGCTCACTGGACAGGGAGGTGACAGGTTGCCTGAGTCGTGTGGGGTCCTATGAGAAAGTAGCCTGAGCATGGGAGGGACAAGCGCTGGTGAGCTAAGGACCAGAGTGGGTGTCCCCCCCCTGAGCTGTTTGACCAGCAGTCGGAGGGCCGCAGCGTGCACGTGAGCAGCCCTGCCGCAGCTCCTCACGGGACCCTTGTCCCAGGCCCAGCATCTCGCAGCCCACAGCCGGACCTGTGCCTCCTGCTCCCTCTGCAGTGCCTTCCTTCAACGAGGATGCCGTGGGCCGGGGGGCAAGTGCATTTCATCCAGGGTGTGGACGGACGTTGATGGATGGTGACTTCTGGAAGCAGTGATCCCTGAGCCACGTCTGTCAAGGCTTGGGGTGTGTGTGTGGGGGGAGGCATGCCAGGGCCCGCTGCGGTGTTCCGCCAGCCCTGCTGTGGGAGGGCTCAACCGTACTGGCCTGTGTAGTTCACTCTGAGGGGAAAGGTCGTCAGTGCGCGGGCCAGGTGGTACCAGGCCATGGAGTCCATACCCTTGTTATTTTAAATGGCAAACTCGAGTTGGCTTGGATTGGGGTGCGAGGAGGAGGTGGACAGAGCCAGGCCGCAGGCTGCCGGGAGCCGGCCCCTCCGCGTCAGGAGCTGCCCTGGACATTGGTGGCCCATGTTGGGCATCGGCTCCTGCCTGCCCTGTTTCTCTTCTGGGGTCTGCATGGCGGCCTGTGTCCTCCTCTGCAGCCACCCGCCCTGCCTTCTGGAGCCGCCTGACTGCCTGCTTTCGCTCCACTTCCTTGCCGTACGGTGACTATTTGTCCTGGGCTTTCTAGGAGAAGCCCAGTTTTATGATTTCTTCAGTAAAGGTTGTTTTTAAATGTGTTTAAGTAAGACTTAGTAAGAATTTTCATGTAAGTAAATTCCTACATCAGGAAATGGGCCTTTGGCTGTCTGACTGTCCCAAGTTTCTGCTTCTAAAAGCCGTGGTCATTCCGCCCGGTAGAGGTGGTCTCTGAACTGCTCACCCACCCTCAGCCCTGACCGGGAGCTTGTGGAATTTGCCTCTGTGGGCAGCTTCCCTGAATGCTCTAAAGGAGCTCCTCCCTCATGTCTTGTACCACCATCCGCAAGGTGAACACAGTCAGTCCATTGGTTTACCTTGGATGGCGCCGCCATTGTGAACTCCTCGAGCGCAGGCACTTTGCTTCCCTGTCACTGTGTATCCCCCACACCGAGACCAGCTCCAGGTGCCAGGTGTTTATAAGCTTATTGTTGGATTTTCCCAGATTCCCAGCACTGCACCTTGTTCTGGCCCATTGCTCTCAGCTGGAAACCCGCAAATCCCGGGACCCCTTAGTGGGAACATTCCAAGCCTATGGACGATGGGTTTAAGTTTCCTCAGCTAGAGGGTCATGACCAGGGAGACGCACTGACCACAGCTGTCCATCCCCATGGCAGATGGACTCAGAGGGGCCTGGAACACGAGGGGCTCTGTCAGAATAGGATGATCTTCCTCTCTCAAAAGAGGGACGGCCAGTCCTTGTAGACGAGCTCAGGGCCAGAAGACTTGGAGAATGGCGACACCGCCCCACATCCCTGGACAGACAGCAGCAGGCCCTTTGGCCCTAGGCACTCTCCCATGCCAGGCTGAACTGGGTCTCCTCAGGATGCTCTCAAGGGACCAGTCCTCAGCTTCTTGGGCCAGAGAGTTCCCAGGGTGGGACAGGTCACAGCTGGTCCCAGGCTTCTGGAATTTCCCACTCCCTGAAAGGAGGGTGAGGTCATGTTCCTTTTCACTTCAACAGGGGATAATGGCGCCCAGCCTGGGGAGCTGTCTGGGTTTCTGGGTGCTCAGAGTTCCGGGCACCAGGAGAGCTGGATGCCCTCTTTGCAGGTGTCCCTGGACCAGCCGTCCCGCCCGGTTGCTTTTCTCCCATGGTGCAGCCCCTCTGATGCCTCAGCTTCACTCTCTCCTCCCTCCCCTCCCAGGAGAAATCCCCCTGCGTCCAGCCCGTCCTGGAGCCTGATCCGAGCACTGCACGCGGCTGTGGATGCTCGCTCGCCCAAGCGCCTGGAGTCTCTCTTCAGCCTTGATTACAGTCTTCTCTCCTGCGTTACAGCCACTTGGCTGTCACCTTATCTCTCTGCAGAATCTTGGCATCTCTTCCTGCTCCCAGCAGGGGACCTGGCACCCTGTGGGGCTCGATAAATGTTTGCTCCATTGCACTCTATGGCTCCAGGCACTTTTCCTGACAATGTGCCCCCAATCCTTTCACTGGAGTCTGCCGTGCCCTCCATTTCAGGAAGAGTACACCCCGGGGCTTGGCAAACCAGACCACACGATTGGAAAGTCAGGCTTCAGGAGCTGATGTCTGGTGAAAATCAGCTGAGGCTGATGATGAAACACGGTCAGTGGGACCTGACCCTCCAACATACCCCTGCTCTCCACTGCAGAAAGCCAAGCTGTGCAGACGGGGTCCCAGCCGCCATCTCACTCTGCTGGGATGCTCACAGGCAGGTGTGGCGCTTCCTCCCTCCAAAGCTGCCCCTGGTCTCCACTGAGACCTGCTGTCTCACCAACTGGCTAAAGGCTGAATGTGAGTGTATGTGTGTGCATGTGTGCGTGTGTTGGCGGGGATCACATTCCTGGCCCTCTATCCCCAGCTCTGACCTAGTGCCCACCTGTCAGGTGACTCCCCACACCCATGTGTCACGTATTTAAGACGGGGCTTCCTAATCCTGTCACATCGAGGCTCGGAAGTACATCACCCTCGGAAGTACGTCACCCTGGCGACGGGATGACGCCACTACAGCCAAGGAGAGCAGCCTGGAGGCTGGCGGCCCCGCAGAGACCCCAGGGTGAGGGCGTCAGAATGTCCTCGTGCCTCGGACTCTTGCAGTTAGATGCTCTGATCTAAGGTGGGCCCTCCCTCTTGGAGAACAAAAGAAACAGAACCGACACAGTTTGCTCAAGTGACATATTTCAATATAATCTCTAAAACTCTATGAATTAAACAGATAAAATACCTCTGGGCTATTTTGTTACAAAATATTTGCCATTTGGATTAGCTGCTGGGTGCAGCCACCCTGCCTTTCCCTAGAGAGGTTTCTCTCCCATGGGGTGAAGGGTGTATGCAGGGAAGAGGGAGAGCAGCAAGGAGGTGAGGACAGCAGGACACAGGGACGGACGGACAGATGGTCATCAGGAAGCCTACTGGGCACAGAGACATTCTGCAGGCTGTGGAGGGACAGGGGTGGGGGTCAAGGGCCTGGGGCTGATAAGTGTGTGCCTTTGGACACAGGCAGGCGGGCTTCCAGGTCAAGCTGCCAGGGCAGGACCTTGCTCCAGGTCTGAAGGTATGACTTGCCCAAAAGTGGGTGGGAAAGCCAGTTTTGTCTCCCACTTCTGATTCTGGAGTTGGGGCCAAATGGATAAAATTGAGAGAGGGGCCCAGGTCCCCCAAAGTAAGGCCTAGAGAGTTGACAGAGCAGGGCCATGTTGGGGTCACTGGGCATGTACCCAGCAGTCTGTGTCCCGGAGTTCAGTCAGCACTCCACTGCCCCTCGGCCTTGGGCGACCAGGAGGGCCCAAGAGCCTCTCCAGCTGGGCCCTCTGGGAGGGCTGGGGGCCTGACAAGGCCCTGCATGGGGAGCGGCAGGAGGCTCGCTCCAGGTTTCTTGGTGCTGGGCTCTGGGGACTGGGACAGTTGGGTCCCAACCTTAGCCTGGTGACTGATCGGGGAGGGAGGTTACAGATGCTGGGAACTCTGGCTTCCCTGACAGTGAGGAGGGCCAGCTACACCTGCCCTGGCCTTCAGGAATTAAAAGCCCCTCACAGCTCAGGACCAGCTCCATGTGCTGCTGACCCCAGGGTTGTCTGCTTCCTAGGCTGGGACTCCCAGTGCTGCCAGTGGGGCCCAGGGCAGCCACCACAGCAGCCAGGGGTAAGCCCCTACCTGGAGAAGGACAGTGAGATGCCTGAGTATCCAGGGCCTCAGAAAGAGACAGGCTTCATGCACCTGCCAGCCCTAAGACCTCTGTGGGTCCTGCCTGGAAAGTTGGGGCTTCAGCAGAGGTGGGGGGAGGGGCCAGAGCTGCCCATCAGCTGGGAGGAGGGTACTTGGTCAACTGGAAGCACTATGTGAGCACGGTGGGCACTGTGCCCCTTCCTCGGCAGCCCCTGGCACTTGTGGTCCCCACCTCATAAACATATTTAGGCACCTCATAACTCCTCTTCCTCCATAACTCACTCCCCGCCGCCCAGCCGTAACTCCCAGTCTATTTGCAGCCCCCTCATTCAAGATCATCCACTGCATCCTCACAGCCCCGGTGCCTCCTGAGTCCCTGACACCTACTGCCCTGGCCAAGGGTGTCAGTCGTGTCTGGATTCGTGCACCCCATCTGTCAGCCACTCCGTTCCGAAAGGCTCTGATTGGACTGGACTCTGTTCCAGAAAAGGCACGGGAGAGGGGCCAGGGCAACAAGGAGGGGAGAGCAGATCTGCTGGGAGCCACAGTGGGAGGAGACGGCAAACTGGTCACGAGTTACGGAAACTGGGCTGACAAAGACAGGGCCGGAAATAAACTTGCTGAGTGACATCATAATGACACCTGGTGACCACACACGTACACATAAAACTAGGCCACCTGGAACCTCTGAGAGCGGGGGAGGAATCTGTGCCTCCCAGCCCCGGGAACTGCAGCTGGGGTGGGGCAGGGCAGGGACAGCGAATTCACTTTAGACCTGGCCAATATTCTCTTCCGTCTCTTGGAACACTTTGATAACGGGCTCCAAGTGTGAGGGGATCTTAGCGAAGGACAGCAGTGAGCCGTTGGCACGGGATCGGAGAGGCCAGCCTGGCTTGGGACGGACACCTCCTGAAAGGGCCATGTTTGGGCAGCCATGGCACAACCCCTGAGGTCTTGGAGGCTAGGCTGCCAAGCTCCACAGGGCCCATAAAGGTTGGCTCTCTGATTCTGCTTGACCCTGAGGTCAGCAAGCCTGCTTTGCTCTCCTTTGCACTTTTGAGGGTGTAGGGGCTCTTTCGGCCACCCATGCTGGCGGTAGGGCTGGCACCTTGCAGGAGGGGCAGGAGTGGGGAATCTAAAGGATGGGGGGCTGGTTTGGGATGGCAGCAGGGGAAATGCAAGCGCCCCGGAGCACCTGGCCCTCCAGCCCACATCCGCATCCCAGTCCCTTACAGAAGCTGCAGACTGCAAGGGAGCCCTGACTCGGGTGCACACCCCCTCTGCTGGCTGCACTTGCCCCCGGGGACATCACTGCCTGGCCCGGTTTTCGCATCGACAATGGAAGAAATTAACCTGGTTCTGTGCATGTGTTTACTCTTATGCCCCGTGCACACTTTGCCTTGGCTGGGTATTATCTGGGGCTAGAGAACTAAGAAACTCTTTAAAAGGTGCATTTTGCAGACATATGGCCTCATGATTCCACAGGCCTGTTGAATTGACCTAGTGAGAGCTGAGAATGGTCCCTGTTTCCCTCCTCCCTTCTCGAAGCTTTCCTGGAGTCTGGGCAGCCCTGGGCAGGCAGGGCCCCAGCTCCTGAGAAAGCAGGAGAAAGCCCTGGGAGGAGCCAGAGGATGTGGTCAGGACAGCCGACATCCCTGGGGATGGAGGAGCAGCCTCTTGAGACCGCGGGCTTGCGGGGAGGGGCCAGCGGCAGCAGAGAAAGCCCCTTCTCAGAACTTCCCCCAACCTGGCCCCTCCAGCGATCCAGGGCCAACCCTCCTCCACCCAGTGTGGTCCCTAGTGCTGGGATGGTGAACCAGACCACCTACTGTCCAGTGCTTGGGTGCTGGCCACCCTGCCCCTCACGCTCGCCCACCCAGCCTGAGTCCTAACAGACTCAGGACCCAGAAGCTGGTTAGGCCCTCAGCTCCTGTTTCCTCCAGTCCAGGTCCAAGTGGTGGCAGGAGGAAGGGGAGGCCTGGCCATGCCTGGCTGTGGAGGCCCTGGGAGAGTGAGGTGGTGTCTCCAGATCTGGGGGGAGGGGTGCTCGATTGAGTAAGGGAAGCATGGTCAGGCGAGGCAAACCCAGGTGCCAGGGATTGGGGTTCTCGCTCCAAAATGACGGTGATTGGTGACCAGGAACACAGCGTGCCAGGGCGAGGGGAGCAGCGAAAGGGCAATCGGGGCTGCTGGGTGCAGCCCAAGGCCCGGCGGCCAGCCCTCCTGGGACCGCAGTGTGGTGGGCAGAGTCTACACTAGGCTCCTGGAGCCGCTGGAGTACCGGCGCCGGTGCAGCAGGGAGCCGGGTGGGCAGAACTGGTGAGGGTGGTTGTAGGGGGGCGGGGGCGGGGGCAGCGGAGGCTGGTGGACCTTGATGGGGGAGCCTGGGCCACCCAGGGGTGTGGAGCTGCAGGAGTCGGAGGAGGACGAGGCATAGCAGGAGAGAGCCTGGCTCAGCAGGGGCTCCATGCGGGCCAAGCAGGGCTTGTCCAGGACAATGACCTTGACAATTTGCTGGCACTGCACCAGGGTCCCCGGGGGTGTGGGCGGCGGCGGCACGGGCTGCTCCCTCAAGGGGCTAGGCTGCAGGTCTGGCGGTGGCGCCGGCGCTCCCCTCTCGGCCCCCAGCCCGGAGCTGTGCTGGGACGTTTGAAGCCTGTTGTGAATTGACACCTAGTTTAGAAACAGCCAGAGAAGCATGAAATGTTACAAGACTACTTCCCAGCTGCTAGGACTGGCTGCCCTGAGCCTCCCTCCCGGCTGCCCCGGCTCCTGTGCCCATCAGGTGTTCTCAGCCCTCACTTTGCCTGCGCCCCATCTTTCCACCCAGAGGAAAACGGGCTGCCAGGAGTGCTGACCCTGGGTGGAGCAGGAGACTGTGTTCTGCCCCCGACACTGAGCAGCCTCAGTCTCCTCATTCGTGAGACAGGCGGTGGGACCAATGGACTCGAAGGCTCTGCCTAGCTCTGCAGTCTGAATTCAGGGATCTGCTGGGCGGCTTCCCATCTCCCTCTCCACCAACTCTGACCTTGAAAAGCAGGGGTGACAGCCTTTGCCCCCTCCCTGCCTCCCAGGGGTGTGTCGAGGACAAAGGGAGACTAGACACAGACACAGAACCAAGCATCTGTGAGCCTCTCGAGCCCCCTCCTCCCGCCGGCTCTCTAAAAGGGGTAGCTCGTCATCACCGTTGACATCATGAGGGCACCCAAACCCCAAAGTGGCAGGGGCCCCTGCAGGGTGATCTGGACCTGCCCCATCCTCCCAGACTCTCTAAGGCCATGAGCACGCATTTGAGAGCAGCCAGACAGCCAAGGCCAGTCAGGTCCCCAGCTGCCTTTCTGGCCCAACCTGGGTCCTGGTTAAATTTGTCCCGCTGCAGGAGGGGTATCCCAAAACGACTCTAGTGTGGACCCCCTGGGTGGGGCATGAGGAGGTGGCCGCCTCCCCCAGACCATGGAGGTCACTATGAACTAGCCTGGCCTCTTCTCACTAGCAAGGGAAGGTGGAGGAAATGGGTGGGAGGCTAGGGGTTTAATTCCTCATCCCTCCAGCACCCCAGCCTGTAGATGGGACACAGCACAATCCCCTCCAATGCCTGGGCCCTCTGGGGGGCGGCTGAGACCCTGCCCTCTGAGGATGCTTCCTGCCGCTTGTGGGCACCGCGACCACGACCCGCTGCTCAGAGCATAGGGCCGGAAATGGAGGCTGCAGGGGAGGGGACCTTATCCCCAGGCACAGGCCAGGATGGCCCAGCTGGAAGCTATCTCAGAGCCTTAACCCACAGATCCTAATCCTATTTATTGGCAAAAGGTGTGACTTTAGGGACCACCCCCTTCCTGGGTCTGTGCACTCTGGATGGGCTGTTTCCCTCTCCACAGGCTCTTCACATGCGTTCTGTCTGCCCCTTCAGTGGTCACAAGCCCCACCGCCGTGCTGAGCAAGCTGCGGGCTTCATTCTTCAATCTCAACCTCCAACTCAGCAGCATTTCCTAGGCCTGAGATTCCCCCAAAACATGAAGGAGCCCCGGCACCCCTCACGGCCCTGCCAAGACACCGGGCAGGCAGAGGGCACAGCTGAGGCCCGCCTCCCTCTTGGGGAGCTCTCTGGTCCCTAGTTGGGCAGAAGGCCTCTGTCCACCGTGCTGGAGGGGACCCGCTCCTTCCCCCACCTGCTTGTGTTCTGAGTTATCTCCCAGAAGAAAGGTGGCCTGAGACAGCGGGGGCAGGCTCATCCCCTTCTGTTCTTGCCCACTAGACTTGACCACTGCCCCTCCCCAGGCAAACACTTGGCCGCCCCTGTCCAGAGCCACTGGGCCCTCCTTCTCTTCCTCCTCAGCTGCTCCCCACGCAGCCCAGCTCCCGGCCTCACCCTGCACCTCCACTGTCTGCACCCTCTCCTCCGTACCCCAGCCTGGAGACTTTATCTTTAATGGTCAATACATGAAAAGCAGGAAGTGACAGCAAACCCTTCTCTCGTTCCCACCCCCTTCTCACCTCCCAGCTGATGAAAGAAGAGAGAGACAGAGAGAGAGAGAGAGAGACAGAGAGAGGGTGGAACGTGAGCAGCAGGTCAGAACAGCTCAGAGAAGATGGAGAAGCACCTGCCAGAGCTGGCTGGGCCAGGCAATGACAGAGAGAGGGCAGAGGACCGAGAGCTCAGGGTCCAGCTGAGGGCCCGGGGCGGCGAGGCTGCCCTCTGTGCAGGGGAGCAGAGCTGGCAGGGCCCTGGGACTAGCTGAGGGTGGCAGCCTTGCAGATAGCCACATGGCCCTCTGGGCAGAGTAGGAGGGGAGACGGGGCCATCAGATTGCTTGTCCTCCCTAAGCACGTCAGGCTGAGGCACGGGCAGGGTTGGGAGACCAACCCGGAGGGCTGGTAACTTCGTGTGTTTATCTGCAAGGCTAGAGAATGGGCAGCTGCAGGAAGATGGGGGGTGGGGGGGGGCAGGGGATGGAATACCCACCCTGGGGGCTTGTCAGCTGCTGGGGCAGGAAGCTCCTCCGGTAAGGGTGCCTCCTCCAGACACAGGTGTGTGAGGGGTGGGGGCCGCCGGGAGAGAGAGAGAATCTGGGCTCCCCTGGGGGATCTGGGGCTTCCCCGAGCTTAGCCAGGCTGGGGGGCAGGGCTCCTCCCTCAGACCTCAAAGTGGGGTTTTGGAGTGGAAGTTGGGAAGGGGGGTGTCTGTGTGAGCAGCTAGCGGTCCCTGGAGGCCTGGCAGAAAAGCAGTGAGTGGGGCTCCTTGGGGTGCAGGGGGCCAGTTGGGGAGGAATGGGGCCCAGCAAGTCTTGTAGGGGCAACTGCACAACCCTCAACCTGGGGACACTTGGGAGTCTGGCAAGGACCAGCTGCTGCCACTCCTTGCCCCGGTGTGACCTGGGGACGGCATCGCCTTCCATCCAACATGGACAGTCTTCAGAGTCATCGGCTGTCCCCCTGGGGACACCCCAAGACAGCCCCGACCCTACTCTGCCTCATTTCTCCTGCACACGGTCCTCCCCCATGCCAGCTTTCCAGACGGACCAGCTGCTCCAGGGAGAACTGCCCCCCGCCAGGTGCCCCCACTCTCCAACTTCTCCAAGAGGGGTCTGACTGCTCGGGGACCGGACATGAGGGGTGATTCTCTGGAGGTGCCCAAGCTCCCTCCGCGGGAGGACGGGGGATGCGGGGCAGTGGGTGGGGTTCTCTGAGGCAGCAAGTATGAGGGCTGCAGTGGGCAGTGTGCTGGGGAAGTGGACTGCGGGATTGGGAGGGCTCGCCATGGAGGTGTCATGGGCGTCCTCTCCACGGTGTGAGCTCGGCCAGGAGGGTCAGCGCGGGCAGCCCGGCTGGGGAAGGGGCAGAAAGTACTGTGGCTTAATTAGGCGCTGGAACAGCGGTGATACCCATGCTAGCAGTAACTTTTAATTGTATCTCTTGAAATTGGTAAAATGGTGAGTCGGGCTGGGGAGGCATTGATTAATACCTGAGAAGAGAAACAACAGAGACGGTGAGAAGAAGGACAAGTCGGGGACGAACCACTCACCTGGGCAACCAGGCCTCCACTTACCTCCACCGTGCTCTCCGCAGGCTTCTCCCCCAGCGCGGCTTCCCTTTTGGCTTTGAATGCAAAGAGCACAGGGCTCATTCTCCACTGGTCCCAACGTGAATCCCTACTTCCCCCCAGGACCCCCAACCCAAGCATCCCTGTAATTAGCTGGTGTGACCGAGAGGCAGCCGGGGCAGTGCACCGGAAGTCACAGTCCAGTTCTGCCACTTAGTAGCTGTGTGACCTGGGACAAGATGCTACACCTCTCTGGGCCTCCACAGACCAGAAGATCTTTCTGATGTGGGCATTGCCGAGTCTAATTTACCCACAGTCAAAGCCTTCCCGATATGGACTGTGGAAATTGGTTATGAGGTGGCATTGGTTCTTGGGTCCCAGAAACACAAGGAGGCTCTTCTGTGTGTTTGTGGGCATCATGTTAATCTGTCCCCTCCAGTCGCAGGCTCCCTGAGGGAGGGGCCATGCTCCCTTTTTGTTCCTATCCCTGCTATGTAGTTCAGTGGGGAGGACTCCACGGGCTGAGGCCTGAATGGCAGTCACCGCAGGGCCCGGCATGCATAAGAGACAATAACGTCTCCGTGATTGCTCCAGGCATTCTGACTGGCCTGGCACAGCGCCAGGGACCCTGCGGACCCCCAGGGACAGCTTGATGACTTTTTCTGGCTCAGTCACCCCAGCTCCCACCCCGCCCCCAGCAGGCATCCCAGGGCCCCTCTGCCTGAGCCTTCTGATTTCTCACACACCTCAGTGGGTGCCAGGTCCCTGGCGGTGCTCTGCTTTCTGCAGCACAAGAGGGAGCTGGACCATTGTTTGGAACCGAGAAGCACCCTACTATGGAGGCACCTGAGGGACAGGGTCCTGGAGATATGCATCCCGGCCTGGCCAGGGTTGCAGCCTCTGAAGGAGGGAGTCTGGGATGCAGGGTGCGGGGCAGGGGGTCAGAGAGGCAACCACAGCTGAGCTTTGGCTCTGGATTTTAAATAGCTGTGAAAACAAGCAGTGACCCATGCACTGTGACCTTACAGAAATGAAGGGGCCGGCTGAGAACCAGGCGAGTGGAGAAGTAGGAATGCAGGATGGCAGCTCAAACCCACACATGGAGGACGGCATCACACGGAGATCGGAGATCGGCATGCAGCCGCAAGAGCCCCAGGGCATGCTTGGGAAATGAGTCACATCTCCCAGCTGGGCAGCGGGTCCTGTGATGCTGTCTGGCCAGTCTGGTGTCATGGCTGTAATGAGGGTCTTGGACCAGTGTGAAACCCACTGGAGGGTCTCAGCTCAAGCTGATGTCTTTCCGGGCCCCTGGCTTCCCAGTGCTTTGAAGAAGTGTTAAATGTAGGAACAGGTGGCTGAATGAATTAATGAGGGACAGTTCTGGATGGTTGGCTGGGGTTTCATTGGGATGGGATTGAATTCTCATGCTGCCTCTCCTAATTCTCTTCTATTCAGGACAAGTGGAGGGGGCAGAGGTCGCTTTTCCCAGGCTTCCTGCAGGTTGGGGTGAGGTGGGGGGTAGGGGGATGTCAGTGGGGGGAAGGAAGCAGGTCTAGAGATCGTGGCCAAAGGTGATACAAAAGCTGAAGCTGGCTTGATTCGTCTGGAGTGAGTAATTCAAGCTGGAGAGACCATTTGAGAATTGGGTTTGAGGGCTTATCTGGCTTGGGCTGGGTTGACTCTGGCCTGGGATCAGAGAGTGCTGACGGGGCAGACGGAGAGTTCCAGACCCTTCCGGCCACCCCTCCTTCTTACCCTGCTCCCACCCCAGACACAGCAATTTCTTCTCAAGCGATTTCTCTTTACCACACCTCCAGGCGCCCCCAGTGAGCCTGGCTGGGGAGGGGAGAAGGCACCCCAGTGGGGCCCCTTTAGGGCTGGGGTGCCAGGGTGGACAGCAACATGTCACACGGACCCTGGGCCTTTGTGCGGGTTGTAAACTGACCAGGGTCTCTCTCACCTTCCTCCTCACGCCCACTACTAAGGCCGTGAGATAAAGCAAGTGGGAGCCCCTCAGCAGAAAGGAATGGCCCTGGGAACGTGCACGTCCCTGGCCCGAGTGCCCCGGGCCCCCAGCCCAGGGTTGGTGAGTGGCCTCCCTGTGGCCCGGGGCCTGGCCATGCCGGCCTGGGGTCTGGAACCCTGAGCAGAGCCAGGCTCACCTGTAGGCGATCCCTGCTTCGACTGTGGGTCCCCCTGGGCTCCGCCGGACCTGAAGGAGAGCGTCTTTGCTCCCTGCTGCTTCTCCAGCTCCCCTAGGGAAAGGAGAGGCTCATGAACAGAGAGAAACCTTGACCTCTACCACACAGAGGGGAAGAAGAAATGACGAGAGAGAGCAGGAGGAGGAGGCAGAAGAGGAGAGGCTCCCTAACAGGGCTACGAAGCCTGGGCCCCAGAGTCTGGCACCCACCTCATGGCAAGCCTCAGGCTCTTCGTCTGTGCATGGGGACAGTAAGGCCTGCGTGAATGCTGGGGAGGTGGTAGAACAGGTCGGTAAGAGGGAGGTGGATGCCGGGTTTGAATCTGGTTCTAATACTTCCTAGCTGGTGGCTTCAGGCAAGTTACTTAACCTCTCTGTGCCTCACCGGAGGGGACAGCAGTGCCTACTTCAAAGTGTCATTAAGAGAATTAGGTGGGGAAATACATTGAAGCCCTTAGAATAAGCCCTGGCTTGTGGCAAGTGCTCAATAAACACTAGCTTTTATTACAAAGTGTAAGAAGCACTCGGCACGGCAGGCTGCAGCAGCACTGGTGCTGGCCACTGCCCCCCTGGGCCGGCCGCACCTGCGAGGAGGAGCCCCGCAGCCAGGCTCTGTCTCAGGCCAGCCCAACGGGCACCCACCTGGCTCCGCTCCACCTCCCCTCGCTGGACCACAGACCGGTGCCTCTCTCCCCCTCCTCCTGGCGGAGCGGGTGCAGCACCTCCCGGGCGATCGGCCGGCCAGGAGGAATCGCTCCTTCAGCGGCTCTTTTCCAGGAGACACGCTCCAGTTCCTCTCACTGAAGCTGCTCTCCGGGGTCCCACTCTCTGTCTCTCTGGTTGTCCACAGTCCGCCGATGCCAGACGGCAGACCCCCGACCAGGACAGTGTGTCCTGACTGCCCGAGTCACACCGGCTGGCAACAGCAGTGCCGGCTGCTGAACTGCCCATCATCCCTCCCAGAGGGGCTCTCGTGGCCCTAGAGAAATTAGCCTCGTCCTTACAAGCCAGGAGCCCCAGGACCTGTGTGCGAAGCCTGTTTAGTCACTGACTGCATGAACGTGGACCACTTCCATAAGTTCTGTTAGACTCAGTTTCCTTATTTAAAATGAGGATAATATGACTCACCTTGTGGAAGGATGTGGCAAGAATTAAATAACACAACAGATCAGCCCCGCGCCAGGCAGGCACTAAGTGCTCCTTACATGGCAGCTATTGCTGGTTTTCATTTTCTGTTTCCTACTTTCTTTCCTCCCTGCCTCCTGACCAGCCTCATCTTTCCTCAGCTGCTCCTTCCCTGTCGCCCGACCTGAAGAGGAAGAGCCAGATGTGAGCCTCTCGCGCCCCCTGCCCTCCAGGCAGCAGGAGAGGAGAGCCACCTCGACATAAGAGGTTCTGGTACTGTCCACTCCCTTGTACTTTGGGGTGGGATATGCCCTGCTGCTCCCAGGCTGATGGGCGAGAAGGCGCATCTTCTGGCAATTACGGCCCCAGGGCCATGTGGAGCCATCGGTGACATTTGGACAATGAGAGAAGTGAAGCTGTTTTAGGGCACGTCCCTGAGAATGTTCAAGATCAGTGGCCAAGGTGCCATCTCCAAGCATCCAGTCCAGCCCTTGAAAAGAGTCTGGCTGTTACACCACTGGCCTCAAGAAGGCCAGCGGAGTGCTGGAAGGACCTTACCCCCGCCTCCCTCCTCCATGAGGGACACAGTCTGCTCTGGCGGCTTTTTCTGTTAACTGCATTTAACTATTTTCTGAGCAGATTCTCAACAGAAGCCCTTCTCTCACTCTCAGAGCGGGGACTACATGAGCCTCGGAATCAGACTTAAATGCAGATGCCACCTCCTGCGCTTCTGACATGCACGACCTCGGACACACTCCTGAACCTCTTGGACTTTGATGTAACGTGGGGACAGACACCGCACGGTGTCACTGTGAGGATGGGTGCAACACAAGCAAACTGCCCCGAATGTGGTTGGTGTTCCCAGGGCAGCGAGGAAGAGCGCGGCCCTGCACACGGGCCCCTGCTCAGACACCCTGCTGCCTTTCCTACTGCGCAAGGGATTTCTATTAATTTAGAAAACCTCAGGGGCCATATTGGGCAGGCCCAAAGTCTGTCTTTATTTTCTGCTTTAGTTTCTGAGTCCATTCTTATTTAATTTTCTTAAAGGTCATCGGAAGCCGCTTCTGCGCTTCAACAGTAAAAGCTCGCAGGGGGCCAAGGTTCAGGGCATCCAGCTGTTTTCTAAACCAAAAAGCAACCGTTAAGCCACCAACACGGGCAGAGGCCCGCGTATGTCCTCAAGCGCCTGGACTGGGACAATGAAGAATGGAGGCTTTCCTCCCAGGAACAGAGAGGTGAGCCCAGGATGAGGGACAGTCAGAAACCCAGGCTGGACTCTTCAAAAAGACAAAGTTATGAAAAAATAAAACGGGGACGATTCTTGATTAAAAGATATGACAGTAGTGAAACGAACAGACGCGGTATGTGGCCCTGGGCTGGATCCGGGGCAGACCCCGCAGGCGGCTGTTTGGTGGGAAGGGACGTCCCTAGGCCCCCAGACCTCTGGTTTGCAAGCTGGCCCTGGGTGCCTGCTTGGTCCTGGTCAAACACAGCAGAGTTCTCTGTTCCATGGGGCCCTCACTCAGCCCCACGGCCTGGCTAGATGTGCACACACGTGTGCATGCCCTAGTGTACCTCGCTTTAATTGTGAAGAAACATGAAGAGCAGTACACCCACATCAGGCGTGATGGTGCAGTGGGCCTGGGGGAGGGGCGGGGGGGGTGGTGGGCGGCCCCTGGCTCACCCCATACTCACTCTAAAGTGGGGCAAGGACTGAGTCAGGTCTGTCTACCAGCTGACCCTGCTCCTGGCTGACTGGGAGCCCAACCGCCTTGGAGACACCGGGGTGCACTGTGTCCTTACACTCTATCCGGATCTGCTCCAGCTCCGTCACCTCAGCGATGGATTCCTTCAGGTCCTCCACAAACTTCTGCATCTCGTCCGAACCCAGGGCACAGAAATGCAACAGCTGCTTCTTCTCAGAGCCCGAGAGCGGGGTCACCAGCGTGATGCCATGAGAGTAATCTGGAAACCAGATCCCAGGCCCCCAGGCTGTCAGCAGCGGCAGGCGAGGCTGGAGCCAGCCCCACGTGGAGAGTGGACGGGGCCTTTGGGGGGGCGCTTGCCCCTCCCGCTCCCACAGCCCATCCTGTCTCCCTCAGCTTCCCCCAACTGCCCTCTGCCACGGCCCCGGGTCCGCCCGAGACTCACATTCATTCTCAAAGAGGTGGAACTGCATGCCCAGCAGGCCAACTGCCTTGCAGAAGGTATAGGTGGAGGAGCTCTTCTTCTTCGGGCAAAGTTTGAGAATCTGTCAAGAGAGGGAGATAGACACCGCTGACAGGTGTACACACATGTCAACATGCATGTACACACCTGGATGCATGAACGCCCAGGGACACCTGTGAGCACACAAGTAAACACACACAAAGACACAAGCACACACATGCATACTTATATACTTAGGCGAATTCATGCATATACATACATATACGTATGTATACACATACAATATCAAAATATGTTTTTTACTGCAGAAACCCTTCCAGTGGCTATTCCCAGGGCACTTAGAAGCCCAGCCACACTCCAGGCCCCACCCGCTCTGGTTCCTGCCTTACTCTGGCTTTATGCTCAGGCTGGGCTCTCCTTTCTGTAGCTTGAACAGGCACGCTCTGTCCCACTGCAGGCCTGTTGCACACGCTATTCCCTTCCCACAGCTCCCCCTACAGCTTTCTGCACGGCTGGATTACTCTCTGAGATCTTAACTCAAATGCTACCTCCTCAAAGATTCCTGCCCTGACCATCCTATCTAAAACACAAACAAAAACAAAATTAAACAAACGAAAAAACACACTTTAACGCTATCCTGTCCCCCTGTTTTACTGTCTTCATAGCAATTTCCTCCAACTTGACATTATCTTGTTTGTTTTCATAATTATTTTCTATCTATCTCCCTCCTCTACTAAAAGGAGAGCTAAGTCAGCCAGTTGCTCAGTACACAGACATTTCCTCAGCACCGTCGCTGAGCTGGGCTCTGGGGACAGAGGACAAGAAGCAGGGAGGGCCCGGCCCTCAGGTGCTGACACCACAGTGGAGGAGACCGCCAGGGGCAAACCAACCATCAATCAATAAAGCATAACAAGCAAGGAAACAGCGTGAAGAAATGGATAACTAAGGTAATTTCAGAAACCGGTAAGTGTTTTGAAGTCAGTGACATAGAGTAAGGAATAGAAATAGGGCTGATGACCAAGCTAGGTGAACAGGGAGGGCCTCTTGAGGGAGTGACACATGAATCGAGACCTGAACGAAGAGAGGGAGGTGGCCAGCAAAGGTCTGGGGGAGCTTTTCAAGCAGAAGGAGCAAGAACAAAGGCCTGAGACGGGAATGAGCTTGGCCCATGGGAAGCAGCTGAGGGGGCTGGTGCCAGAGCAGCCAGGAAAGCAGTGGAGGCAGCAAGGTGGGTGGCACTGGTGGCCCAGGCGGGGAGCGCAGACCTCCTGTGCCTGGCATGGGAACAAGGGTCGAGGCTGAAGCGTGGCAGACATGTGGCCTGATGGGCACTCTAGAAAGATCACTCTGCGCTCTGGGAAGATGGACCTTAGAGGCGGGATCATTGGATCTGGGATAATTTTAGAGGTAGTGCAAAAAGACTCCTGGACAGAGAGGATGTGGGGTATGAGGGGAAGACAGAAATCAAGGCCTCCTCACCACTGCTTCCTGCGCTTAGAACAGTGCCTGGCATGTAGTTACACTCATTAAACCCTTGTGGAATGGACGCCTATTCTCAAAGGGCAGACACCAGGTACCCCACAGATGTGTGCGCAGGCACGCACACACACACACACACACACACACACACCAGCATCCCCCAGGGCAGCAGATGCCCCTCTCCAGCCCACCGTCCCCCACCACCGCCCCTGCCGCTGTGGGCTGTGCAGCGCAGCACAGTACCGTCCCTGCCCCAGGGTCCCTCTAACATGGGAGAGGCTGGTGATCGGGGACCTAGTTCATTCTCACCAGGACTGTGGAACATGAACAGATCATTTGCCCTCTCTGTGCCTAGAAAGCAGGAGTGGTCACCTCTGCCTGGGCTATTCACACCCCATGATGTGGACGTGTGTGCTGAGAAAGGCGAATCAGCCCCCAGGACACGTCTTCTGGGTGAGGTCGCTGACAGCCCGCCCCGCCCCTCCGGGCCCTGCCAAGGCCGAGCAGACAGCAGGCGCCCGCCTAGTCGGCTCACCACCAGCAGGTCGTTGAAGAGGAACACCTCCCTCTGGTGTGCGGCCTGCTTCTGCAGCTTGTTCACGTCCGTCACCTCGAAGAGCCGGCTGCAGCAGACCAGGCGGCGATGGGGCACCGACAGCACCTGCAGCAGGCACAGCTCAGCGGAGGAGGCCCCGGAGCTCAAGCCTACCACCCCACAGCGCCCACCTTCCAGAAGAGCAGGTGGAGCCCAGGGCTCCCCAGCAGGGCCTGAACTGGACCCTAAGCCTCTCCCGTCCTCATCTTCCCCCTTCACCACACTTCTGAGGCAGCAAGGCTTGGGGAGAAGGTGTTCACCATGCTGGGGCACATGGGGACACGAGGGTTGGGAAAGGATACTGGACAGAGCTTTCAGACGGTTCAGATCCAGTCGCTCTCAACCCATTTCCCTCCAAGGCCTTCCTGAGGGCACCCCCACATCCCTGGCTGTGGCCTGCAGGACAGCACCTCCACCCCTTGCTCTATTGCACACCCAAACACAAGTGTGCAAGAGGGAGGGGGTTACAGGGACACTCGAATCTGCTGCAGTGTGTAAAACAATCTGTTCCACTGGTGCCTGCAAACTGGACACATGCTGAGACCTCAGCAGTCAAGGCTCCAGGTAGAGAAGGGCCAGCCCTGCCTGGCCTGGGTGCAGGGGTCCAGCACAGAGCCTCAGACAAGGCCCGCAAACTGCTCCCTAAGCCAGCAATTTAGGGAGGAGGACCGGGAGGTGGTTAGGGTTAGGGAGAAGTTAGGGAGGTGGATCCCAGAACCGTGGTCTTTCTGGTGTAAAGAGCCCCTGCTGACATATGGTAGTGGAGTAACCCACAGAGACAGCTCACTTTGAAAATCACTGCGAACTTGGAACATATTGCAAACTGCAACATAGGTCACAACCAGGGGGCACCCTGACCCTGTGGCTGAGACCCCGCAGTCGAGAGCCCATGGTGGCCCATTTCTTGTCTTCCATTCAGTAGGAGCAGCCAGGAGGGCCCAGGGCCTATCCCATCCAAAACCTCCCTATCTGGCCATCGGGACACTTCGTCTGAGACCACAGGCAGTCTCGCTTCAGCACCTCCTGCTGCAGGGGCTGGTCGCAAGAGGCAGTGAGGCAACCAGGCGAGTGGGAAAAGAGGCACGTAGGAGGCCTCAACAGCTACGAAGTGGATGAGTAACGGACAGTGTTTTGAAAGGTGAGGAGAAGAATGGGAGGAGACATCAGGAAGAAAGCAAGGAAAGGTGACGGAGATGGGGAGCCTTGGTGGCCACAGGAGAGGGGGTGGCCCCATGGGGTGAGTGCCGCTCTGCAGCAGGGACTTACTGTCTTCATGCCCACAATGGACTTCTCCACCTTGGTGACATACGTGACGTGGTCCTCATTGGACTTGAGCTCCTTCTGCTGTATCCTTTCGTAGATGCCTACCACTAGCTCCCTGGGGATGTCGGCGCCGTCATCCACACCTATAAATGTGGAAAGGGAAGAGGAAGGGGGGGCGGGGGGCGGTGTCAGAGGCCTGGCGCCAGATGGGAAGCCCCCTACCAGACTGATGCTCCTAAAGGGGGGCTGCGATTTTGCCCTGTTCCTGTTCCAAAGCCTTCAATGGCTGGACCCCCCCACCCATTAAATTAAGCACAAACTCCTCAGCCAGTCACCAAACTGCCATCATATGGCCCCAACACACATTTCCAGCCTCATCTCCTGCTGTTCCACAACTGGAACCCCCACTCCTCCCTCCCAGGCCTCTTTCCTCATCTCCAAACACAGCCTCCCTGTCCCTGCCTTTGCTTCTACAATTCTCTCATCCTCCGTGTATTTGTCTTAGCAACTTCCCGCTGCCTGCCCTGCCCTGCGTAACTTGAAGCCCAATGTTCTGTCTTGTTCTCTTTCAAGTCTCTCCCTCTCAGGCCCTCCCCTCTGCTCCAGGAGGGAGCACGGTGTGCAGTCATTAGTTGCTGAATGGGTGTCAAGATTCTTGCCTCTCTGGGAGCATGGGAGGGGGTCAGACATTCCGTGATGAGGGGCAGGGCAGCCCCCTGTGGTGATGCAGGTAGCAAGACCCTCCACCCAGCTCCTGCTGCACAGTAACGATAAAACTCTGGCAACAAAAAATACAAGCAGGAAATACACCAATGAAAACGAACTTCTTTAGGCAATAAAAAAATTCATAATAATAAAAAACTTCAGAGGCAATAAAAAAATTTCTTCTTTCCACTTTTTCTAAATATTTCTTTAATAACTATATGCTTCTTTCTCAAGAGGGAAAAATTAAACATAAAGCAACTTTGGCAAGTGTCCTCAAAGGAGTTTTCCTAACTACTGAGAGGACGTTACACCTGCCATGAGCAGCTCTCTGGATGGACCCTGTTTCTTCCACATCTGATCTTGGGCAGATGAGCCATGTGGCAGCCCTGGGGTCTGGGGCAAGAAACAGCACGGTAAAGACTGAACAACTGGAGGCTGACAGTTAAAGATGGCAGGCTGCATGCACACCTCTGAATACCCTGGTAAAAGGAATTTTTAAAAAAGGCATCCAGGATTGGTGGTTACCAGGGGAAAGGGGGGGTGGGGCACGGGCACAAAGGGTGAAGTGGTGCACATACAACATGACTAACAATAATGTACAACTGAAATTTCATAAGGTTGTAAACTACCATAATCTTAATAAAAAGTTAAAAAAAAAAAAAAAGGCATCCAAGAGTGACGTCAGCATCATAGTGGAGTGAGCTTGCCCAGGACTCTCTCCCCTCCAACATACAACAAAAAGGAGCAACCATATTCCAACAGAAAATATCCTATAGCACAGGAATCCTCGGAGAGTCATGGCAGCCAAACAATAGAGGGCAGAGAGGCTGGAGCCCCCTCGGAGGAGCTGGAACTGGGTAAGAGAAAACTTCACTCCCTCCCCTAAAGACTGGGATCCCTGCCACAGGAGGATCTGTGAGGGAAGGAGTGGGGTAGGGGTCAGGCATCCTTGGGATCACCCAGGACTCCCTAGGGCCCTTGCAGCCTAGAGGGAAGCCCTATAACCGGGTGAAAGCTTTCATGCAGGGTGACCTCATCAAGCCAAGACCCCAGGACACCAGATAGCAAGAGCTGATTGGGAAACCCGGGTCCATGTGCAAGAGAAAGTGCACCACCCCCCCACACTGTGCCATCTTGGCTGAAGGTGGAGGGCTCAGAATACGTGGCTCTTGACCCTCACCCAGTGGCGACAGGCTGTAACTGCAACCGAATAATATCACAATGAGAAAACCCTGTTCTTCCAGCATCAGGCAGTTCATCAAAACTCCAGACCAGGGGCCAGCCCCATGGCCGAGTAGTTAAGTTCATGGGCTCGGCTTTGGCAGCCCAGGGTTTCGCTGGTTCGGATCCTGGGTGCAGACATGGCACCACTCATCAGGCCACATTGAGGCAGTGTCCCACATGCCACAACTAGAAGGACCCACAACTAAAATATACAACCATGTACCGGGGGCTTTGGGGAGAAAAAAGCAGAAAAAAAAAGATTGGCAAGAGTTGTAAGCTCAGGTGCCAATCTTTAAAAAAAACAAAAAAACAAAAAACTCCAGACCAGAGAGAAAACAATAAATATCCAGAATTCTGTCCTGAGGACTCAGAAATAAGTAAACTAAATGATGATGAATTCAGAATAGCTATCGTCAAAAAACTCAATGAGGTAAAAGAGAATATAGAGAAACAATTTAACGAGTTCAGGAGCTACTTCACAAAAGAGATTGAAGCTATAAAGAAGAATCAATCAGAAATACTAGAGATGAAAGATACAATGGAAGAGATAAAACAAAATACGGATTTCCTGAATGCCTGTGTAGACACCATAGAGGAGCAAATCAGCATAATCGAAGATAGACATGTTGAATTGCTCCAGACAGAGGAGGAAAGAAAACTGAGATGAAAAAGAAATGAAGAAAGTCTCCAAGAAATATCTGACTCAATGAGGAAATGCAGCATAAGAATTATAGGCATCCAAGAAGGTGAAGAGAAGGAGAACGGAGCAGAAAGCAGGCTCAAAGAAATAATAGCAGAGAACTTCCAAAATCTAGGGAATGAGAGGGAAATGTGTGTGGAGGAAGATTTCAGATCTCCTAGATTTGTCAATGTAAAAAGACCTACTGCAAGGCATATAGTAGTGAAACTGGCAAAAATGAATGACAAAGAAAGAATACTCAGGGCAGCAAGGCAGAAGAAAATAACCTACAAAACCCTCTATCAGACTTTCAGTGGATTTCTCTACAGAAACCTTACAAGCTAGGAGAGATTGGAATGATATAGTCAAAACTTTAAAAGATAAAAATCTTCAGCCAAGAATACTCTATCCAGCAAAAATATCCTTCAGATATGAGGGAGAAATTAAATCTTTCCCAGATAAACGAAAGCTAAGGGACTTCATAGCCACAAGACCTCCCCACACAAGAAATCCTCAAGAAGGCTGTCATACCTGTAAAAGAAAAAAGGGAGAAAAGGTTAACAAAACACAGAGTAGGGAGACAAATAAACAGAAGCAGAATAAGATAGCAAATACTCAACTATAGCATTAGGCAAAAGGGAAGGAAAACATCAAAAACAAAGACAATCTTGTCACTTTAACCATAAACTCACAGCACAAGTTGGAATAAGATATGAGAATAATAACTTAGGAGGGACGGAGGAAAGGGACTGAATCAGTTTAGACTAAGGAAATAAGAGGCCATCAGAAAATGGACTATGTTATGCACGAGATTCTGAATACAAACTTCAGGGTAGCCACTAAACTAAAAAGCAGAACAGAGACACAAAAGTAAACAAGGAAAAAACAAAGAAACACAGCATAAAAAAACTGTAGAATTCAATGGGTAGACTAAAACACACAGGACGAGAAACAAAGGAAATGCAGGAAAACCAGAAAACGAGTGATATAATGACAGCATTAAGCCCTCATACATCAATAATCACCCTAAACATAAATGGATTGAATTCTCCAATAAAAAGACACAGAGTGGGAAGGTGGATTGAAGAACAAGATCCAACAATTTGTTGTGTCCAGGAAACACATCTCACCTCCAATGACAAACACAGGCTCAGAATGAAGGGGTAGAAGATGATACTCCAAGATAATGGCGAACAAAAGAAAGCAGGTGTCACAATACTTATATCAGACAAAGGAGACTTCAAGATAAGGCAGGTAAAGAGAGACATAGAGGGTCAATATAAAATGATCAAAGGGACACTACATCAAGAAGAAATAACACTTATAAATATCTATGCACCCAACACAGGAGCACCAAAGTTCATAAAGCAACTAATAACAAACCTAAAAGAAGATATTAAAAATAACACAATAATATTAGGGGACCTCAACACCCCACTGACATCAATGGACAGATCATCCAAACAAGGAAACAGTGGAATTAAATGGAAAGCTAAAACAGTTGGACTTAATAGACATATATAGAACACTCCATCCAAAAACAGCAGAATACACATTCTTCTCAAGTGCACATGGAACATTTTCAAGGATAGACCATATGTTGGGAAACAAGGAAAACCTCTATAAATTTTAAAAAATTGAAATAATAACAAGCATCTTCTCCGATCATAATGCTATAAAGCTAGAAATTAATTATAAGAAAAAAGCTGAGAAAGGGACAAAGATGTGGAGACTAAACAATATGCTATTGAATAAGCAATGGATCATTGACAAAATTAAAGAAGAAGTCAAAAAATATCTGGAGACAAATGAAAATGATAACATGCCATACCAACTCATATGGGATGCAGCAAAAGCTGTATTAAGAGAGAAATTCATCGCAATACAGGCACACCTTAACAAACAAGAAAAATCCCAAATAAGCAATCTCAAATTACACCTAACTGAATTAGAGAAAGAAGAACAAACAAAGCCCAAAGTCAGCAGAAGGAGAGAAATAATAAAAATCAGAGCAGAAATAAATGCTATTGAAACAAAAAAGGCAGTAGAAAGCATCAATGAAACAAAGAGCTGGTTCTTTGAGAAGCTAAATAAAATTGACAAACCTCTAGCCAGACCTACAAAGAAAAAAAGAGAGAAAGCTCAAATAAACAAAATCAAAAATGAAAGAGGAGAAATAACAACAGACTCCACAGAAAAACAATGGACTATAAGAGAAAACTATGAAAAACTATATGCCAACAAAATGGATAACCTAGAGGAAATGGATAAATTTTTAGACTCTTACAACCTCCCAAAGCTAAGTCAAGAAGAAGCAGACAATCTGAACAGACCAATCACAAGGAAAGAGATTGAAACAGCAATCAAAAGCATCCCAAAGAATGAAACCCTAGGACCAGACGGCTTTCCTGGGGAATTCTACCAAACTTTCAGAGAAGATTTAATACCTATCCTTTTCAAGCTATTGCAAAAAATTAGGGAGAACGGAACACTTCCTAACATATTCTATGAGGCCAACATCACTCTGATACCAAAGCCTGACAAGGACAGCACGAAAAAGGAGAACTACAGGCCAATATCGCTGATGAACATAGATGCAAAAATTCTCAACAAAATTTTGGCAACCCGAATACAGCAATTCATCAAAAGGATCATACATCCTGATCAAGTGGGATTCATACCAGGGACACAGGGATGGTTCAACATCCACAAATCAATCAACGTGATACACCACATCAACAAACTGAGGAATAAAAACCACATGATCATCTCAATAGATGCAGAGAAAGCATTTGACAAGATCCAACAGCCACTTACGATAAAAACTCTGAACAAAATGGGCATAGAAGGGAACTACCTCAACATAATAAAGGCCATACATGACAAACCCACAGCCAACATCATACTCAATGGGCAAAAACTGAGCGCCATCTCCCTGAAAACAGGAACGAGACAAGGATGCCCTCTATCACCGCTCTTATTCAACATAGTACTGGAGGTTTTGGCCAGAGCAATTAGGCAAGAGAAAGGAATAAAAGGGATCCAAATAGGGAGTGAAGAAGTGAAACTCTTGCTGTTTGTAGACGACCTGATCTTATATATAGAAAACCCCAACGAATCCATTGGGAAACTTTTAGAAGTAATCAACAACTACAGCAAAGTTGCAGGGTATAAAATCAACTTACATAAATCAGTAGCATTTCTATACTCTAATAATGAACTAACAGAAAAAGAACTCAAGGACAAAATACCATTCACAACTGCAACAAACAGAATAAATTACCTTGGGGTAAATTTAACCAAGGAAGTGAAAGACCTATACAATGATAACTACAAGACTTTCCTGAAAGAAGTTGATGACGACATAAAGAGATGGAAAGACATTCCATGCACATGGATTGGAAGAATAAACATAGTTAAAATGTCCATACTACTTAAAACAATCTACAGATTCAATGCAATCCCAATCAGAATCCCAATGACATTCTTTACAGAAATAGAACAAAGAATCCTAAAATTCATATGAGGCAACAAAAGACCCCGAATGCTAAAGCGATCTTGAGAAAAAAGAACAAAGCTGGAGGCATCACAATCCCTGACTTCACAACATACTACAAAGCTACAGTAATCAAAACAGCATGGTACTGGTACAAAAACAGGTGCATAGATCAATGGAACAGAATTGAAAGCCCAGAAATAAAACCATACCTCTATGGATGGCTAATCTGCGACAAAAGAGCTGAGGGCCTACAATGGAACAAAGAAAGTCTCTTCAACATATGGTGCTGGGAAAACTGGAAAGCCACATGTAAAAGAATGAAAATTGACCATTTTTTTTCACCATTCACAAAAATAAACTCAAAATGGATCAAAGACCTAAAAGTAAGACCTGAAACCATAAGGCTTCTAGAAGAAAATATAGGCAGTGCACTCTTTGACCTCAGTATCAAAAGGATCTTTTTGGACACCATGTCTTCTCAGACAAGGGAAACAATAGAAAGAATAAACAAATGGGATTTCATCAGACTAAGGAGCTTCTTCAAGGCAAGGGAAAACAGGATTGAAACAAAAAAACAACCCACGAACTGGGAAAAAATATTTGCAAGTCATATATCCTACAAAGGGTTAATCTCCATAATATATAAAGAACTCACACAACTCAACAACAAAAAAATCAAATAATCCAATCAAAAAATGGGCAGGAGACATGAACAGACATTTCTCCAAAGAAGATATACAGATGGCCAATAGGCACATGAAAAGATGCTCATTATCACTGATCATCAGGGAAATGCAAATCAAAACTACACTAAGATATCACCTTATACATGTTAGAATGGCAAAAATAACCAAAACTAAAAGTAACAAATGTTGGAGAGGATGTGGAGAAAAAGGAACCCTCATACACTGTTGGTGGGAATGCAAACTGGTGCAGCCACTATGGAAAACAGTATAGAGATTTCTCAAAAAATTAAAAATAGAAATACCATATGACCCAGCCATCCCACTACTGGATATCTATCCAAAGAACTTGAAATCAGCAATTCCAAAAGTCCCATGCACCCCTATGTTCATTGCAGCATTATTCACAATAGCCAAGACGTGGAAGCAACCTAAGTGCCCATCAGCTGATGAGTGGATAAAGAAGATCTGGCATATATATACAATGGAATACTACTCAGCCATAAAAAAGGATACAATCGTCCCATTCACAACAACATGGATGGACTTTGAGGGTATTACGTTAAGTGAAATAAGACAGATATAAGACAGAATATAATAATAATAATAATAATAAGACAGAGAAAGACAGTCTCTGTATGACTCCACTCATATGTGAAAGTTAAACATGTAGACAAAGAGAACAGATTAGTGGCTACCAGGGGAAAGGGAGGGGGAGGGTGGGGCATGGGCACAAAGAGTGAAGGGGTGCATCTCCAACATGACTGACAAACAATAATGTACAACTGAAATTTCACAAGGTTGTAAACTATCATAATCTCAATAAAAAGTTAAAAAAAAGAGGCATCCACCCACAAAGACAGAGAACAGGGGAAGAGGCAGGGGCATCACGGGGCCTGGACAGTGGATGAATGAGTGGCCAGATTTGTAAACCTGAGAAAGTGGAAACCAAAGCCAGCAGAGAGGTTAGAAGCCACTCAACACACCACAGAACCACCAGAGGGCTCTGGAATTGGTGGAACCCCTGAAAGTGCAGGTGAGGGAGGGCTGGAAACAGGAAAATTGGGTGCAAGTCGGTTAAGAAGCAGTTAGACTTCCCTGTCCCTTCCTCCACTCCCAGTCTTCTGACATAGGGTTAACCCTCTGGGAGGGATGAACCAGGAACTCTGGGCTGGGGGCCTCCAAGCCCAGCCAAGGTCAGGAGCCTGTGTTGAATACTGGGGGGTGAAGTTGATGTCTGTATTAGGAAACTGCCTCAACTCCATCTCCCGCAAAGATCTCAGAACATTGGCAGCCAGACTCATGTGCTCTGGGCAACAGATTGGACGTCTCTGCTGGGGAATCAACCGGCACAAGAGAAAATATCTAAAGATACTGCAGTAGGGTCCCCCAGTGAAACAGCTCAACTAAACCACACTATGAGCAAGCCCACCAGTCAATAGCCCCCAGCCCTGCTCACAGAACTCTTCACCAGCCTTTTAGTGGCTCACTCTTAAATATGAATGGACAACCAAGTTTCATCAACTACACATAGAAAGTTTCTAATGTGAAAAAGTATGGGAAAAACAGAAAAAGGGACCCAGAATAAACAGCAGCAAGCAGGGAGAAACTGAAACAAACAAGTAAAACATATCATCAGTATCTTCAGGGATATATAAGAAGATATTGTCTTTACAAAAAAGAATAAAATACTATAACAAAAAACTTATTGAAAATGAAAAATATGACAGCAGAAATTAAAAATTTAGTAGGAGACTTGAAAGATAAAGCTCAGGGACATCTTTAAGAAAGTCAAACAGAATAGAAAAATAAGCAGAAGCATATTATTTAGAGATATGGAAGAAACACAATAAACAGCAAAAAAAAAAAAAAAAAAAAAAAAGGAAGTGGTTGCCTCTGAGGAAGGAGAGTGGGACGGGGCAGGGACTAATTATTTTGTGGTAAGCCTTGTAGAATTATTTGACGTTATTAAATTACGTGCATGTATAACTTTCATTTTTTAAATGCTAAAAAAGAAAAAACTCAATTGAGCACATACCATACTGTGCCAGTTTTGTTCTGATATGTGCCAGTAGGTGCACTATATCAACTAGAAAAGGGCTTGGCTAGCAAATGCCATAAAGTTACCTGCAAGGTTATAGGGACCCAGGACCTCAAAGCCCTGTTCCTGGCTCTTCCCGCAGAAGTCATGAAGACAGAAGGGCTGGTACACCCAGGCACCAGCTATGGTGCCAGGGCCTAGAAGTCAACCAATGGAGGACATTCCATGGCGGGTAACAAGCATTGACCAAGGGCCCACGACGCTTGGTGTAGGGCAGTGGCAGTGGCTCCTGCAAACTCCCCAGATGCCTGGCATGCAAGCAATTTTCCCAGGCTGCTATGTGTGACCAGGCCCAGAGGGCAGTGTCCAGTGCCCTTGGCCACTGGGGTGACAGTCTCCAATCGGGGCTCAGACTCAGAGAATGGACCCCGGACAGACTGGGCCTGAGCAGTGGCCTCGCCCTTCTTGTCCCCAGCCCTCACCTCGCAGATTTCGGATGAAGTCCTCCAGCATCATCTTCCGGTCCGGCTTAATGTTGGGGCTGTACATGTCGGTGTTGAGGAGGATGACGGCAAAGGCGAGGATGAAGATGGTGTCAGGGTTGTGGAACTGCTGCACCACCTCGGGGTTGCACATGCAGTAGCGCTGGCTGTGGGGGGACACAGAGCAGGATGCTGAAGCCCCTCGCCACCCTCCCGGAGCTCCAGCTATGGGGGGCTATCAGGGGAGATATCCGATTCTCTGAGGGCTTTAGTTTCCCCCTCACCCTGTTGATCATCCGCCCCATGACCTGTTCCTTTTCCCCACTGAGGGGAGGGGCAGGTGTCACACGCCCCCGGATCCGCCAGGTTCCAGCCTTGCACAGAGGCCTGCCGATGGCGATGAGTGAGGTGTGTGTGTGTCCACCTGGAGGGCCCGCGGCTGCTCTAGCTCAGAGCTTGAGGGGTTCTGTTCCTTTTCTTCCTTCCCTCCTTTCCATCCAGCCCACTCCTCCTGCCTCACCAGGAGGGCTCCTCCCCAGCCTCTGACTGGCCCCCACCATCTCCTGTCCCCCAGGCTCTCAGTAGCTGTGCTTCCCCACGCCCCTCCCCCGTACCCCAGGCATGTGTTTTGAGGGGTGTGAGGGCAGTGGGGCTGGGGAAGGGGGTCCCACCTGAAGGCCTCTATGAGCCGCTCCACCTTCTGGGCTTCCCCCTGCACACGGATATGTGCCTGGAACTTGCGCAGGGCCTCGTCCAGCTCCATACCGGAGAAGTCCATCTCGTCCACCACGCAGCTGAGGGCAGGCGGGAAGGAGGGGCTGTGAGGAGCGGTCGGCTCCCCAAACCTCCCTCCACCCACTCGAGCTGAGGAGTAAGGTGTGGCCCACCCGCCAGCTGGAACACCCCACTTGGGGGGTGGGCAGGGATTGTGGTCTGTGACCAACCAGGAGGGGGCAGGCGCGGGCTTCCCAGGTCTCCCTCTCAGAACCCAGGGCCATGGCTTTCTCAGCCTGACCCAACAGCCTGCGAGGCAGACGGCCGACTGTGGCCTCCATTTCACGCTAAGAGGCCCAGGGAGCTTAGCTCGTGGGCTGAGATCACAGAGCTGGGAGCAGGCTGGATGAGACCATCCTTCTCCAAATCTCAAGTCCTTTCCTTTCAACCTCAGAGCGTCTCAGAGTCAAAGGTTTAAAGAATAAATTTCATTCAGTATTCTTTCGAAGACCCGTTAGGAGCCGGTGTGTCTCCCTGTTTCCCAGCCCTGGTCCAGCGGGTTCCCGGGGCTGCAGTCTCCTCCCGCAGCACATCCCCCCCCCCCCCCCCCCCCCCCCCCCCCCCCCCCCGCCCATTCTGCCTCAGGCCAGCTGGGAAAGGAGCAAGCTGGTCCTGACCCGGGAGCCCCCAGCTCTCAGGGGAGGTTGTGGTGGGAAGGCTGTGGCCTCTGAAGAGTCAGTGACAAACTGGCTGAACACAGGATGGGACAGTGTGACAGACAGTCAGATTCTGGCCTAGGCTGACCACTGAATTTTGTGTGATGTTGAGTCAGATACTCGCCTCTTGGAGCCCCAGTTTCTTCTTCTGAGAAGGGAGAAGGTCAGAGTCCTGCTCCCCAAGGGCCCTTCCACCTCTGAAATGCCACCTTCAGCACTGGAGAATTTGCCTCTGAATGTCCCCCTTCCGTGTGTGGGGGCAGGAGGAGGTGGGAGATACGTGCCTGTCACCTCCACTAGGCAGTCTCATTGCTCTGGCTTGGCCTGCTTCTGGGGGGCCCCTCCCTTCCAAAGGGTCTGGGGCCAGGACTCTCCCAGTCCCCACCTCATCCTTTCTTACCCTCCTCTGGGGTGCCCTGTCCCCAGGGCCATGAGCAGTGAGGCAGGAATCTAGGCCCAGCAAAGCAGCAGACCTGACGTCCCCCGAGAATTGTGGAAGCTGATCACAAGGGCCCTTAGACGCGGCTCACACATGCCAACACAGCTCTCGGCTGATTCCTCGGCTTTCTGCACCCACGGTCTGTGCTCATCTCCTCTCTCGTGCCGTTCTATACCCAGCCTCACACTGCCTGCTGAGGGTGAGCAGCCCCTCTCTCCCCAACAGGGGCACAACCCTGGGCCTCAATGGCCTGTTCACTGCCTGTCTCCCCCGCCACGGAGGGTGCCCTGTGCTCACAGATGTGAGGCCAGAGTGCGGCCCAGCACGCCGAGGGGTGCAGGAGACATTTGCCAAGTGACTGCACGAGGGGAGGGATGAGCTCTGAGCAGGACCCACTTCCTCCTTGATCCTGGCTCCTCTGCCAGGCCCGCTGCCTAGCAGTCTCAGAGATCCTGACTCAAACCTGGCTCTGCTGTCAACTTTAGGAGAAAGCAAGGGGAGGTGCCCACGTGGTAGTGCCCGGGGCCGGGGAGTCCGTGGGCTCTGCCTCCCTCACTCCTTTCAGGGGGACCAAGGGGGGTGCTTCACTGGGCTCTCCTAGAGAGGGAAGGGCTGGAAGGGTTCTCCCCCCACCCCCACCAAGGGCAGGGTGATGGCCATCTCCAGGCTGGGAGCCCATCCTTGGTCCAGCCTTCTCTCAGGCTCGTCTGCCTGGATAGCGAGTGGTGAGGGGGTGGGGCCGGGAGGTGCAGGCAAGAATTTAGCCCAAGTATGAGAACTGGCACGTCAGTATCTGGGCATCTGAGATGGACAGCTGGGTGGTAGAGGTCTCCCGATCCAGCCTGATTTCTTGGCAGCTCTTGTCACCTCCACTCTGAGCTCTCCCCAGCTGGAACATGAACTCTGATGGCAGCATCATGGGACCCACATCTGTGTATCTCCCAGCCCAGCCCAGTCAGGAGCTACAAATCGAGCATGATTGAGCTACAGAGGGATGCTGTCCGGAGGAGGCGAACCAGCGCTAAGCAGCAAGGGACCTGGGAGCTCAAGCCAGGGAGATGAGGAGAGGGAGGAGGAGACAGACACGGAGACAGTGAGAGACACAGAGGATACAGAGAGCCAAGTGAGACAGACAGAGAGACCAAGGAGAGAGAGAGACAGAGGGAGAGAAAGAGACAAGGAGGCAAAGAAAGGAAGAAAGACAGAGCAACAAAAAGGAGGAGAGAGAGATAGAGAACAAGAGAAAAACAGAGACAAGGGAGAAAGAGAGAGAGAGAGAGACGGCATGGGGGACGGGAAAAGACAGAAGGAGATGAGGGGGAGAAAGCCCACAGACTGGACGGGAGGACCCAGGCACGGAGCACAGAGGCAGCCACACCGCACACTCTCACCCTAGGGACCGACCCCCTATTTTGTAAGGCCAAGGGGGAGAGCAATGGGCCCCAGCCTGGCCAACCTTGACCCAGGGGCCTTGTTTCCTAGTGAACCCCAGAATGGCCTGTGATCCCTGGTCTGGCATCCACTGTCCCCAGGATGCACCCCTATTGGTTCATCTACCTGCCTCCCACCTGGCCCCTGCCATCTTCCTGCGGGCCCCTGAACCCTGAGGTCCTGGCACCCAGTGTCCCTCCCAGAGCCTCGGTGCATGGACCCTCTGCCCCAGAGCTCTGGACCAGGTGCACCCCACGATGAGGAGAGTGGGTGCCAGGAGGCAGCAGCAGGAGGCGGTGGAGTGGCAGGCGCAGGGTAGGATTTGCTCAGCCGAGCACGATGGCCTAGTTTCCAGCCCTTCACGCAGGTGACACACAGCCCGCTTACTTGCCCCTGGCTGCAGCTAAAAGCTCCAGTAATGAGCCGGGAGCCTGAGTCAAGGACCGGGACAGGAGATGCAGTCAGGTGGAAACGCCAGCTCACAGAACGGGGAGCGCTGACTAAATCAATGATGGCCACAGGAGCGGGAGGACTTCAGGGAGGAACTGAGCCTGTGGCTCAAGTCTCCACATCCCTCATCTTTGAGGACCCCACGAAAGAGTTTTGAGGCAGCTTATCAAAATGTAGATCCCTGATCCTCACCCCAGATCTACCAACTGGGACAAGTGCAGGCAAGGCCTGGGAATCATCATTCTTCACAAGCTCTCCAGGAGAGTCTTAAAGGTTGAAAACCAGTGGCTGAGCTGAGTGCAGGAATAGGAGGGGATCGGCTCACATGGAGACTTTTAAAACATGAGTCCAGCAACTCCTAAGCCACCAGGGCAGCAGTTATTGGGGCACATCTGTCCCTGCCTGGCTCTCAGGGGCTGCTTTCATGGTGGAGGTGGTCAGGGAGGGAGGGACGGAGATGCCGTCCCCGTGACACATACACATATTTCCTGCCTTCCTCCCTGCAATTTCCACCATAGGGCATCAGTGTTTGATGGGCAGGTAATGTCCTGGGGTTCTCAGATCCTAGGGAAAAAATCTCAACCTCTTCTGCAAAACGCCGAGCTGGAAGGGAAGAAGCTGTGTTGAGCGGTGGAAAGGCGCTATTACTCCCCAGGAGACAAATCACTCTGCGGAGATGGGGGCTGGGCCAGGCGACCTCTCGGGACTCCCAAGCCTCTGACATTCTCGGACAGGAACTCAGAAGCAGAGAGGGCCACAGCCAGCCCTGAAGGGGCTGCAGATGCTCCCAGCCGGCAGGAGACCATAGTCACTTCTGGCTGGCTTTGGAATACAGCTCCTGATGACGGACTGCTCCTCCCCACTCCTCCCAGAGAACCACCACGTGCAGCCCTGGTGGGGCCTGTGCCTCTGGGGCAGGTGCCTGGGCTGAGGCTGCGCTCTCTACCCATAAGCCTACTCCAGGGACCCTCACCTCGGGGGCTCCGTCGCCCTAGCATCACCCACATTCCCTGCCCCCTCCCCACTGCATGATTCTTTTTCACTCCCTAAGTATAAGCATCAGTCTGCACTTTGACCTCTTCTATCTCTCTCCTCTTCTCTCACCCTTTCTCATTGCTTCTCTTATTTTGCAGTATCTACTAGCACTTACAATCTCCCCCTCCCCATCCTTCTTTGCCACCCTGGAATCCTTGTGGGGAGCAGATTGTCGAGAGTTTTCCAAACCTATCCTGCTGCCTCTACCCGGGATAGCCAACAGCCACCTCTCCTCTTTCATCATCTTTCAGGTGAAAACATCACATGTTTCTGGGGACGGTCTTTTCCGGTGTATAACCTCCCCACTTTACAGAAGGCAAAACTGAGACCACAAAGGGGCTTGCCCCATGCTCCCACGACTAGGAAGAGAGCAGGTTTTCGGCTTCCCGGTTTTGTGAGGCCTCTTCCCATGGTTGGGCCCTCCCCACTTCACAGGGGGTCCTAACAGCAGCGGGAGAAGCTCCCTCTGCACTCGCATTTACTGAGTACTGTTCTTCGCGCTTCACTAAGTGCCCAATGACCTAATCTTCTCAATCCTGTGCGATATTAACCATTATCCTGTTATTTTTTATTTCCTATGAGAAAGCTGAAGCTCACACAAGAGCTGGCCCTGCAGGGGGACTGCACACATCGCATCCTTCCGGGCCTCTCCTGGGCCAGGCAAGCTGCCCTCCCTGCTCGGTGGCCGGTGCTAATGTGTCTCTCCCTGGGGGCTGCTGGCTCACCCAGATGCCTCATGGGAGCCTGTGAGGGGCTGGGGGGACAAATGGACACAGTCATGGAGTCCGGTGTGAGGAGCCACCTCACTGTCAGCAGTCAGCACAAGGCTGTGCGGCCACCTGCAGCTTCAGAGCTGGCCTGGGCACACAGCCCACAGCAGGGACCAGACCCCTGACCTCCCACCTCCCCTTCTCTGATGCTTTCTTTCTCGTTTCCCTTCCTTCCTACAAACATGCATTGAGTGCCTCCTGTGTGCACTGTGCTGTGCTAGGGACCTGGTATAAGTGGC